AGATACATGTTAATACTACACCAGTTCATCATCATCATTATACTTGCGTTGTTAAGTTTTTCACATTGTATTGTGCATTATTCAACTATCTACATCATACCTCATCAGATTGTCATTATGCATAACTATTCTAGTGCAATTTGAGCTAGTCTTATTTCATATGCTACAAGTTTTGTAGAATACTATCAAATCTTTATAGAAAATCAAGGTATTATTTACGACATTGTGTCATTAATTTATCAATCTAAAAATAAATTCATGATTGAACATAAGCTAGAATCATGTTTAAAAAATATTCAGATTCAAAAAAATTTATATACAATGATACAATCACTTCGGTTGTTGAAAAATTTCTCATTTAGCTTTTTTTGTTAAAACAATTAACAAAAAGTGCAAAAAATATGGTACAAGTATTGTAGTTTAAATAAAAACAATCCATAAAGTTTGACTATATGTAGCAATCTAAGTTATTAAAATTTAGCTAAAATTCAGAAAGATTATTTCAAATACATCGGCATTGATCTAACTCTATGTTCGTAAATAACCGGTCAACAAATATCACTTATATGAATTGGGTAGTTAAATAGTAAAACAAATCAATCATTGACCTTTTTGGATTAGATATTCAATAATTCAAATTTTTTGATAAATAAAATACATAAAATAAAAATAAAATCAATTTCTCATCCAAAATGTTAAAGAAAATCTAGAATAAAATTGTGTGAAACAAAACATAATCAAATAACATAGAATTTTGTTAATGAATTTAAATTTTTCACAGTAAAGCAAAGTTCAGTTTTGTCTCAATCTTTTGAAGATTTTTTGTTTTAACCTTTCAAATTGTCATGCTTTGGAAGACGTGACAGAAGTTCAAGAGAAGTTAGACGACAATTACTGACGGATCACTTAGAGTTTCTGATAGTTTTAAAAAGGGCAGGAGAATTTGAGCTCTTATACTGACGGGATTTTGTTTTTCATAAACCGTTTTCTCACAAGTTTCAGGTCGAAGAGAATTCAAGCATACGAGGAAATTTCATCTCCTTCTCGAGAAAACCTGAAAGTAAAGTAGCAGCGATAGATTGCAGCCAGGAGTATCATTATATTTTCATTCTATATATAATATAGAATGATTCATTCAAAGAATTCATTCATATAATATTTTCATATTATACATCATTATATTTCAGCCAGTTTGATATTTGAATCTTAACTTAGAAAAATAATTTTTTGGATACAACAACTTGATTTATTATAAGGAGAATAATACATACAAAGTTAGAAAGTTCTGATCATTTTTTAATTATGGAAACTATCATTATATTTTTTATTGGAAAAAATATATAAATGTAACTATATATTTCTTCCTTTTTGAATAGTAAAAGAAAATTAGGTATGAAAAAAGTTGACTCGAAATAAAATATTTATCTTAAGTTAAATATATTATAAAATAAGATACTTTATATGTATACAATATCTTATTCTAATGATATCTATATAGTTAAAATTCATACAAATATTGATTTCACAAGGAAAATTTATACTTGCCTTGACTGATTTTTTTTTGTGCATAAACATCTATTCATAATATGTTTATCTAACTTATCCAAATCTTTCATCTTGCAAACCTTGGTATGTGTCAATAGTTGAATTTGGTATGTGTCAATTTTTTGCCCAAATAAATATGTAATCCATATAGAATGCTAGAATAATGAGATGAAATGTTTTATTCTTCATCTTTTTCATACATACATATGGATCATACACATTACCAAAAAAAATTTATGCTTTCATGAACTCATCAAATCTTGCATTTCATTGTCTAAAAGCTTGCTTCAATCCATATAAATTTTTTTTACAAATCAAATTTTTTTTTCAAAGCCAACTTATTATCTAATGTACACTATTACTTTCAAATAGTTATAGAAAATGTTGTTATTATATCTATCTGATCTATCTATCCATATTTAAACTAAGTATTGCAACAAATGCACATATAAGTCTAATTGTAATATGCTTCATTGAAAGTGAAAAAACTTTGTTGTGCTTCACATTACTCTTTTGGGTAAAATATATAGCTATCAATCTGATTTTGAAGTTTTTTTATTCTCATATGATAGATTGTACTTCAAATCTTACATCTATTTTGCTATTAATCAAAGTTTGATTCTTTGAAAGTTCCACTAAATTTCAACTCTTGTTATTCATCGGCGATTGCATCTAGAGTAGTATTTCAATCAAGTTCATTTTTTGATTAATATTTTATTCAAACTTATTGTGAGTGTTGAAGCTTCTTTATAAGAAATCTTTATAAAAAGAAGATATTCATTTCTAAAAGATGAATGCAACATTATAATCTTCAAGAAAAGATGAATCAAACTATGATTAATATATTCTATTAGCTATAATAATCCAACCTTATGATATCCTAGTATATGATTCTAGCTAAATTTTATCTTATGATGCACTTAGTTAAGTACTACCAACAAAAATATTTTATTTTAATTGTTTTTTTTCAATAATTTGCTTCATATGTATTGAAGTATATTTTTGTGTCATTTCATTAAGTCCATAATGTTCAATCTCACACATTCCAACATTTATGAGTGAAGATTCGTAAATAGAGCTTAAATTTTTTTTCTTCTTTAATCTCGGTTTATTGAAAAATGATATCATTATTGAAAATAACTTTTATAGACTATTGATCTTTTAATCTTTCATATCACTCGCATAGTAAAAAACAACACTCTGGATATGATATTCAAGTTGATCATATTTTTTTTTGACTATGATAGCACAAAAGAGTTCTTGTATTACTATAACGAGATTTTATTTTTTACTCTATTTAGGCCACGGCAAGGTAAGGTAACCTTTTAGGGTTACCCGGTAAATTGGTAAAAGGTATAGGTAAAAGTTAAAGATTGGGCTATAGGTAAGTTAACGAATAGAGTTAAAGCTGAATGGATTACCAGATAATTATCGGTTAACCCTTTACCATTGCAAAAGTCCGCCACAGAGTTCATGGGGCGGCTCGTCAAAGCATGAAGCCAATATGCTGCCAATATTATAGAGCAAAGTAGATATACTCTATGAGTAATGTTTAGTTGACTTTTCACACTTAGATTGAATTTCCAAAGATAAGTAGGCCCGATAAGTTGATTCTCCAAACACACAGCTAAAGTACTACGACGGCCACAAATAAGCAAGGCGTATCAACCCCGAGTTCGGAGTCAGAGTTGTCACTCTAACTGTAATGTATTGGTAAATCTCAGTTGTGATACACATAGGGAATGTGTACTTGGTAAACAGGTAAAATGCCATTATGTAAAGGCCAAAGTAGATAGTACTGGTGCGGGTGATAAAAAGATGTATGCATTACCCGGTAACCTTTTACCTTATCTTGCCAAGGGCTATCTCTAATCATAATGTATTGATAAATCACAGTCATGATACACATAGAGAATGTGTACGGAGTAACAGGGTAATTATCATTATGTAAAGTTAAAAGTAAAAGTATATAGTAATGGTGCAAGTAAGGTAAAATATAAAGTAAAAGTAAAGTCACATGCATTAGTTAGTAACCTTTTATCTTACCTTGCCAAGGCCTAATTCTATTCAAACTATTTCAAGAAATTGACTGCAATATATTAAAAATATATACCAAATGCACTACGATATTGACATCTTAGCCTAAAATTCATATTATAAATAAGATTGATTCAACATAAAATATAACATTTCTAAATTTGTTCAATTGAGTCTTCGAGAATTAACATTTTGTTGTAAAGTATAAACTGTAAGGAGATGATAACTAATTTTTTTTGTTTGTCATAATTTTGAAAAAATTACAATTGCAAAAAAGATTGATTGACAAAGTATTGAGCTGATAACAACATTAAATTGTGATTGATCATGATGCTATAGTTGTAGGAACTTAACTGTGAAAAATACGTTTTTTGTCAAATATGTGATATTTGAAATGTAAACATGTAAAATTTATGTAAAATTTCATATGCAAATAAATTTTGTAATGTCAAAATGAATGTCATAAGCAAGCTAAAAAAGTTAATCAAAATAAAATTTGAAGTTTTAAGAATTGAAATTATATTTATTTCCTTTAATTTTTTTGAAAGATAAAATATATTTAATAAAAAATGTATGTTTTATGCAAAATATTATTTAAAATAATTAATCAATCAAATACACATTTATATGATTTGCATCAATATTGATGATGATATTGATTTTAAAGTCTTTCAAATAAAATTGGATTGAAAGATTGATAAAAATTTTAAGATATGTTAATTTAATAATTTTAAGAAAAAAATACTTTAAATAATTTTAAATTAAAAAAAAACATGCCAACGCTTACAAAACCTCTAATTTCAGATATCATATAAAAGGTAGAAAATATTTTATAGAGAAAACAAAATTTCTCCATACAAAAACTGTTCTGAAGTAAAATCAAGAAACTTGTTACATGGATTTAATGCTTGATTATATGATTTGTAACCACACATAATCATGTTTAATATTTTATTAATCGATTTCTAGCTTATATTATAAGCTAGAAAAGGATTGGTAATGTATTAAACACGCATATTACTAATGGGGCACAATATGTATTGGAAACAAGACAAGGAAAAGCATCCAGAGGCGAACGGTATGCTACCATTTCTGGCTGTGTAAATTTCAAATTCAAGTAGTATGAAGGCTTGTGAAGTTGTCCGATAGAACTATGGGGAACTATGCTTCTGTCTAAGAACTCAAGAACAGAATTAAGGGTTTCAATGTAATCAAACCAATAAGGTGGTGCAGTCACGAGGGATGGAAGTTGGCGTAGCCCAATATTATGACAAGATTGTCCGTTTAGACTTGGGTTGAAACTAAACAAACTTTATTGGAGCTCGTCAAACGGATGGTCGATCTTCAGTTCCTCGGTTCGTCCTCCACGCTTCTGGCTGCAATACAGTACACGTACTGTACTGGACAGCACAGAGTCCGTTCTTGTTCCGTCCGAGTGGTCTGCTCGTCCCCTTCCGTTGGTTGCTTGAAGCTCGCGAGGAGAGCGTTGTGGTCTTATGTTCCTTTCTCGCGCGCTCTGGCTGTGGTTCGTGGAGACGTCGCAATCTACTTGCCCCAGCAGATGCATTTGATCGGTAGGCGATTTTTCGTGTCGCGGGGTTAGAATGTGGGGTGCGCGAATGCTCGTGTAGCTGCTCGTAGGGTTTTGCTGGTTTCAGGCTCTGATGATTTTGAACGGTGATTTTGTCTTACAGAAGGTGAAGGAGTGGCAAAATGAGGCTGGATATACTGTCACGCAGTGGTAGAGAAGTTGTGAAAGGTGGCGTTGAACTCCAAGATGATGTATGTTCTCCTTTCTTTATGGGCTTTCGATTGAAATAGTGAGTTTCTGTCTTGGAAACTCTGCGACATTGATGCCTTTCTTGCAAGCCCGTTCGGTAGGATTTAGCTTCTCGACCCGCACTGATATTTTGTTTTCTACACCTCTGATCTGCGTGTTGAGAGATACAATGTTCGCTGTGTTGTTGTCTCATCTTGATCTCTGGACCTGTTTCCAATGCTGGCACTAGTCAGCTTGTGAACATCCGCCTATGTCACGTAGAGGTCTTATTGGTTTCAGGAAGCGTCGTTCCACAAGCATCGGCGTCTTGATTTGAACGATTATTTTTGGTTGTACTGAATGGTCCTGTAGGGAAATCGATCTTGGTACTCCCTACTTTCAGACCGCGAGGAATACCTTAAAAAGGATTGCGCTGGTTCTAGTAAAACAAGTTCTCTACGTGCTGTTCCTAATATTGTTTCATATTCTTCTGTTGTTGAATCAGGCTACAGTGGACGACCTTAAGAAGGAAATTTACAAGTCAGGTCTGTAATTCTACTGACCTTGCTTCGTTCCCCTGTCTAGTATCCCCTTTCAGTCCGATTCGTGCAGCTCCCGGTTTTTAAAAGTCGAAGGTTTGTGAAGTATGACATGAGGAGATGCTGGAGTCGTTTTGTTCTTGAGTTTTTTGAACTAGTGGTCCTGTCGTATACTGCAACGGATATCCAAAGCTGTCAATGTTCACAGACACATCATAATCTGAGTTTCTGTTTGTGGTTTTGGTTCCAGTCCGGAAGTTCTATCCAGCCAGACAACGTCTCACCTTGCCTCTTGAGAGCGGCCAAGTACGACCTACTGTGTTGGAGTCAGGCAAGAAGCTGAAAGAGTATATTGAAGGGAATCATGCAAAGGTGTTGTTCAAGGACTTGGGTCCTCAAGTTGGATATAGTACTCTGTTTTTCTTTGAGTACATAGGACCACTTCTCTTGTACCCAATCTTCTATTTCTACCCTGCCATCTACACCTACTTCGGCCTGCCACTTCGTAAAGAAGTCCATCAAGCACAGACTTGGGCCCTCTATGCCTGGTCATTCCACTACTCAAAGCGAATCTTGGAAACCTTCTTCGTGCACAGATTTAGCCACGCAACATCTCCCATCAGCAATGTCTACCGTAACTGTGCTTATTACTGGAGCTTTGGCGCCTTCATCGCCTACTTCGTGAACCACCCACTTTATACTCCAGTCGGTGAGAAGCAAGTTATGTTTGGCTTTGCTTTGTCAGTTGTTGCTCAAATGGCGAATTTTTACACACACATAATCTTGAAAAATTTGCGAGCCCCGGATGGCAAGGGTGGATACCAGATTCCGAAGGGATTCCTTTTCAATTACATTACATGTGCGAATTACACGACGGAGATTTATCAGTGGATTGGGTTCAACATCGCTACACAGACTGTGGCGGGTTACTCGTTTTTGGCAATTGCCGGTCTTATCATGACAATGTGGGCTCTCGGCAAGCACAAACGACTGAGGAGGGTAATGCCCTTCAACTTTTCTCAGAATCTTGCTCAATAGCTTTTAGTGTGAGTGCTTATGGGTGTCTTTATACTCTACACTTCATGTTCTGAATGGTGCCAGAGGTCTGAAGGACAGGATTCCTAGCTGTGGTTTAAAATTTTTAAAATACTTATTTGCTGCTTATTACGAGGTTTTACAGCACTGAATGACTCGGTTTGTTGGAGTTGCTCACGTTGCACATCTTGTTGCATGTGCAGACCTTTGACGGAAAGGAAGGTCGTGCCAAATATCCGAGACGATGGGTCATCTTTCCTCCTTTCTTGTGAATCAGAATTTATGATTAGGACTTTAGAATAGTTTCTCGTCAAAAGGTAGACCTTCAGTAACCTGTAGGAAATCTCCAGTCATGTATTCAGTCCTGTTTCTGCACTTGGACGTGTTGCAGTTAATATGCAAAAGAAAAAGTGTCTACCCTTTTCGGAAACACGGAATCAATGCAATGTGATCTAGTGTTGATCTACTTGTTGCTTCGTTTTGTGTCATCCATGCTGGTTCTCGTTCATGAGGTCGCTAGTTCTTTTAAGCTGGCAGAGATGAAGAAACAAGTTCTCAACCATCCACTTGGCAAGACAAAACAGACGGATTTTGAATCAGTGTAGTGACCTTACACTATTTCTGAAGTAAATGTAGAAACGGCCATCGTAGTGGAGTATACTGCAAGTTTCCATACTTCACTGGACTCATACGTTTTATGCATTTTCGGAGCTGATAAATTTCTTCACGATTCCGTTGTGGAGACTAGTACCTCCTGTACCAATTTTTGACAACGTCATGTTGTCACGTGAGCGGAACTTGAGCCTGACAATCTCAGATGGGAGCATTTGCGTGAATGTGTTCTCTCCGTATATAGTTTCCTTTGCTTAATATATTGTTTATAGCTTGCCAGTACACGAAGCACTGGTTAAGCCCATTTACTGCAGCAGGCAGTAAAGGGAAGCGGTGAATGTCGCGGTGAATTGGACTAATGTCGCTGCACATATCACTTCGGATTGTAAAGTCCGTGGTCAAAAGTGTGAGACTCGTCATGACGTATTGTATTTACTCTGCAACGACCATTCGGCTCTCATACTGAAACTGAAATGGTAGTCTATAAGTAAGAAACCACTGTCTGCAAATTGTAACAAATAGCGGTAGATGTAAGCAATCCTACCGACAATTCCACTCGAGCAGACGAGGACTTCACGGTAGAAAGACTTGCTTTCCCAGGAATGCAGATGCTGTGATGAGTGAGGAAACTTGTAAGTCAAGGAGAAGGCCTACTGTCACTCTGCATGTCATGTCACATTCATAACGACGTGCCGGTTTTTACGCAATTATTCAACCTCCCAGGTTAGGCCGGCCTGACATTTAATAATTCTCCAGCGGATATGTAACAGTCAACATTATATGCTGTCGGGAAGTGTGCATTGAGTTCAAGAACGGTAGAATTGCCGTCCAGTTTAACGCACGAACGTAAACTTGTTTCCAGCTAAGTCAGGTAATTCCTAATCAACTTCATCGTCAGTTTCATTATCACAACACAGGAAGCACACCCTCTGGTTACAGTTGGATAGCCTGTATGGGTAATCGGAAGCACTTAACTGAGGTGTACATGTCACATTTAAAGATAAGCAAAATCTCCAATCCCTTTCTCTAAAGATCCAAACCTCGAATTTTCATTAGATTCAATATCTCAAGCGTTTCAAATGGAGTTAATTACAGTATGTTGTTTTTTCTAATTTTCAGGAAAACTAATTTATCAAAAAGTATGTGAATAATCCATAAAACTGTTTAGAGATAGCTAGACATATCATGACAATGGTATATATGTAGTAATCAAAGAAATTCTAAATAAAAATCATGTTATAGATGTTATATATAAATTCATGTTTCGATCTAAGCACATCACATTCACAACTTAAACATTGAAGGTGCAATTGAATGGATCAAGTGAAGACAAAACTTCATAATGTTGAAACTTTTGGTGCGACAACAAATCTTGAAGCATGATGAAACCAAGATTCATTATCATGTATCTTTGACAAAGCAAATATTAAAATACAAGATGCATTTATGCTTCGTCAAAGATAAGATGCAAAAACTTGAATGCATCTTGTAATGTAGGAGAAGATTAGATCCACTAAGAGAGAATGCAATAGATGTAAAAATGATAGAATTATTGTATTTCGAGGAACAAAATATTAGTTGTCCGTTCTAATAATATTTCTAAAAGAAATAACAAACTATAAGACAAAAGACCATTATGTGTATATATGCTATCACAAATATAAGAATCTAACAAAACGGTCAAGAAATTTTAAAAATACATGCTTAATTTACCATTAATAAAACTATTATTATAGAATTTTTTTTCTGCATGCAGAAATTCATGTCATACATTGGTCTAATGATATAATTTGTGGTAGAAAACATCAATCAAATGTGAGAAGTTTAATAATTCTACTACTAGGAGTAAATAATGTTTGGCTCTCAATTGGTGGAAGAACGGGATCAGATGCATTATATTTTCTCGAATATGCGTTACGGATTAAATTCAAAGTTTGAGCTCTTTTGCGTGTACTGTATTTCTGGAGACATTTTAACACATAGTCTTGCACCATTTGTTTAGAAAATATAACTACTGCATTTCTGGAGATTCTCTAGTACCTAGTCTTGCACCGTTTGTTTACTGCAAGCATCAGGGTTGCTGAACTCTATTATGCTGAAAGGTCAAAAGGCAGTAACAATATTCCAACTTGTTAGAAATAATCCACTTATATGAAAGTTGGAATTATGAAGGTGACCTGCCGATTGATGGGCATATTCTAGTGGTTGAATATTTTCGTATGTTTTGATGACATGGGGTGGATGAGGAGACAACGACTTCGCACACTTCGAAGAAAAACAATGAGCAATTTCACCAGAGGTATCATTTTAGTTTAAAAACTCATGATTTAGGGTGGAAAAAGCAAGTAAATAAACATATAATATCTAAGGAAGTAATCCTGGACGGCGAAATTGAGATAATCTGCTCAAAAGAAGTAGTTCCTATTCCAAGTAATAGGTCAAGCACATGAAGTATATGGATTCCCCCGATGTCATATAAACAAATTGATAATTGAACATTACCTAGCATTTATGTATGTTTGCATGAGAAGATGTGACTTTTAAAGTTTGAGTTGAAAATATTACAACTACATACATACGCGTGAGTGTGTATATATAAAAGTCTTTATCTGTATGTATGTCAGTCAGATGCAGGAAGTGGAAGTATTGATACATTTTCATTTTCTACGTCAACTATAGCTTATTGAATACAATTCCATCAATGATTGTTTAAGGATATCAGAGGTTCAAAGATTCAGGGACCTTGTCTATTTTCGTAAGCAGGATGAAATTAAATATAGGTGAGAAGTCCCCCATACATCCTAAAATCAAATATATGTTCAGAAGCATAGGGTTTACCTGAGTCATAAAGTCACACGTGTTTTAAGAAATAGAGGTGCACGTTGTACTGTATGCACAATTTAATACTATTTACAGTCTATTTCCATACGATCCAAATTTTTCGTCGATAAGTGCCGAATCGTGCTACTCGTGCATTTATTTCTCGTTAAGCCATATTGTGGAGTTCTCAGAATACATTGACTTATTTAAACATTTATGTCACCATAAAGCAAGGTAAGTATCTCATTCTTTCCGAATTGGAGTTGTGTAGATTTTGTTGACGAAGAAATTGGCTGTATCTGATGTTGGGGTGAAGAATTCTTTTTAATGGAACTGAAATTCAGTCAAGACTAGAATCGAAGAATCACATCAAGAAAGATGTCTCATAATCTAATGGAATCTGACCACTTTTTTTTATTGAAGATGATATCTGCCAATCATTAAAATGTGAGCTTCCAATGAATTCGAATGAGGAGTGAAATGACAAAAATATCACACACTGATGGGCAATGACAAGGATATATTCAAAACAACTAGCCGGAACCAGAGTCCCTCAACCATGTTATGTTCACATTTTCATCTAGTCTCTCTTTTCTACCAAATCTACATATCTAAGATGGAATAATTGATGAATTGAAAGAAAACTAATTTTTTAAGAAGTAGATGCCCGATGCCAGTCTCTTCTGCATCAACCATTTCCTGTTGCATTATGACAATTTCGTGACGGAAAGACATGACGAAGAAGGCTATCCTGCAATAGATTATGCTTGTTGTAAAACACGTTCTCTACTGTACAGAAATCTTTAGATAAAAGGGAGCAGAATTCCAAATTTTGAAGCTCAGAATGGTCAGAACGTATGAAAATACGGAACAGTGCAGTAGCGCTGAAATCGCGTTCAAAGAAAGGTCAAAACTCCACTAAACTTTCTAGACGACTTTTCACCCAGGGGTTTGACCTTCGTTCATACGGTTTTGACGGAGCGCATATACACCGTATAATATACATGAACTGAAAGAGGCCAGCTACGGCATTGTTGAAAGTCCTACGGCGGGATTTCTTTCAAGAGAAGTTCAGAGAAGAAAAAACAAATCCTTGACGTTGGTGCCCGGGTTTCCTTTGGTACTCAATATTCAGTGACGGACTGTCTTCTGAGTCTTTCTGCTTCCTTCCTTCCTCCTTTCCGCCAAACGAAGGATAGGCACGAAGAGGCCTAAGGGAAAGGAAGAGAGGAGAGGTAGAATGGACAGAGTGAGAGGCAGTGTTGGTCATGGAACAGAAGAAGAGGAGGTGGACGAGAGTCGGATTACAGGGAGCAGCTTGAATCGATAACAGTCGTCTGTTAGATGTCACGAGAGGACTGAGTGTTTGCTTTGCTGGATAGAGGAAGAAAACGTCGAAGAAAATCGGAGGGGTAGGGATTCGGGGGGCTAGAGGGTCGGAGGACTTTGAGCGCAAAGAAGGAGAAGACGAGAGAAGAGAGAAAGGGGAGCGGAAGAGTTAATTGATAAGGATGGACGTCATACCCACTGGTTGCATTGATGTCAATGTATGAGGAAGAGAAGGATGAGTAGGTCGAAGGAGGCGAACAGTGCGGCGAAGGAATTAGATAGGCAATTGAAGTCTCGTTTGAATTGTTCTTCTGGTGGTGAAACGATTGTCCTAGATCACTCGTATTTTACAAACTAGTACAATTGGTTGATTGAGATTGTCTAGACCGAAAACGAAGGAAGTCACAGCTAGGAATTACCTAAGAGGGCAGTGGTTAGAAGCATACATATTGAAGTTCTCTTGATCAATTATACGATCAGGTCAGTAGTAGGGATCGAGAAGGTTGAATCTAACCCAGATAAAGACTCAGTACAAGTAGACAAGCATCACAGAGGGCGGAGACAGGTGCTTTAAGATGGTGAGGTTCGGGAGGTATGCGGCAGCCAGTGCTGTAGGGGCCTCCGCAGTGGTGTTTCATGCGTTCAAAAGTAGAGAACAGTTCTATCCGGCCATGTTGTATCTGGCAACATCGAAAATAAGTCTGGTGCTGTTACTTAACATGGCACTTGTAGTAATCTGTGCCATTTGGCAGTTGATCAAGGGATTGTTCCTCGGACCATTAAGGGAGGTCGAGGTTGAGCGCCTCAATGAGCAATTATGGAGGGAGGTGATGGAGATTTTATTTGCAATGACCGTGTTTCGAGATGAGTTCAACGTATCATTTGTGACCACAATCATTGTTCTGCTCTTTATCAAGGCCTTTCATTGGCTTGCACAAACTAGGGTCGAGTATATTGAGACAACACCTTCTGTTTCACGGCTCTCCCATGTACGCATCATCAGTTTCATGGCGCTTCTGCTCATTTTGGACTGCGTTCTGTTCAACCACTCGTTCTCTGACCTGCTTAGAACCAGACGAGCATCGGTCTCTTTATTTTTTGCCTTTGAGTAAGGATCAATCATATTTACAGTACTAATCGTCTCGCATTTGGTTGATTGATCAGTATGATATCATGATTTTTCCAGACTCCCTGCAAAATTAGGGTTCCCTAAGTAACTACTAGAAGAACTTACATCAACGTACAGATATCAAGTACTTATGGACTATTGCAAATGTCTATAAGTATTTGATATCTGTACTTATGGACATTTGCAGTAGTCGTTTAGGATGTACATTTTTACATAGAGAATGCTTTGTTCCTGAGTTTTACTGACCTAGATACAAGTAGTCTGTCTTTCCCCTTTTGTTGGTGTACCTCAGAAACTTACATACTGACTTTTGCAGGTATGTCATATTAGCCACTGCCACCATCGCTACATTTGTAAAGTATTCACTCTATCTCGGCGACTTATTCATGGAAGGTCAATGGGACAATAAGGCTGTTTATGTTTTCTACCTCGAGCTTGTGCGAGACCTGCTACATCTTTCTCTTTACCTCTTCTTCTTCCTGGTGATCTTCATGTAAGCAGTTATTTAAGTTTTATTCCTCTGTCAATTCTGTTTCAAAATTGTGAACTAATAGTTTGTATATTGATATGGTAGGTCGATTGTCTTATGTCTCAACTTCTTTCGCTTCTGCTTGTGTCGCAGACACTATGGACTCCCGCTACATTTGGTACGTGAACTTTACGAGACTTTTCGAAATTTCAAGACGAGGGTTGCCGATTTTATACGTTACAGGAATATAACTTCGAACATGAATGATCGCTTTCCTGATGCTACTCCAGAAGAGCTTGGCAGGTACTATTATCTGCCGGAAAGAGCTTGTTGGCTGCTGTTTCTTTATCATGATCGTGGAAAGAACTCATCGCATATGGATGTGTTTGAGTGTTTTCATTCAAAGGATCTTGGTTTTCAATATGAGCTATACTGTTTTCGTTTTTAAGTCTCAACACATTCCCTTTGGTGTTCTTGAATTCTTACTGTTGGTCAGATGAGTTAGGACGTTGAGTAACTCATGTTTCACATACAGGAGTGATGCTACCTGTATCATCTGTCGAGAAGAAATGTCTACAGCAAAGAAACTCCCTTGTGGCCATCTTTTCCACATACATTGTCTTCGGTCCTGGTTAGAGCGACAGCAGACATGCCCAACATGTCGATCTTCTGTTTTAGCTGCGGAAGCGGGAATGGGAGCAGCAAATCCTGCTGCTCCTCATCAGCTCCTGCAAATCGAAGGCCGATCGTTTCAAGGTTCATCTACTTGATAAATTTGTCTGATTACCACTCAGTATGGAAAAATACCTTCATTTTTCTATGATTTGGTGACGTATTTTGAAAACTGGTGATACGACGTCTTGTTTCCTTCCGAGCATTGTCATTGTATTGTTTAAGAAAACTGTACAGGTGATCTTACAGGACAAGGTACAGGCCCTCAGGGAGAGGTGAACAGTGGACAGGCTCAAGGACAAGCATCCGGCAATTCTAGTGTACTTCAGGAAAGACTCTACAATGCAGCTGTTTCTGCTGCCGCGCAGTACCAATCTTCATTTGTGTATCCAACAATGAGAGCTGATAATACCAATTGGTAAGAAGCCATTCTGTTGGCTTCTTCGTGCACTTGTAATAAATATGTGGAATGAATCGAGACTTTTTTGGGAAAGGTTGTTAGATATGTCTTTAGTCTTATGCTCATTTGCAAAATTCCGTTGCAGTAGGTTTACATCTTCAATTTGATGATGCTGTTTAATGACGTCAAGAAGGTGGTCATGAAGGTACCCAGCATATGTTGCATTTGTTCCACAAGCATATGTGGCTGCTATGACTGGAGCTAGCTCAACTGTACAAAGGTCAGGTGGTATAGAGTCGGGAGGGCCTGTTGGAACTACGGGAGCTGCAGCTGGCTCATTGTCCGGTGGGACTCCATCACAGGTCTCACATAGGTGGAATCAGATGAGAAATGGAGCATCATCGTCAACAGCTGAAAGTGCTGCTGCATCTTGGCAATATTGGCCTGCATATGGGTACATGCCTCCAACTGGACGAGCAGTGAATACCACTGATTTACCAGGTTCAAGTCAAGGAGCTCAGGTTCCAGGTATCAGGGAGTCCAGTGGTCATGGAATGAAGGCGAATAATGTAAGATCCTTACCATCAGTGGTGAATTCACCAACAGGACTACGGCTGCAGGAGGCTCAGTTGAAACAGTGGAAAGAGGTAAGCTTCTTGTGGTGTTATAATCTTGGCTAGTGATTGAATGTTTCTACCACAGGTCAATTGCGTGAATGCACGAGTAGTACATTTAGAGTTTATTAAAATATTGCAACTGGTGCAGCATTTTGAGAAACAACTCGAGTTGAATAAAGAGTTGCAAAATGAACTCAGCTCCATCCGACAAGAAACGACGACAAGCTCTTCGGTTGGAAATTTTCGAGGGAAGTCCGTAGAGGACATTTAGCTTGGGCTTATGATAGTGGTGGGAAACTAGTGAAACTGCCCACTAGACTGAGCTTTGCTTCAAGGTTGTCATTTGCCCAGCCCTGCACTATGTCCAGTGGCTCGGGTCAAAAGAGATGGGTTGAACAGCGCTGCGTGAGATGCTTTTTTGAAAACTGACATCGGATAACATTTAGATCCCAACACAAGACAAGAGAGCGTGGTGACATTCTGAGGTTGGTGGAAGCTGGTGAGGTAGATATGTCAAGATGTCTTGTCATACAGAGGTGTGGAAGTCTTGTGTTTTGTCTCAACTTGGCCACTGCAGATGATAGAAGTCTATATGTGACTAGCTTCTACAGTTTGATAAGAACGGAATGTTGTGCCAGGTATTTTCAGACCCTACATTTCTTGTCTACTTGTATAAACGGGTTCAAAGGGTTTTCTCAACGTGAATATCAATGTCTTCTCTGAAGACATTGTAATGTAGGCCTATTGCCTGCTCATGAACATTCCCTGTATCAATAAAATCATGCAAGAAGAATCCCCTCCTTTAGGTAGAGGAATTAGCCTGTTCTTAGCTTAACAGATCCATAGCATTTCTAGTTTCCTTGATTGCCTGTTGTGAGATTAATCATAATCGCGGATTGATGGTCCTTGCCTGTATTCGATTTGACCATATTACCCTTGTATATCGATTCATTAGGGCTACACTCAGAGCATGGCCTGATCATCATTGACTCGTCTAGGTCTTTCAAGTGGAAGGATCTTCCACAAATATCGTCTTTGCCATTTCTCATGAGTGTGTTCAAGGAAAAATATGTGTCAAATCCTAATTATAGATGAAAGAGACAAATAAAGGAAAGCTAAATGTTACAATTTGTCACTTGTGCTCCACTCATTCTGCCTATTACATGTTAGTTTTTACCACGTGTTTTGGGATTTCGCCGACTCCGCGTGCGATTCTCAGACACAAGTTGAAAATAGAAAATGATGGGTTCTGAGAAATTTTGAAACTAGTGTTATTTTTTTTTGTCAATATTTGACTTTCATTTTATATTGTTATTTCTAACGTAGTTGAATCTTATTCTTTCCTGTACCTCGTATTGGGGAGAAAGAGCATCCACTATTAAGAAAGGATTTGTATATTTTTACGAAAGTCTAAGGCAGAGCGATGTGTCCAAGCTTCAAAAGCTGAAAGAAAGCCTAGACTTGATTGGCTAACTTAATGGAAGTGGTGCTTAGTATTGAGTAATCAATGATACTTTGTGGAATCTGTCGTCAGTGTTCCTAACGATTCCTAGCGATTGATGCCGCCGTCAATGCAACACCGTCTATTGCAAGATGTCCCCAATGCCTTCTTAGCCTCGCAGGCAGCGCGAGACGTGTTGTGAGTACGTCCTTTTTTAACGGTGAAAAGAAAGCAAATAGTTGCACGCAGAAGTCATTTTTTCACTACATTTTGTTTTTTTGTGTTTAGTACAAAAAAATGTGTATGAAGGGTGTCAAGTGCATGCGCTCTTCCAAATTTCTTTTCCTGGAAATTAAACATATGCACGTGACATTGTAGGAGCTACTTCCACGGTGAACTATGAGTGAACCGTCTTTTCCTTTCAAGATACCGTCTGCGTTTCAACAAGTGACGCCCGCTATTGTTTTAAACATCCGTGCAGAGTATCAAGAAAAAAACCTCCTGCAATGATTCTCCTAACATATCACTTCTGAGGATCATGGAGTAAAAGAATGGCGGTTATTATTTGAACGGGTTGTAGACACCGAAGTGTTCGCATCATCCCACTATCATCTAAGGCGAACATAGGTGTAAGAATGAAATTTTATGAGGTGAGTAAATGTGCATTTTGCATAAGATGACAATTACTTGGGAGGTCGAAACTGCTCATAACCATGTTATGAGGAGAATGTAGCATGAGTTTCAATTTTTTTTACTAAAAAATTTGTAAATAAAAACCTTACATTAATATTTCTTATGTGTCTTTTTTTCCACAATCGATAAAAAAATTCCAGAAAAAATATTAATTTATAAGTGATGCTACTATTAACATTAAAATTTGTAATATAAGTATAACACGAATTTGATAAAATTTTCAATTTTTAAATCAAGAATTGTATAGAGTGAAGGTGAAAGTAAATTGAAATTAAAATTCAGAAAGTGAAGTTGATTTTCTGATCTCCATCAGAATTCTTTTTCATAGTGTAGTACACCCTAATTATTATTTTATTTAATATAGAGGGAGACTCCTTATATGTTAAGACATGTATTTATTAAGAAAAATATGTCAAATTGATTATTCACTCTACTGATCTACTATTTAGGTCAGTAGAGTAACAAATAAACTTGATTTACATGAGTTGAATTACACATGTTTATGATGTAAATTACATGTAAATTCATAATTTTTCTATACTTTATCATTTTTAAATCAAATATAAACATATACAATAAAATATTTAGGTATAGTAGAAAATTCATCCAAATGTGTATATGATTGCATATTCTTTAATCCCTCTAGACATATGACAATTTTATTCTATTTATAATTTATATTTATTTGAAATATTAAATAATTATATAGCTGCAAATTTTACAATATTTATATATCTATTTAAGATTAATATTAATACTAACTATTTTTTATCATAAATAAATATGAAAAATATTATCTTAAATAGATACATTAATCATATATATTTTTATATATTAATATTAAATTTTATACAGTAGCTAGATACATTATTTCCACATATTTACTTGGGGAAAGATACCAGGTTTTGAATATACTCTGGGATACGTAGAAACTATAAATCTCAATATTGTTTTCATAACTCATAAATAATAAATTTGTTCTAACGACAGTTACATGAGTTATTAAAAGACCAAAACAGAGTTACAAGAGTTATAAGAAGCTTTTAAGTCCAAAACAGAGTTCTTTTGGTAGTAGTAATTAAATCAGTCTATTGATGTACTGGTAAGAGCATTTTATCATCGTAGTCTAAATTGATCTTCAAGTGCTTTCTTAAAGTCTAAGTCCAATAAGATTCTGAAGATGATAGTCTTAAAACTCGGTTTGGGTTGCAGTTTAAACCATCACAGTTACTTCACATGGTGTCTTTGAAATCTCTGAAATAATGTGGTCTTCATGTAAGTACATTTTTATCGGTACTACCCGATTTTCACACTTCCAAAGTCGGAGACATTTAATACCCTAAGAAGGGATACATCTGGAGAATTCAAGGGTTAAATCTGAGCAAAAATGTGAGGTCACGCAAAACTTGAACTTGCGACAAGAATCGGTCCCTTCGTGCTGGACACAAAACGATCTTTGCTCTCTATCCCTAACCCTTAACTTGCGGCATGACGACACCCAACCCAACCCAACATGTGCATAATGCTCGTAATGGAATCTTGATCTAAACTACAGTATCGTCTTTCTCCTCCTCTTGAAAAGTCAGATTAAATTTGAAGTTTTGAACCCAAACGTCTAACGGAAGCGACCCGAGGCTGAATTGCTGAACGAGATGGGTCCGTCCGTTTCTTCGAGTGGTTTCTGGAAGTAAAGGGGAAGGCTGGTCAGCGATACAGAGCTTGTGCCTCGTCTTCCTCAGGGCTCAAAGGAGATCGACAAGATTCGGTCCCTTTCTGCTGGACAAAACACGACCCTTGCTCTCTTCCAAGATCCTCGAGCCAAGAATCGTGCCGTATACAAGCGCATAGCACGTCCCTTATTGGGCAAATCTCCTTTCGATCAGCACCCAGTTTGCGGAAGTCTTTGTCCAGTCCGCAGGTCAAGCTTCTCCTACCCAGAGCGATAATAGGAGCGTTTTTGGTACTTCCTCCTGTGCTTCCATCAAATGTGTCTAATTAGTTTGTTCTACTCTAAAACATCATTGATCGACTCCACAATTGACTTAGTCCTTAGTATCCAGGTGCTCACTGCTCGCGTTGTACGTGAATTGCAATACATCTAACCCCTAAATATTAGAATACACTGTTCCTATAAATTATGATCGAAGGAGAGGAAGAATATTCCTAAAAGGGTAGAAGAGGGCTTGAGGTTTGTAGAGATCTCCTAAAGATTTCGCATTGAGGAAAGAGTTCAACTTTGGTCAAGATATCGATGACGGAAATGAAGGCGCACAAGACTATTGGACTCCACAAGTGTCCATTGGAAGTCATCCACATTTCTGACTAACCATTATCACATCCGGAGGACGCTGATTGGCGTGACCATTTTCGAAGTTCATACGAGAATCACGACCTGAATAACGGCAGCTCAAAATTTCTAGGAACTTACTGCGAATGCAGGACTTTTTGAAATTGAGTTTAGGGGTTGATTTCGATGTGATGGCCGATTGTAGGATGTCTCCTTGTATTTGCCTGCTAAAAGTGAATATTATGGGCCAACTATCCTCTATTTACAAAATTGCTGACAAGAGATTCGGGAACATTTGTTCATCGGAGATGAGGCTGCAAGTAAACAACAAACACTGGAGTCAAATAGCCGTGTTTGTCCGCCGATCCGCCAGCCCTCTCATTGCTTCTGATGACCACATACAGTCAATCTCACCTTCGGTTTCCTCAGACTCGATGAACATGAAAGAAGCTTCATGTACTTCGAAGGTCCATGCCTGCCTGCCTCTTGCTTACAGTACTGGTGAGAAGTAATGTTGGGTATAATATTCGGCACCCAAATTTCGTGAGTTTAATATAGTATTTTACAAACTTGAACATTGCTCCAAAGTGCTTCATAACGCGTTTCAAATCCAAGGGATTGACTTGAAAATGCATTGACGAGACTTAGTACTCCGGACATCCTCTCACGCATTTCAATTTGAGCACTTTCCACCATCATTCATGGTATGTTATGTTGATCGAGTTTAAGATTTCGGCAACCTATATGAAGTCTATTCGATTCCAACAAATTGATTATAGGTAACCAAAATACTCTGAAGTTCAGATGACTGCACTACAATTCAACCATCGCGACCAAGATAGATTATTTGGAAACGCATGTGGTGACATGTACCAACCTCCCTAAATCTATGATAGGTTTAATGGACGTTATGTCATGTCATATGACCACTAGATTGTAATCGTCATATCGGATAACTCGAACTGTTCAAAAATTCTAACCAGTTCGATTTGGAACTATTTAGTCAATATGATGCAAATGAAGATTCCATATAGTTTTAATACGATTTTTTAAGGGAGCCGCTAGTTATCTCTCACTTAGGGTTAATTAGCATTCACTCTTCTCCAATTTTTTTCTTTCCTCGTATGAATAGTAATCAGTGTTCGACCAATGAGAGAATCTCGTACTCTAGGGTGAGGGTTAATTAGCCCTAACTTTTTTAACATGTGTGTTATATTGGGTGTATAATACTCTTGTTTAATACATACCCATCACTAGTGAGCTGTCTTGTATGTGTGTGAGAGAGTTAGAGCTATAGCATGGCGCTCCGTTTGACGTCTACCATCGTTACCAGTGCAACGAGGACTGTAAAGTACCTTGTCGGCAGGACGAAAGCGGGGAAAGGTAAAGAAAGAAGCAAGTGGAGGAGATTTTTACCGATGTTACTTCGGCAAAGTCAACCTGGATGCTTATCAGGTATAGTGCGAGGAAGCAGTCATTCGGAACAAAATAAAATAAAGAAATAAGATAATGTATACACTGATCCCGGCTGCCTGCCTATTTCACTCACAACCTCATCTTCATCTTGTTATTCATACAAACTCATGTCCCAGCGGTAGGACAATCACGAGTGTCTTCCGAGACAGTGGCATTCAATCTTGGACAGTTGGATGCCTACAGATTAGTTTGGATGTACAGACGAAACAACGCCAGGGGCCGGCCAGGTGTCAGGCCTATGGGTCTGTATAACTGGATTCTACGTGGACTGCGTAGTATAATACAACACTCAGAATTCCATCTCATGTGACACTCTAAATTCTTATGTTATCATTCGTAGATGTTATCCTCGTCTATCACCTACTCGACCTCGAAGATATCCTCCTCGTGCCTTCAACTCCCTCGGAAATGTTACCACCACGAGCATCGTGGTGGTAACATTTTTGAGTGATAATTTTCAGGTTCAGATCGTGGACGGGGTATTCTTCAAGTTCAGGTTGATATCCACTACCAAGTTTCGAGCTTCTCCCAAAAGATGCTATTTGGGAGAAGCATCTTTTGGCATCCCCATTTTGAGTAGAGTCTACTTTTGAAACCTTCCACCTCCCAAGAACTACACTACAGACTTCATACTATACAGTTGTACAAGGTATAATTTTGTAGTGATGTATAATACAGTGGTGTAGTATCGCACCTATACATACACACCTACAAACTGTATTGTTTGATGTCCAGATCCTTAAAGAGATCACTGTTTACTCTTACTAGGCTCTGAGGACAAGGGCAACCATGCAGCCTGAATTTATCCTATTCTGCAATCTCTACATTGTCAAATCCATCAATGACATATGGTGTACTCTGCTAGCTTCCTTTGAATCGTGGAATGCGTGAAATCTGAAATGCTGGCGTCTTTCCTGGAACTTCCGAACTAGCTCTTCTTCCAGCAAGACAAACGAGTGAATTTGTGCAACGATCTCACTCGGATCTCACTCACAAGGATATTCATTATAATTGTCACGTTCGAGGGGCTGAGTTGTCTTTTGACGTCATCAGCCAATTCTTTAACATGAAAAAACTTATTTTCTGTTGAGATCAGATTTAATTACGTTTCGTAAAGATCAGAAAAGGAACTGCTTCCAGCATCTACTCCCTTCACGACCAAAATTAGGGGAAGGTATTAAGTACCTTCCATGTCACTCTTCAAATTCATGGAATGAAAGTAAGATCGACCATGATAAATACTATCGGGCTTTCAAGCCCTGCATTCCGTATTCCAGCTGATCTAATGATCGGACACAGGTCCTCAAAGTTTATATATTTACACCAAAATTCGTGTCATGGAAGCCTGCTGCAGGTTCACGACATGTGTATTTCTAGGGCAAGCAACTCTACCGACGATACCTATACCGCTTGAAGTTGAAGTACACATGTAAAATACCACGTTCGAACGTGCACTTAAATCCTTTCTTGTGTGAGTACTCCCATTCTTTATTGACAATCCTGAATGCCTGGACACAGCAACATACAAACGTGTCAAGGGATAATTTCAGAATACGATAGTGCATTAGGAGGCCATGACTCCCTTGTTGTCTATGTCCGATCTATGGATCTGGGCGATTAGGAAACTTGAGCTAACAAGTTTGGACAATATGGGGCAATAACGGATACGAGAAATATGAAGTATCATGCAAACAGAAACTGAAAGGGGGCACAACAGGGACTTACAATGTCCTCGTAAGGAGGACCTGCTTGAAATCGGATTAAACACGTCTCGCCCTTACTGCCGTCCCGTTCAATGAAATAAGTTGGAGCTCTTGTCTTATCCACAAGATCAGGATAGAAGATATTGAACTTGTATCCTTGAACGATCTTAGGTGGAGGATTGTCATGATCATAATGTGTTTGATTGTACTTGTTCCATTCGTAACCTGTATGAACACGATTGAAATACTTGGGCTTTCGTGGCCGATACTTGTCGTGCCACCAATATACCTATAATCATTATAAAGATATAAATTAGATAAACCAAATAATTAGCATGCAGTAAGAACAAATCCCAAACCAGGCTGAAACACGAAGAATTAATAGCATAAAAGATAATACTATAGATCTACGAAGGCTATATCCCACCTGTGACTCAAGATTGACTTCGGCACCGATACCAAGAATAGCATCTCCTTCTTCTACACCTCCCATAGCCTTCAGGACCAAGGCTCTTTCCTGACCGGTCAACTCCATGTTCTCATCATCCGGAACATTAGAACCAACCGCGGCTTCTTGCAATCTACGCTGCTGCTCTTCCAGCACAGCCGCTCTCTTCCGCTCCTGTTGTGTTTTTCAAAATAAAAGTAAAAGGATTTAGACATAGCTAAAATAATTGCTTAATCTCTTCGATCAACTCCCGGTATCTACTCACAAGATCTCTAAATCATTGAATATGCTGTGAATACCCTTGAAGCCAATAGAAACACAACTCGGCTATTAACCTGGCAGTCACTCTACAATTGAAATAGCATGCAGAATGTCAAGAAAAAGGGACTCACCAATTCGGCCTTGTCTGCCTCAGGATCCACCACTTCATCACCTTCATAATCGTGAACAAGTTCAGGGGAAAAAGAACCAGGTTCTTCTTCTGCTTCTTTTGTGGCTTCTTCTATGGCCATAGGCTCCGGGGAATAGGATGTTGGCTCTGCATCAGTAAGAAGGAAATTTGAGCACCTGTAACTCCATTGACATATTTGACGACTAAACTTACTAGACCTGATAAGTACCTTGATAGCATCTCACATATAAGGAACAAATATATCTAAGATATGTTCACAGAACAAACCTCTTATCATAATACCATGGGAAACAGTTAGGCTCCTCAAATAGAAACAAGAGAGGCACCTTCCCGTAAAGTCTTATCTAAGAGCACTTATAAATCCTAAGAGTGTCAAAACACCTGGACAAAATCTTATGACTTCATGCAAGAAGTACAAATATTCTGAAAAGATTGTAACTAAAACAAGCAAATATAAAGAATAAACATTAAGCAAGATAGATGACCTGAGGTAACACACACCAATATAACCAAAAAAGGAACGTGAAGACAAACGATGTTTTAATGTGCCAGAAAATACGGCACCTGACCCATTTCTACATTGGACTTGCTCACCTGCACCATCTGCGTCACCCCTCTCCGGAACCTCGGCTTGAGCCGAGGTTCCGTAGAGGGGTGATAAATCTTCTACTTGACGAACAGCTGTGTGTTCTAAATCTTCTGAATCTTGGAGCCGTTGCAGATGTTGCCGAAGCAGATCAGCATGAATCTCTCTAAGTCGTGCCTGCATCATACAAATGGTCAGTTATGAAGTTGTCAATACTTGATCATCTATCTTTCAAACGAGCAACATTGAAACAAGTATCATCACATTTTCAAGGGTCAAATGAACATTAATAACAACAGAACAGATGAAATGTTAGGTTCTTCCTTACTCAAACTCGTGCACTCATCCCCGGTCAAGATTATTCAAATTGGAGAGACTTTTGTACATATATATTAGTACAAATGCAGCCACTTTTATCCTTGCCTCCGAAAAGCTCATTTACCACAATTTTTTGTTTGGCCTGTAGTAAGAGGGGTGTCGCGCCCTATATGGAGGGGAGACTATAGGGAGGGGGCTTGTAGACTGAAAGCACATCGTGGCTCGCACGTAGTTTAATCCGTTTCGTGATCAGTAAAGTTGAATTTGTGAAACCAAATCCACGTTACAGACCTTTGCTTTAAAGATGTGAAGACGTTTCAAAACTGCTTCCCAATACTCCACCACTTTTGCTGTGCCTGAGCGCATCTGAGACTCAATTTGCGTCTGCATTTCATCAAGCTCGTAGTAGCTCTTGCCCTGAAGCATTTTCCGAACTTCGCTGTCAACACTTGCGTGCAGCCCCATGTCCTCTGCCACAAGCTCCGGTGGGGGTTCTTCTCCTCGCACACGAGCTCGATCTAAAGCGTCCCTCTTTCGCGCTTCTGCTATTTCCCAATCACAAACAACCATCATAGCCTGCAGTAAAACAGTGCAATCTGAGAAACAGATTGATGGTTATCCAAGGAAAGAGAATGGCTGCTTTATTATTATTCTTATTATTATTATTATTATTATTTGACTCGCACGGAATCCAAGGCATCGGAACTCCTTAGTGAAGCCGAAGAAGACATCATCAGTGCATTTACCAAGACAGTACGCATTACCTCCCAAAATTCAATATGAGTTGGTGTGGCACGATCAAGTTCTAGATGCATCTTAATGTCCAAGCGCAGCTCTTCCATCTCCTTTACCGTAAGTCCCTGAAACATCCACAGGATAAGATATCCCTTTATCCCGACTCCAAGAAACCGCACTACAACTCACCCTCAACAAACTGCGAAGTATACGACTTCAAAAGTAGGAAAAAACATACTTGTTTCCTACTTATGATTACTGTAAGAAGGCACTTTTAAAAAACAAGCTGATGTCATATGAAGTACCTTGTATATCTTATAGGGCTCATTAATTTCGATGTCAAAATCGTCCGACAGATTAAGATTTTTGGCCAATACATCTATAGGCTTAGCTCGTCCTTCACGTAGGCGGATGTCTGAGCGAACCTTGCTTTGCTGAAAATGAAACTGAAACCATACAAGTACAAGATGCCCAAGTGAGAAAGTCAACATGCTATGTCACGTTCCAAGTACTACACTCGTGTCATTCGACATCCATGAATCATCTTTTAGACAGATGAGAAAACAAAACATCCATTCCAATCCTTTCTTGGTGATCAATTCCATACCTCTTCTTCCTTCTTCTCCCAGTCTTGGAACTCAGCTCTTGCTCTTTCTCTTGCAAGCATGGCCTGCGTGCCACGTAATATTAAAATCAAACAAGAACAATGCACAGTTGAGAACCAATCCATTGACATTACGGAAAAGGTGTCCTTACAAAAGGTGCTTACAAAAGGTGTCACAGACAATCAGTACGACTCATAAGATTGTGAAAATTGGTTACCTCTGGCTAAGTTCTATCAGTGACTCAAACTGTAACCAATTTAATGTCATCAACTGAAACAAAGCATCTGCACAGAATGGTAAAGAACCTCATTCGATATAAAACTGCAACGTTCAAAAATCCTGACAAGTTGCACGTTCTCAACAATGTCTACGCGTATACCATTTAAACTCTACCCAAAGAACTCACCATTTCTTCCTCATGCTGAGCCTTCTCGATCGCTCTCTCCTCTCTCCGCTTCTTCACCTTCTCGATTTCAGCCTGGACAAACCCCATGAAATAATGATGAGACCGCGATTCCGTCATGGAAACGGAACACAGATGGGAGGGGCAGTGAAAATGAGTGATGAAGTAGCATCCATATGTACCATTCGCTCCTTTTGCCGTTTCTTTTCAGATTTCAGTGAGAGCTCTCGACTGTCCAAACCATTAGTCAGGTCTTTCTCAATCTTCTTCCTCCAAACAAACCTGAGAACCCAGGGGATCACATGTGAGCTTAACTCAACTATACCCATCTACTTCCATAAGTTCCAGGTAACTGCTCGGCATTCCGTGCTGAGACAATTCGCACAGCCATCATATCCTGACTTCAGCTTCAAAAGAAATCAAGTATTCCTCCAGTATCAACTACACTTACATTGATTAAAATACTGGAGAAAAGACAAACCTGAAAAAACGAAGTAGCATTTGCAGTGCAAGAATATTACGGCCCACCCTCAAATAAAAGGTAACTTAAGTAGAAACGGAAGTACCTTTCTGTGAGATTCGAGTCACCAAAAGGATTGCTATCATTTGTATATCCCGACACCGTCTGTGTCTTTAACTTCTTCGCCACTTTTAGTGCCTAGCACATACGAGGGCAAAATGTTAAGACCCACAGCTGACCTTTCAACAGTACAACTAATCCGATGTGGAAACAACTAACTGCTAAACACAGTTAAACACAGTATCATACCTTCTTGTGGGCCTTCTTGCCCAAGTACTCTTTCACCTCTTCATCGGTTATCCTCTTGGGAGACCGGCTGCGGCTCCGATCTGAGTCCTCGTCGCTGTCAGAATCGCCATCGCGCCCTCGACGTTTTCTTCTTCTGTCGGATTTTCTGTCAGATAATTCGCTCTCGGAATCATCGTCTCTTCTCCTGTGTTTCCTCGACTGACTACGGGACTTTGAACGATGCTTGCTACTTTTCTGCGAGCGTTCATGTTTCTCCTCTTCTTCTTCTTCCGAGCTCGTTGAGGCTCTCGCCATAATTTTCAAATTGCAATCTCCGCCTTGCAACTCAAGTCAACTTTGGCTCTCAATCCTGCATTCCCCATTGCTGGCTCAGTATACTAAAAGAGATGAATGCACGGTCATTATGACCTAAAGCAACGTCATCAGTATTCACAGCCCTTTACGCGTCCAATTGACGTACATATTCTCTAGACGTATAAGAAACTAAGAGTGCGATCCAAAATAGATTCTTCTCAGAAGCAAAGCAGTAGCAATTCCCATCAAGCGAGTATAGGGCCGCCTCAATGTGGAGCACACACGACGATATACAATTCACGTCTGCCCACGATGACACTGAGAGCTGTAAGGACCTCTTGCCTACTCCTTCCAGCTGATGAAGGCCAGAGAAAAATTGAAGGGCAACAACCCAACTGAAATGTAGGGACCGTTCCGTTCGGGATGCGTGCAGTAGACAGAGCAAAATCTTCATCAATGAGAAAAGTACGACCTGCTGAGAAAAAGAAATATTTACTCGGGCAAATCCAACACGATGGCTCACGGTTCAACCAAGGGTTTGAAACCTTCAGAACCTTTTCTGTCGTGTGTCTCAATACTGATGCACCTTACGGCAATTTCTATTCATTCTTGTAATGTTACAACCATAATTAAATCATAGGCTTCAGCAAAGATTGTCTCGGACGGTGAAAAGAGGTAACTCAAGGACAAGCTCCATGAACCAAAATTTGGAAGGAACTGGAAAATTTGGACTGGAAGGAATGAAACTGAAGTGCAGATGACACCTCGAAAACATACGACGCACAAGAGGTTTATAAGGTAGAAGAATCCAACATAATGAAATACTTACTCGAGAGATTTTAAAGTACACAGAAGAACTTTAAATCCTTACTGTCAACTCAATATCGAACATACACGTAACGCCAAGCAATAGCTAACGGATGATAACCCACTCAAACAGCTAGACAGAAGCATTTCATAAACTTCGAAATCGATAATCTCGGAATGTCAGCAATTAGAGAAGCCCCGCTTTAAAATCTTCAGAATTGATATTTCTTGTCAGGTTTATTCCTACATACGTAAAGGGCGATGACGTGAGATGTACGTAACCCATCTCGACATTCAGGTGAAAGTGCGAAATAATGACCTCTATTCTAACGACGTCCATTCGCATTGCATTTCATCTCCAGCTTCGCCCGACCAACAACAGCTTCGAAATCTGTACAGAATCTTTCGGAGAGGAAAATAGCAACAAGTAACAATGAAGACCAAAAGAGACGAACCAGATGATTCTCTCCGACTCCCTGAGTCGTCACGAATTAGTCTACAGCGTTGTTGCGCCCTCTGAGCCAAGAAGAGCTTGCTTCCATGCTGTTGCTATGCTTCCCTTCCCTGCAGCGCCTGCACCACCCCGTGCCATGCTCGGACTCTTGGGCTCTCGTGGGACCCGATTTTGACACTCGGCTTTCAGAGAAACCCCGTTTCAAAAGTGACCGATTTGGACCCGAGGCACGCAGTGACGTGACGTGTCTGATATAACGTCTAGATGTCAATGATTTCGGTCATCTCGCACATTCGATATAATTTAAGTTCTTGACTTTTGAAACAAAAGGAAAGTAAGGAAACCAGGAAAGTAATTTGCTTGATGTGAACCCTCAAGTTTAGTTTTACCCTATAGGACATAGTTCTTGTAACTACGATTACTACTAGTTACAATGCGGAAATTACAATCAGAGATAGATCTTTGATTATAATTTCTGGTGGATTATCACGGGGACAAAGATCGATTTTGCTCGAAGTGCAATTTGTTGTGCTTCAATTGTGCTTTAATTCTTCCCACCGCAAAGATTCGCAGATTTCTCTGTTGCCTCCCACCTGCACACTCCTTCCGTAACCCTAATCAAGTCTCACGAACTCATTTGTGACGAACAAATAAACTCCGTATGAACATTTCTTTGCTCGTTTCCTTGGAGAGTGGCCGGATACAGAATGACAACATAAAAACAAGTGAGTGTGATGGAGTGCGAAGTCCACTCTGTCTGCGGGTGCGGTGTACTCGTTGCACGCTCTCTAGTTGTTATTAGAACATGGGTGACGGTGCATCGTTCATGGGTCCCATCGGGTAAAATGAAACCTGAAGGGTCACATCAAGCAAATTACTTTCCGCAGGGTCCCATCAAGCAAATCTCTCGAAACAACGTACAAAAGTGTGGTAGTAAAAATAAGAAACCTAGTCAAGTACAACGTAATGCATGAAAGACTATGAAACCATGAGAGTAACGTGGAGCTAGTTTACAATCCTGTCACAATGGTTATTATGGGATCTATTTCCATTTATTCAAACTATGTAAGCCAAATGTTTTACAAACAACAAGAACTAACTAACAAGCATCATGTAGTACAATTGCACTCCTGTTTATAGAGAAAAAATAAAGAAAGATATAATGATTATAGACTATGACTTAAATATCACAAGGTATCTCCTTGGTTACATCACACGATGTAAAATTCATCATGCTTCATTTAATATATGATTTGATTGCTCTTTATGGATTATATGCATCAAAATATATATATATATATATATATATATATATCTAAAACTATGCTTCAATAAAGTAGCTTCATCCGTTTAATTCATATGAGGAAATACATCTCTTGAATTAATGCTAAAGTTAATGAACAAATTCCATCTACCATGGATAAATAATCTATTTGCATATCTCTAAACTTAGAGAATTTACTCTTGTTGTTTCACTTCTAAAATAAATAGGCATAATCAATCATGTTAGTACGAAATATGCAAAACAGCGATAGCCAAATAGTTGGCAAGACGAAAACAACTTTACCCAATCATAACGTGGTTTAACCTTCAGAGAGCTACATCTACAAGAAAAACACACGAGAAAGTTTACCACCCTAGTGAAAACGCAACAATGATATTGTACAGAAGCGTCAGAGTATATATGCCCAACATCGGATTTCAATCTAAATATAAATAGCTAGCATCAATGGTTTCTCCTAGACTAAAGTTAACTTCAACAAATCATTTATTCAACAATTGTTTCGTCAGCAGAATATCATATCCAAAAAAATCAGATATTGTATCAATTTAATTAGCAATTTACATGACATATTCCAGGTTGTTCAATGCATCACATGCAAATATAGTCACAAATTTAAGTCAGTATCGAAATCTAGTTACAGAAAAAAAATTTGATTGAGAGCTTTGATTCAAAAAGTTGTTTAAAAAAAAGTTCAACAAATCTTTGTATTGAATATTTAAATATAATTTAGAGCATAGATATTTTTAAAAATACATTTACAATAAAACACATTAGTATATTTTGGCGCACTTTTGGTTTTTTTGTATTTTTGCTTTACAATTTGTATCAGAGTGATTAAAAATATTTTCGCGTGAAAATCTAGAAAGAAAAATTAATGAGTACAATCACGACCGGTAGCAGTTATTGACAAGGATGAGCAACAGAAGGAGTATGATGATATGTGTGATTTGAGGATGTCCAATTCACGCTTCCACTAGAGTAGAGGTGAAGATTAAGAATCAAAGAAATTTGTATTCTGAAATTCTGAGATTCTAAAATAGTGTGAAGTAAACCTTGTGAGGTGTACAATGTTGAAATTTCAATTCTCTCTCCGTTGAATAAAGAATCTAGGTGGCTCCAAGATGCACTTTACAGGCTGACGTGGAAAAAGAAAAACCTCAAGAGTTTCATTTTTTGAATCATCAAGTAGGAGTTCATGAATAAATAAATCAAGGTAACGACTATCGAGGTGAACTGCATTTGAAGACCTGCACTAGAGATAGCCGCCAAGGCTTGGAGCTACGTAATCTTTACATGTGAAAAAATTGCTAGAACCCAGAGACGTAGCTATGTTTGCTACCAATAAAAAAAGATGTGAATATCTTTTTTGTCCCGGGAATATTTTATGATACAAACACTCAGACATGGCTTTTTCTTCCTTACGATAACTTTTCAACTATGATCACCCATCTCAGTTTATTTAATGTACTAAACTGGGCTCTTATAGATGGAATACTTCCGCAATTTTTTGTTTAAAACATTCAAACAAATTTATCTTCAATCCGATTTAGTGATAAACAATTCAAGAAGACGGTGACAAAAACATTTGAACAATAATAGATGAGTGCAAAAGAAGAAATTTTTACTCAAACAACACAAGAAGTTATTACAAGTGTTAGGCAAAACAAGATGGCGGTCACAAAGTCAAGCACAGCAAGATATGAGATCGTTAAGCACGATGGATCTTATGACTATAACTTAATAATGAGAGCAAATGAAGAGCAAGCTGAAGGTTATAGATCTAGCTAAAACATAGAGATGAAAACCTTTCATCTATAAATACAACAAGCAAGATGTTCAAAAATTGTGATCTTTAATTTATCTTGGAAATATTTTTTTTAAATCTTATCATGATTCTAGAATATAAGAAGTAATCCACATGTCCGCACCAAAACATATTCTCACACAATCTTTGCATTCATAGCACAAATATACCACTTATTGACATTTCAAAATGATTTGTTTATTGAATCTCCCATTGATGAAACAAGTTTTTGCACAATGAACTCTTCAAACTTGATTGAAATTATTTTTTCTATCTCTATATATATAGTAAATTATTGTATTATCTAGTTTATTTTCACAAAGATAAACCTTGATATGACTAATTTTCATCACATGACAACATGCCATTGAACTTTCTAAACCATTTAGAAACTTTTTTGTTCCTAAAGTGAGGTGACATGTCATTGAAAACAAAGTGAAACTTTTCTTGACACCAAGTCAATTTTAGACTTAAGCTAACTAGCAAAATTACTATTTCTTAATCAAACTAGTCAAAATTATCAAGTGGTCAAAGTATTCTCTTTATAATCTAAACTTCAATGCAAGATAAAATATTTTTGCTCACTCATTTTATTTGGAAGTATCAAAATTATTCCGCCAAACATAGGTTTAATTGAAAAATACAATCATAACCAGCTAAATTTAGTCATGACTAAGCTCAATATTGTCAAATGTTTAGCTAATTATTCTATAAACTTCCAAAGACAACTATCAATCTTACGTATGAATAATATGCAAAAGCATGTTATTTATCGTGAACAAATTCAAAATAATTTCAACATTTTTTTTCACTTCTACAATTATGCCGTACAATTTGTTTGTTATTCTATATAATTCAAACTAGATTTGTACCTTGAGCTCCTATCACAATGTTGTTCTCCAATCATTTGATCTTTGGAGAGCAACAAATATCTTTGTATTGGACTCAGATTTTTTTTCACTTGCATGATTTTACTCTACTTATGCATCTTGTCTTGTACATACAGTTGAATTAAATTTTTGTCTATCATATTTTTTTCTCATCAAACTTGTAAAGCTTCAAAGCTGAATTCATTCACTAAAGCTTGCACAATGTGATACAAATGCAAAACAATCCAAGGTTTCAATATCAAAGTTCATGTTGGTCATTACAAAGAGTATTAAAGTCATAAGTCAAATTCAGGTATACGAACCTCAATACAAGAATGCACATCACATCCACTACCAAAAATATATTATTCATCATAAAGGTTTTGTAAAGTAAAATTTGTATGCTTTATTAAGCATTAGTGAACTGTCTTATATAATGAAAATTCAACCACCTTTATTAACTAAGCTCAAGATAATTTGAATTATAAGAAGATTTTAATTAACTTTCTTAAAATTTAATCATTCTGCTTTTAAAAATATCTTTTATTATTTAATCTTGAACCGAATGAAAAACAATAACCCATATTTTATTCATATCATAATTTGAAAAGTTATTAATATTGATTAAAAACCTTTATACTATCAGGTTTAAAATTAATTTTTATTTTTTTTGAAATTATTGATGATTTAGAAAGAGATGGTTGGAAATATAATTTATACAATGGAATATATTTTTTCAATTTAACATTAAATTAAATATTATTTATGATTTGATTTTTTTCTAAATATTTTCTAACAATAATGCATTATTCACTACAATATCATGTAAAATGATGAAATTTTGATATATATCTTAATAAATTTGATTGTGATATAAATTTTGCACTTGTGATTAGTAGATGTTCTCATTATTAACTTAGTTGACATGTTTGCTTAAGTTAATGCGTAATATTGTAACTAATGACTATTGCCATGTATATCCGTTTGGTTATTTTGCTAGATGCTTTCATTTTTTACATTTTTGGCATAATATCATGACACAAATTGTCTTTCAATGATAATAAAAATAGAATCCAGATCAAGCAAATACCATCATTCACAAAAAGTCAACACTACAATTACATGAGTTGCTCTATGTACCTAAGAACATTGATGATTCAAGTCTCTATTGGTGAAAACTACACTTACCTTTTTTACATGTGATATGTTAACCATAAACTAATGAATAATATTTACAATAATAATAAAATAGAGTGAACAAGACGTGGATACATTACTAACATCATTAACAAGATTTATATGAGATGAACATTAAAATGCATATTTCGAACATATTTCAAAATGCACTTCAATGCTATTAATCAACAACAAATAAAATAATAGAAGTTTAAACTGTTAAGGTATTTTAGACATATTTAATTTTTTTTTCAATATAAAAAAATAAAATTTTGCACTGAATTTATAAAAATGATTAATAATATATGAAATTTCATTTCATTTCAAATGAAATAATATAATAAAAAATACATTATTTAGAATTAAATTAAACTTTTTGAAATGTTACTCAATAATTTGTGAAATTAATGCATATTTTTTGAAGTAATATATATATGTCAAAAACTTAGATGTGCATGTTACATCAAGATTGCATTCATTAAATAAAATGTTTAGACTCATGTAAAGGTATTTTCAAAAAACTAAAATCTCTTCATTGCAATTTTTTGCAAAATACACTTTTTTTATGATTTTTTTTCAAATTTATTTAATATTATATTGATCCAACAAAATTTCTATACATTTCATAACTATATTATTTTTTGAGTGAAATATGAGTTTAATATGTTAATAACACATTCAAACTCTGTAGTTTACTATGTAAAAGAGATTTCATTATACTTCAAGAAATTTTTTCATGCATAATAAATGCATAATCACAGGAAATGTGGATTTGTATTAATTTGAAATTTAACACATGAGTTTCAATTAGACAAAAAAATTTATGTTAGCATGTTACATTTATTATCATACTCCATGAAAACTATCTTATATGGATTTTAGCTTTGACTGTAAAGTACACATGAGTATGAGTAAAATGAAAAATACACTTTTTCACTCTTTCAATTTGTATAAGTTGCAAAGTATTGAAGTCGATGCTGAAATAACTTCTATGTGAGTTTTTATCATGTTGAAAATCTCAATTTCTATCTTCTTTCTCAAAAAGAAATTTCTGTGTATGTAAGCAGATTTCAATTTGTCAATATCAATTGCTAGTGTCACAATCAAATCTAAGTTTTCATTTTTTAAATTTCAAGTGAAAATGTAAGCTTACTCTATCAATCAGATATAAGCTTGTGTACACTTTGGGGAGAAGTAAAAGAATGAACACTTCTCATAACTACACCTGGAAATGTATAACTTTTTCGTTGCTTGATTTGTGTGATACTTCGCTGTGAGGTTTATGTGTTTAGATAGGCCAAGTGAAGATAGGAGGTTTATACTGCAAAGGTTGCCATCATATTCATTACGCTAATAAATTCCTCTTGTGATACATTTTAGCAAACATAAACCTAAACTAATCCATCACATTTATTTAGTTGTTCCATCATATGAAAAGTGGATTCAACTAATTTTATGCAATTTCATGATACAAATGTTCATCGAACAAGAAATTGCAATATTTTAAAGTGAAACAAAAGTAAATTCCGAGTTACCCGGAGTGCATTGGATCGTTAAGCTTAAACTTTTGGTGGATTCCGACACTGGTTCCGGCAAGCTTGAAACGAACTGTGAACGTCCGATGAGTGCGTCCAATAGAATGGAACATCAGCTGATCTCAGGAAATACTCCACTTTCAGCTGGACATTGCAAGTGGCAGTATCGAATCTGTGTACACTTCTCGCTCGCTCAATGAACATAGTTGAGGAGATGTGGGTGTGGCAAATTACCTCCTTGGATTGAAGTGACGGAAGGGCTGGCCTGAGAGGAAGCTGAGTTGAGGAGGGATCTCTTCTGCTTTCGACTCGTATTTTTTGAGGCGGAGAGTAAAGGAGAAACGATGTGGATGATGATATGTTGAAGAACTGATGATGACCCCGACTCCTTAAGCTCGATTACAGTCATGATAGGGTACGCAAGGATGTACTGTCAGGTTAATTTTGGTCTGCCAGTTGTGGGGAAGCCATTCAAGCGCGGAATTACAACATTGCATTCGTTCTCATCTATGGTGAGTAATATCTCTGTCATCTTTCATGAAAGAACGTGAACTTGGTGCCGTCCAATGTCTAATGTATTCTCTGATAGTGCTGGCATGCAAACATCCCATTATCTTCGCTCTTTCAGTCGACTGAAGATTGTATCGTTTTTTTTTAAATGCAATTCAGACGAGGATGGATTCATCAACTGTTACGCATTTATCTCAGTCAACAGCCGACAGTGAGCAATCTACGACGTTAACGAACAGGTCCCTCGTGTGGAACGCGCGGTCGAAGAACTCTTTGCCAGACCGTGTTTTACTCTTAGATGGCAAAGCTATGGTATACCGCGCTTACTATAGAATAACGTGTAAGTGTAGACTTCATGAACGATTATGTCGTTGCCTTTTTGGTCCTAATTAGCAGCCTGTGTGTTGCTTTTATTCTTAACGGTGCTAACGTGTGCTGCTTTCTTGAAAAGCCAGAGTAAGCAAGCATTCGATGAAAAGCGTTACTAGAGGAGACTCTGCGGAGAACTCGGGATGGGATTCGTCTCTGACAACTGTTGTTGCTCTGAATGAGGTGTGTTATGTTTTGTAAAGACCATCAATTTGTTACTTGAATTTCTTCAAAAATAGTCGTTCCGTCTGCTGTGCTTAAAACTATTGTGGAGAGTTGTCTTGGTCTTGTTTAGTTGGCCTGAAAAGACCAATACTCATCTTGCTTTTCGGTCTTTGCGCAGATCTTGAATTTGCTAGAGCTGGATCCTTCTCATGCCGCGGTAGGTGACGAGGAGCTCTCAGTCTTCTTTTCTTTGACTTTCTCTCTTTATGGTTTGCTGTGGCACTCGTGTCTCACTGAAATTTTGAGTCTGGACTGTTCATTGGCTATGACTTGCTTGTGCTGACTTTGTTTGCTGTTGTTGTCTGAGCAACTCCAGGTCGTCTTTGATTACCCAGGTGCGGTTTTGTTACCTGTTTCTTAAGTTCCTGAATGGGAGGTAAACCTTGTGGCCACTCTCGTTATCTTCTTAGGAGTTTCTGCGGTTGTTTGATATGTAGAATAATGATGCATAATAATCAGAAAGTGAAATGGATGATTAGATGAAGTGAAATCCATATCGTCAAACATTAGAGTGATTGTTTTGTTCCGATTTCCTCTTGGGTTACCAGCATCACATTGTGCTCTTCCCCCTTTATCGCACCGTTTTCATTATGTGAGAAGCCGAATCGTGGAAGCAGCACTAGTTGCTAATAAGTGAGATGGCATAACTTGTACTCGGTTATATGCAGAGAGTGATTCCGGTAGTACTTCCTAAGTTCTCAATATGAGTGTGGGGTTAAGGTTTACTACCGAGCAGGTTCTGCAGGCCGTGTTGATGTCTATCTCTGTGTTAATTATATTTTTATCTCCATGTATAATTGTAATTAGGCAAGAATTACGCGATGCACAATTTTTTCGCCCGATTGCCTTTGGTATCTGTGAGGTTACGTGTCTGTATTCTCCGAACAAAAGCGTCGGCAGTTTGTTCAGTGGTACCGTGTGCCGTGCCTTAGAAGTAACAAAATGGATGATCCATGCATTGAAGAGTTTGCCTCATAAATTCTTCTAGTCGCATGTATGGTTTGTTAGTCAGACCCGTCGACCTCCACCTTTTAACACAATTTTAATTTCTCCGTTCGAGTAACTACATGGCTCAAAGTTAATACATGAAGCTTGGACTTCTTTACTCCCGTTCATACTGTTGTAGGAGCTCACTCGGACAGTGTGCTCTCGTCTTTGAAGTCCTTCTCATACATATATATTTTAAGAATCACCATGAAAGAGGTTCCTCGATATATTGCAGGGCAAACATTCAGGCACACCTTACTTCCAGAGTACAAAGGAAACCGCTCACCAACTCCCGATACGGTGTGGGATGCGGTGAACTTCACGAAGGCTGCACTACTTTCGATGGGGGTTCAAGTTGTCGAGGTTTCTAATTTACGACCCTTTTGTAAACATTAATGACAAGTCACCACATATGGTCTAGGTCAACCTTTTGTATGTGTTTACCCTTGCGGTTTGTACAATCATAACTTTATTCTTCGTACGTAGGTACCAGGCGTAGAAGCTGATGACGTGATCGCGACTCTTGCGTCTGAGGCTGTAGAAGCAGGGATGAAGGTTCTGAGTCCTGTTACTGGGTGCAAGAAGGATGATTTGAAATATCGGTTTTTTGCTTTATCACCTTCCGCTCTAGTTTGATTGGTTAAGAGCTACAGGATGTCATTATCATGGGATACTTTGAGGTTCTGAGAGTTACGCTGCTATTTTCTCGCTGGGTAGATCGTGAATAGTCCTGAACAGTACAACTTGGTGTGGTATAGCTTCTAATAAACACGTATTTATCTCCAGGTAAGGATTGTATCCCCCGACAAGGACTTCTTCCAGATCCTCTCACCTCAAGTGCGGCTTCTGAGGTATCTCCCTCAAGGATCAGGGTGAGTGAAGCTCTCAAACTTTGCCTTAACCTTTTGTATGAAGTTGATTGAGATGAAAAATCACACACGTTTTGCCCAGCAGAAGTGAGACTAGATATCTGATCTCCAATTGCCATATCTTTATTTCGATAGGCTGTGCTTCTTATCTTAAAAAGAAGTAACTCTCTTCAATGAAGATAATTCTCCGGGGAATTCTACGGGCTTCTAGTTATCCTCAACCCCCACGCGTCCAGTGCAGAAACCTTGCACCTTGGTATCCACTGATGAAGCAGCTGAGTCTAACAGACGGGAATGTCAAGCTTCACGTTCAGATATTGTTAGTGGTCACTGCAGGATTTTCCTATGTCAGACTGGATCCTCTATACCGCACACGTACTTACAAGCACTGTCATTTCGACAGCATGACTCTTCCATGTATTCCACCATGTATTCCAACCTGTTACCACTCGCCCCTTTGTTATCAAGACTCGGTTTGTCTTTCATCTCTTACCGTTGCAGTCCATGTATAACATATCCCACTTTCAGGATTGTCTACTTCTTTCTTACTACGAAGTATTTTTCGTCGGCGCCTCTGTGACGTATATTAGCGTTGCCTTCGCCTATATACTAGTCTCTTGCGGCTCTCATGTACTACTTTATCTGTATCTACACTTAGGAGATCTGCTAATCCTTGTTTCCTTCTTGCTGGAACAGTTTTGTGTCATTCGGAGTGGAAGAGTTTGGCCAGAAATTTCCAGGCTTGTTACCTTCTCAACACGTTGACATGCAAGCTCTCGTCGGTGATAGGGCTGACAACATTCCAGGTTAGTATACACAAAAGTTGTGATGTAAGGAGATTAAAACTTGCTCTCTTGTTCGTTTTTGCAAGAAGACGATATGTGCTTTGTTGTAGCTTCTCTGGAATCTCGAAAACGAGGACTCTTCTCTATGTTTTCTCAGTTTACCTGTGGACAGATTAAAATCTACCTCCTATTTAACTAAAGAGCGTTTGTGTGCTCTTAAATTTCTTCAGGTGTGAAAGGTATCGGAGATGTTACTGCTAGGAAGTTGATAATCCAGTTTGGTAAGTGCTTGGAAGTACACAACCTGGAAATACATGTAGTGCTGTGTATTTCATGAACTTTGATATCTGTATTCGTCCCACTTGCAAATTACTTTTGAATGAACCTGTTCGTTCATTTCTTGACCTCATATGTAGACCTCTGTCGAGAACAAGGAGTGGAAAGGCCATGAGGCTGCTGTCGCCTGTTAGTCACTCATTTCATGTTTTTGTCAGTAGACAGATTGCTGCCTTGTATTGTCTTTTGACGTGGATAGTAAGTGGTCAAGAGGGAAACAACCAGGCCTGCGATATCGTCATCATGTTTAAGTTCTATCTTCCTTCACTTTCAGGTACTTTGGAAAATTTGCTGCGGGACCGTGGTTTAATAACGCAGTCGCGAGCCCGAGCTGTGAGTGAACTCTTACCTAGTTATTTCGAAATTTCCTCCACCAGAGATCCTCAAACATAAGGCTGGACAGCTCCTGACTTCTAATAATGTGTGGCTAAAGTTTGGCTTTGAGTACCTGCCTATTAAGATTTCGTCATTGTTAGTCAGAGATTTCTGCTCTTTATTATCTTTGAAATGAAACCTGAAATCCGGGAAGTTGTAGTGGCTTCATCTCAATTTTGATTGTCATAATGTGGAAATGACGAAATGGTTGTTTGCCACGTTCTACCTCTGTAGCCGTTGGTTGAAGTTGTGGGCACGGGCTCTCAAACCCTGATTGCGTAGAACTGTATTCATGAATTAGGCTTTAGTTGGGATTCATGTCTGGAATTGAAGGCGCACATAGTAACCTCCTCTCTGTGTGGTGCAGACTCTACTTCTCGACACTGGAGAAGCTTTGTTAAGCAAAAAACTGGTGAGTAGTTCCTGTGTAGAATGGAGATGAACTGTTCGAATCTCATAGCGACGGGTTGGTTTTATCCTCTATGGTCCATCTTCGTTCGCTGTCGACTTTTCGTTTTGTAATGAACCACGTTGTCCTGTTGATGGAACTCGATTTTCTTATATATGTGTGCAGTTGTTACTGAGATTAGACGTGCCCGCCTTTGCAATGCAATGCTCAGTGCAAAGTCTACGTTGTAAGAAACCTAAGGTAAATCAAATTGTATGGCATTGCATTTTCAAATTCGTCCCCAGTGCATGTTTTCTAGGGCTTGAAATATGTTGAAAAGCTTGTATGTAGGTCGAGGTCTGAACGTTCATCTTGGATTATACATGTCCTTTATATCGTCACACGCGGGGTAGCTATGATAGATACATGTTCGAACTTGTACGACAGGATGTCAGGGAGTACACAAAGCTTGTGGAGGCACTGGTAGATCTTGTGGGTACAACTACATCCGATAATCTGCTTGAGCGCACAGTCGAGTATTGGAGAAGGTTGGAAACCCAAACGTAAGATTCAGCAGGTTCTTCTTCGAGAATCTTGTTATCGTGAAGATTTTGAAGTAAAGTCAGGATGAGGGTGGACCGGTAGCTCATGGCTTGTGATGTTAAAAGACGTCTGTTGGTGCCCTAGTTAGTTCTAGGAGGCCAGCAACTTTCACAAATCTGCAGACTCAGGAATTGTAGAGCTGCCGAGGGTCTCCCTGGAAATTGAGGTAGTCACAACGAGGAATTTGAAGTGAGCTTGATCGATATTGTGATTCAGCTAACTGCGCAGCATATTTTTTTATCAACAGTACATTTCCAAGTCCATCATCTTCTTCTGCGTGCAATGATGATTCTGATGCCTCATTGAACAAATAATAGTCTACCAAGCTTGTGCGCTGGGTGTTGCCCTCTCTGATCGCATCCCCGGACAAGGAAGCCATTATTCTTCCTTCACCGCGTCAAAGAAACGAGTGATCGCTATACCAGGACTCGTAGATATGACGCATTGGACGTATCGATGTCGGGATGGAAAGATGGTTGACTCTCCATGCGAAGCATTCGTTCCGTTAACTGGATTGAATTCTCCGCGGACTCATGATTACAAAATTCCGCACCACAGGCAAAAAGTACGCAAACGCAGAAACGGAAAACGGCAGAGAGATAGGCCCTCTCCAAACAGTAAGTACACGAACAACAGGGGTGAAAGACTTCCCAATGTTGATACGTCCAGTAGCAAAATGAGTTTTACTTGCACAAAGCCCTATACAACAAATCGGCCGCAAGTTTCAACGTGAAAACGGTGAAGCGCAATCGACGAGTCAAGGATGTGATTCGCCCTCGACTTGACCTTCAGATATATTCGCAACGAGTATTGCAAACAGCGGGATGGACCTGAAGAGCAAACGCGCGGCTTGAGGACAGGATATGGTTGGAATCCAGTTCATAATTCCATAGGAGGGCATATTCGAGTACGTGTTTCATCTCTAAGTATCGGGTCCTGCCCATCACGAATTTATCTAATTAATTTGTCCACATGAAAGCGTTCAGTGCCTGGGTGAGGGCAAGGAGGGAGGATTTCGTCCTTGGGCAATCGTCACCTCGAGCGTGGCAGCCGGACATGGCTGAAACACTTGTGCTACCTGGTCCAGCTGGATACGGAACAGCAGAGCAGTGCTACTTTTCTTCTCGTGGTGTCGCGCATCTTTGAGGATAACTCGACGGATCACACGGTCACTGCTTCCTTCGCTTGGACTGACGTGGCGGCCTTCTGTGAGCTGACTTGGAAGGTCGATTATGGACATTCCTTGACAGGCAGACTGCCTCAACGTCCGTCTGTCGTAGGCTGCTGCTACTGATTTTACGCTCCCTTACCGTGTCTGCAAGAAATGGCCGTCGCTGCGGGTCGTGTCTCGTGTTCGTGGATTACCGAGACGCGAACACTGAGCAATTGCCAGAGCTCAGCGTACGGGAGTCGATTATCCAATGTCAGTTGCATCCGCCTGATCAGGTCCAGACGCTCTAGCATCGCTGTGGGCCTCAGCATTCGAAGTGAGGCGGAGGCCAGAACGGAGAGCGGGAGCAGCGCGGAGCAAGACCGAGGCGACAAGAAGAAGGTGGTGGTGGTCGGAGCAGGATGGGCAGGTCTCGGTGCTGCACATCATCTCTCCAAGCAGGTCAGTGGCTGTGCCGATTGAATCCGTGCTTCTTTAGAAGAAGAATTTTAAGTTGCACCAACTCTGCTGGATTACTTTCTGTCTTTCTCATGGTCTGAGAGTGAACGCAGTGTCTCCTGTCTGCTAGATAATGCTCCAACCTCATCCTCTTTTATGGGCCTTTCAAGTGTCAATTCTCGAGGAGTTTCACTTGTGCAAGCCCCCTAACTCTCACATGGTGTGATTGATAATTGAGCTTCCTCTGAGTCGTCCACTACTTTGACAATGGTTGTCTGTGCGAGAATTCTTTCTTTGTCTCCCCACCTGCTGCCAGCGAGAGCATCTCACTGCCCGTGGGCTTGCACAGGGTCTGGATGTGACACTCTTAGAAGCTGGCCCCCAACCAGGAGGACTTGTAGCAGGATGGAAAACTCCGGCTGGACGCTCGGTGGAGGTCGGCATTCACGGTACGAAACTTATCCTGTCGCCAGTACTATTCGACCGCAAGACTGGCCCCTGGTATGTGTTTTGAAATTTCTTTCTACAATCTCTCCCCATTGAGGCGTTTGGACATGATATTTTGGCAAGGGTGATGATTCTCACTGGATATAGTCCAGCAATGCCATAAACGTGATGATCATCACAAGTTTAGCCTTGAAGAATGCCATATTGTTCAGTTTGTCCATTCCAAGATGTCGGAATTGGTCCCCGCCTGCCGACTGTGCTGTTTCAGAGTTCACTAGAAGGTACGAAAGTCACTGCTCTCTGCGTAGCAATTGGACGTAGTCCAAGATTCATGCTCAAATGCAGTTGCAGTGGTTTCACGCCCAAGTTTTGCATCATTTTTAGAGATTCTGGAAATCGTTTTCCATCTCGAGCCTTCAGTAAGTGTAATGAATTTCGGGTTATAGACGAGTTATAATCTCATGGTCTGAGTGAAGGTTTCTGACGGTTTGGAAGAGTGGTGGGATGATGGATGACATGTCTGATCAACTACCACAGGATTTTGGTACCCGTACAAGAACATATTCGCTTTAGTGGATGAACTTGGACTGCGACCTTTTACCGATTGGACTCGCTCGGCTCAGTACTCTCCAGCTGGACTCGAGGTAAATAGCAATGATGGACTTCTGCATGGCTCTCTTCGTCAGCGCACAGATATCGTCCAATTGAGATAGTGCCATTTATATATCCAGGATAAATCTAGATATCTAGACGCTAAAAATCTGAACTTTCAGTCGTGAATGGAAGGAACAAAACAAAACTCTCATAAGGTAATGGGCGGCAAATGGTGTCTGCAATGGCCTGCTGAACCTGGCTCCTCTCTTGCGCATACAGGCCTCTCTATGAGCTCAACCAATCCTATCCGGGTGTTGCCTTCATCACTTAAATGTTCCACAATGAGCGAGAGAGCTGGAATACAAAACCATAGTCAGTGGGCTACGTACCCGCCGATTTTCTGAACTCACGTCATAGTAAAATACCTTGGTGAATCTGATCTCGTCAAGGACATGTCTTTGATCTCTCGTGGCTGTGGACCAGGTAGAGTCTCCTATCTTTCAGGACCTTCCTCGACTTCCAAGTCCACTGGGGACATTCGTCTATACCCAGGTAAGTGATTGTCGGTTGTTTTCGTTCATTGGTTCCAGGCCTGTTTTACACGTCCATCCATACCTTCGATGTTTGAGCATACACTTTGAAGGATATTCATTTCCAGTACGCAGGACAACGGATGGTAGTCGTAGTCGTGCTGTACTTATTTAGACGGAAGCAATGACGAATATCGAGTGAGTAGGTTTTATATGTACAACATTTTGGAGACGTCTATTGACGCTTTGCGGTGGTGGTGGTGGATGTGATCCAGTTTCTGCGCTTACCGTTGCTCGACCGATTGACAGCTCTTCCTCTCATGTATTCAGGTGATACCTTCACTTTCATAGGGAAGGATTGACTGCTAAAGAAGAATTGAATTTTGAAGGTTTTGAACCTTGCGATTCTTTATAATATTCGTAGAACACTTTGAAGAAGCTGAGCCTCCATCCTTGCATTGACAGTCGTTCCAAATCAGAGTCTAAGAACGAATTCTCTCTGATACAGTTATCGACTTCGACAACAGCGACGCAGCATGGAGAAAATACGATACTCGTGAGTCGCTCACTTCTCCACTGCATCGTATCCTGGATTGTCTATGCTGAGCTCACTCCTACTTAGTCGTAGAATCGCCCACGTCAAATCCACCAAGTCCATTATTCCGTTGTGGCAGTTCAAGCTTATGGGTGGGGCGTGGGGCTAGTCAAGTAAAGTCTGTCGACAACCAATTGTTTTAGAAGACTGAATATCGAGATGGCCGCGATTTGGGAAGGTAGTATCGGCTGCCGCATTGGCCAGTTAGGAGTTCGTGTTTTTAACGTGAAGCACTATGTATATTACGCATGCGAATTGCTGCTAAGAGCGCTGCATTTGCAGGAACGGCCCGGGAGCTATTTCGTGAGTCTGGATGCTCAGAGCGTGTGTATAACGACGCCTTCAATCCCATGCTCCTCGTAGGGTTGTTTGCCTCCGGAGAGCAGTGCAGTGCTGCAGCCACGATCGGTATGCTCTACTACTTCATCATTGCTCATCAGGTAATGATGAAATGCATCAGATTTTGTTCGGTCGGTCCGCGACGGGTCGATCCATTTCAGTAGCCAGCACTGCTTTTTCGAACCTCGCCTCGCCGCCGTAAGATTCTTCTGAGGTTTTGTGTGCGTACAGGCGGATTTCGACGTAGTATGGTGTAGGGGTACGGTTGGGGAGAAAATCTTCAAACCATGGATTGCTGCTATGCAAAACAACGGTTGCAAATTTCTGTCCAGCAAAAGAGTCACCGATGTCACACTGGACGAAGCAACTGGAGACGTGACAGGTGTGGCGTGTGGAGAAGAAATTTTCGACGCCGATGCTGTAATTTTCTCCGTCGGTATCAATGCCCTCCAAAAAATCGTTGGCAACAGGTATTAAGCTATCGCAATAACACTAGTTGGTGTTGATTCTGAATTAACGCGGGTCATCAGTTCGAGTGGACGTCATGACGAAGTAGGATATCGGTACTGCGTTATATATATCAACTGCACCGAAACACCATTTTGACGAAAGTCAAGTGGAACCTGAAGTCTCTGGTCTTGATCACGGACAAGGCGGGCCTCATGAGGGCTGATTATGTCTTCGAATTAGTGGGAGCGGATTGATGCACGAGTACTTTCTTCGTTCATTATTAGCTTCTTCGAAGTCCTTAGCACACCCCTACCTCGTACCCTCTCGGGGCTTTTTATGTCTGGCGTCAGATCCACTGCCTTCGAAGGATGGTCTTGCAAGATTGAGACGTCTACTTCCATAGCTCACGGTTCTGTGTTGTATTCCGTATCCGTAGAATTCAAGCTTGCACAGCTCTTCCTGGGCACCGTAGTGGTACCTGCTAACAATAGATCGCAGTTCCACTGTTGTTTCATTCTGAATCTCGTCTTTTCTGGATTGTTATTTGCAGCTGTTTGGGATTTGTTATGAACTATAGACTTCGGGATCTCAGTTTACATTAGGTTGCCTTCACGAAGGTTGAATTTCCATTGTCTATGAGAAGCAAAAAACTTTACTACTAACCTGGAAGTTTTACTGGAACCTTACTTTATATGCACCATTTAATTTCGGTCTAGCCCCGCCGCTTTTATCGAGAACTTGTATCGTTAAAATATGAGTGCATCGGTTTATTGCGAAAAGGATGAACCATGATATAAATAAATAAATAAATAAATAAATCCAACACAGTAATTGAGGAGCAAGGAGGAATAAGAAAGTACAGTAGTGTGATTTGATTAAAGTCCATGGAAATGGGTTTCAAACTAAGGCGGATATCAATGTATACAGTGAATTTGGAAATACACATACTAATCTGCAGGAAGTCGTTGGATGGTTGTTGTACAGTACTGTGTTGAAGAGTAGAGAAGAATTTGTCAACACTGCGAATCTAGGAGCAATTGATGTATTAGCTGTCCGACTCTGGCTCGACAGAAAGGTGGGGTATTAATTGTATCCTCGACTCTATCCATTTTCCTGATATCAATTTTTTATCAGGGTTTCACCTATTTTATAACGTCCTGGATCTCTGCGCTCTTTTACAGACGTCTTTCTCTCGTCCAGGACTGACCGATCCAAGCGTTTCCAATGCAGTAGTGGAGGATCGGAATCCCTTGGCCTGGCCTAGAGGAGAGACTACCCTGCCCAGCTATCTGAGAATCATGCTGTAGCGAGCTCTGATATCTTGTCTTTGCTTCTGAGCTTGTGAAACAGGTCAAGATTCCAAAGCCCAGCAATGCCTGCTTCGGGTTTGATACAACAACCGGATGGACTTTTTTCGATCTCAACTATTTGCATGACGAGTACAGAGACGAGCCTGGAACTGTTGTTGAAGCAGATTTCGTAAGTCAGCTGTTTCTCCAAACGTAGCGAGAAGTGTTTTAAAGAATTATCGTTGGTTACAGATGAACGAAACCGCAGTTTCCTTCTGGTGCTAGATTAATTTTGAAGATGATCAATCGCATGCATTAGATTAAGGGGATCGGGACTGCTCATACCCAGTCATATTCGTCGTCACACTGATATCTCATGACATGAGTGTTTGAATTGTCAGTATCATGCCAACCAGTTCTTGCCATTGAGCGACGAGCAGATTGTCGTGAAAGTTCAAAACTACCTCAAGCAGTGCATTCCAGAATTTGGAAAGGTCAAGGTCGTGGATCAAGCTGTTGTCCGATTCCAAAAGGCGGTCACTCATTTCTCTCCAGGCAAAACCAAACTACCACTTTATCCAAATGACAATTGTTGTTTAATTTAATCTTGAAGCAACATATACATTGGTCATCATTTCAGTAGGAATCCGCCATTGCCGCAAAAGATTACGAACTCATTACGTATTATTGGTCTTCCAGGTTCCTACCAGTATATGATGGATGGAGAAACAAGTTTTCCTAATGTTTTCATGGCTGGTGACTGGATCAAAACTCGGCATGGCTCCTGGTCTCAGGTATCGAACACTCCAAATGTAGTCGATGAGGACGACCAGAGTCCATTGGGGTTAACAAAGCAAAAGGGAAATTATGTTCGATTATGTAACTCTGGCAGGAGAAGTTTATGGAAAGAGCTACGTCGGTACATCTTGCCGTTTTAAGTCCAATCCGGTCTTTTCTTTGACTGCGTCCTGATTTTATTTTCTTGGCTGGTTGTGTGTCAGGAGAAGGCTTTTGTCACGGGACTTGAAGCCGCCAACAACGCATTGTATTACCTGAACACGGGTAGTCCTGCTCCCATCATCCCCATAGAACCTGATGAACCTCATGTGCAGGAACTCCGACGCTTGAACAATGCGGCCAAAGACTTACTTGCACCATTGGGGATATTCTCCAATGTTCTGTAGATCCTGAAGATACTCGAAGAACGCGACATCCCATCCCATCCTGAAGTGGCCACACTATATGGAAATTAGCAGATAGCCGTAGTAGGATCAAAGTGCCGAGATGATCGTTCGGTGAGTTTCGCTCCATCAAGAGCTCGTCGAACTCACCTTTGCGTGAAATAGACTACTGACACACTCTCAAGCCACCATGGTGGTAGACTGGGTAGAAGTGATCCAAAAAAAGATTAAAGGCCAGAGAATTGACTGCAGTTATGGGAACAAATTTTTAATGCCCGAGGTTGAAACGAATCGAGCTGTTCAAGCTCTTTGACTTGGGCTTCTTCAGGTGAGAATATAGTTTGCAGAGTCTTGAGTTTATCCTCCTTGTTTTGTACGAGGGAGATTCCTGCCTCAGAAGCCTAAATTTTACTCAAGAGCTTCTCCCACTCGACAAATATCGGAAATTATACCAAAGGAGTTGATGTACTAACATAATATATATGAATCAATCCAGAAGTAACTCCCACCGAACAAATACATCTCATAACTTGTATTCTTAGAAAACTTATATGTCATAATCTACAAATCTTCACACAACACGCAAATGTAATTCATTCTGAAATAGATAAATTAGAGATTGTGATTTCAAGATAAATATCCATAAATATCCATAAATATTTTTTAGATTCTTGTCTCAATCGCAATTATTCGATGTATATCGCAATTATGTAATCCACTTTTAGTTTTCCAATTGTCTGAAGTATTTGTAACTTGATCTATATTGTCCGTTCGCGAATTTGTGCCTGTTTTGCGCATGTCCTGATTTTTGCCAACATCAACCTGGAAATTTGGGGTGTAGGAGACGAGCACGAGATGCATGAGCATCCAAGATGTAGTTTACTATTGAGGCCACACGCTAACAATGCTAGTACGTTACTGCATGAAAGAATGAAAGGGTAACTTGTTCCGATCTCATCTATTTCCGCTTGAAAAGCACTGAAACATGTCCAAAGCATCTGAAAGATGGCAAACATGACATAGACCACAAACTTACCTAATAGATGCTCGACCAGCGTAACATATTTGTAACTCCATGTAACATCAGCAAGACAAAGGAAAAATTCCGATTAAGGATTTGAAGATTTCAACACCTAGAGAGCACGAAGGTTTATCTTCATTCTTCAACGTTAGAGATATTTCAGACTTTTACCTTGTTGATGCAACAATAATCATCTCTATTGGAATGAGAATCTAACAACAAGGGCATTGAGAAAGATGGATAACTTTTATTGAAGAAAATTAGAGCTGAACCGAGTGTCTAAGAAGGAGATGATAGAGTTGTCGTCATACCCATATCGGATATCAAGTTATATCCCTCCATGATTGGTTTAATATTTACTGGAAAAGACGTTTTCACTAGATTTGAAGGTTGAATTCTTGGAATATTTGATAGTCATCAAGAAATCATTCGCGGAGTGGATTGAAAGATCTAATGATAACCCTCGTGCAACTCAACTTCTTCAAGAGTTTAAGAAAAAAGTTCTTGTAGTTGTATACTTTGGAGAATATCCCCAGGGAATCTCAAAAAACTTAATTGTTTCTATGTTCAACTCATAGTGAATTACAAAGGAAGTTAAAGTTAAATCTAAAGTACAAGAAAGAAGAAGAAGTTCTAACAATAAGTTGGAAGTATGTAAAAGAAGCATTTTGGATTTTAAACAAAACAAGAGAGTAAAAAGTATAACTTTGTGATACAAAGATCTCTATAGATTGCTACAACTGCTATACAACCACTTGTTACTAGACATGAATATTCTAGTTGCAAGCAATCAGGCTTCATACTTAAACTATGGCAAGAAAGATTCACGTTTTGATGAGAGTGTGAGGTAAATGAAGAAGGTAGATTTCAAGTTTGTTAGGTTCGAGGAGAAAGTTGTGAAAGAATTAGAAATCTTTCAGCAAGGATATGTGAACTCTAGGTTGACTCTTACTCAGCTTCACCTTCACTTGTCTAAACATAATAGCACTAAATTTTCCCACTCATTATTTCATACAATCTTTCAAGAAGATTTGCTTGAATTTCAAAAAATTTACTCTTCATTAATGAAACAAGTTTTCATAATAAATGTTTTCAAAAAAATTACTTAAGAGACTAATTTCTAACTCTTTATTTCTATTATTTTACATTTTTTTTATATTTATTACTGAATTTTTTTTGTAAGTTTTATCATGTAAATTAATTTCACAAAGTTGTCTTGATTGATACTATTAGTTTTCAAGAAGAAAATTAAATGCCAACAACTTATTAAGATTTATGCTTATATTTAGATATAAGCATTTATCACTATTTGGAATTATGATACTTAGCCATAATTAAAATAAAAAATCTCGATTATTTTGTCAAATGCTACTCAATTTTTTATGCTTGATGAAAATACTTAGTGTGGGTTATATTGTCTACTTCGTTTCAAAGATACAAACAAAACAACTTTTTTCCACCTCAAGACAAAAAATTTCACCAAGATTCAAGACAGAATTTGAACGAAAATTTACAAAAATGTTTCATTATGAACTTAAAAAAAAAAATTTGAATTTGAAACTGAAATTGATTTAAATGAAAAAAATATAAAAATGCCAATCATCAAAATTGTAATTGCTAAGTTTAAAATTTTCAAATCATTCAAAAAATTTGAAAATCTGATTCTCATCTAATGTTTGGATGTGTATTAGGATAAAATCATGCTTAATGCTAACATTTCAAAAAATTGCTCAAACAGAAGAGTGATTTAATGTGACATGAGAATTATAATCACACGTGTTTTGCGTGCCCTGCAGGCGCACGCGTTGTGGGTTGGTTTTTTTTGTTGCTTGATGGATTTGCATTGCCTCGTTGCGCTTGGCGAAATGCGTATGAACTGTAAACCATCTAGGGGTATAAGCGCAAACACACACTTATATAGATTAAAAAACAGTTTGGCTTTTCAATATAGAAAAAAGATTGTACGTTATTATGGTTCGTCTTTATTTTTGTTCAACTATGTGAGGAGACTTCCAACGTACGGTTCGGAGGAAGGTTCCGCGGATATAGCACTATTTCAATAGTGTTCTTCCCGTGTCGCATCCGACTACCTGTTTGAACCTCAATCGTTTCGGTGAATCACTGGAGATCCATTTTGTTGAATCTATAATTTGATGTCATCAAGCAATTGAATCATTTCAGGAATTGTCTGAATTTTTTTTTATAAAATATATTAAAAATATTTTTATTTAAATTTTCTTTACATATATTTGAAACTTATGAGTTTAAGATACATAACATTTAGAAAATTATTGAATATTACATCATTGATTTCAATAATCTTGTGCTAAACTTGCAAATTTTTCATCAAAAATTGATTGTGCAAAATTTGTCTTCATCTATCAAATTCAATTTTTTTATCTATTATTTTTCATCACAAGTGATATGATATCGTGATAGAACCATCATCAGTTAGAATTGAGATGATGAACGATTAATTGTTTTATTGAATACTTTTTTCAATAGAAGATTTATATACTACCAATCAATTTTGTCCAATCTAGTGTTGAGTCTGAATTGTGACATAATTTCAAAAGTATAGAAATGAATAAAAAAATCCAAGATTAGATTTATATTAAAGTATACGTATAAAGATTAAAAAATTGCGCAATGATGATAATGTGATTCAACATCATTTTTTCAAATAATACAGCTAACAATAAGGAGTAACATAAAAATAATATATAAAAACTTATGCTTAATGATGAAAGTTTTATAATTTTAGATTTGTTAGAATTTAAATGAGATTTATGAACTTTGATCAATGCATATTGATATTATATGTGTTATAAATTTTTTTTTAATTTTTGATTAATATAAATAATTTAAATATTGATGGAGGTTTAAAAATATTATTTAAATTAAATATATTAGATCAATAAGAATTTAAATGTTTGATGATTTTGAATTTTTATTAAAAAAATTCAGATTTATTTAGTTTTAAATATTATTAAAATTTTTACAATGTACATATATTGGATTCATATGATTTCTCATGAAAAGTTACACATGATAAAACAAAAAGTTAGAACAGTAAATAGTGATAATACATAAGACAATAAAAAACAGATCACCAAAAAAGTGAGTATGTGATTCATCCTGTTAGGTACTACGTCAACGGGAGAATAAAAATCAACTGAATAAATGATCACGTGGTGACATTACAGAAGTGTAGTGTAAGTCTTCACTTCACTTCTGTAACTAAGTTAACTAGAATTAACTTGTAGCCATAATATGATAGAGTAATAAGATTAAGAGTTAATTAAAATACTTGCTAGCATAGAAAAAACAAAAATCTTATAACATATATAATTATTATGCAGAAAACTCTAGAAAGAAACCAAACACAAGTACACTTTTACACAAAAATTGAAATAAAATAAAACCGTACCTATCATAGGATAGAGTCAACATATACAGAGATATCCATATGTTAGCAAAGTTTTCCCTATGCACAACTTGCATAATAGTATAATATCACTTGAAACTCTTCAAAGAAATAACGTTGGATTATCGTGAATCTTTACTAGCTCAATCAGCTCAAACACTTCATGTCTAGTAAAAATACTTGATGTCGTTGTGTTTCACTTTATTGTACATACCCTGTTCCCAGCCAAATGTAAATTACTCCGATTATCACTATGAAGATTGATCACACTTTGTGTCAAAATCCATCTCCATGATAAGCTTGTTGGCTACATCGAAAGTCTCAAAGTCTAACTAAAAATCGAATTATTCAATTTTTCATATCAATATTAGAATATCATCAATTTGAACTCTAGGAGATGTAAAAAATTTATTTATTTAGTAACAACATTGTTTATGAAGAAACGCATCACTCAACATGTCAAAAAAAATTACTACTAGTGATATTATAGCTCATTTCAACAAATTTTTTAAAGAATTTTTTTTAAAATTTTATTATTTAATAAATTAAAATATTGTGAATATTATACCAAAGTATAAGAGCAATTTATTTTATCTCTTGTTGAAAAACATAGATTCGATTTGTAAAAAATGCAAATAATGATGTGTGAAATTTAATTTATACTATTTTGAAAATTTGAAAATTTATACTATATGTATGATAGATTGATGATTATTTATTTTTTATATAATAATATTTTTCATTGAAAGTTTGGTTATAAAAAAAATGCATAATGCAAAAATCTGAAGAATTCAAGACTATTTATCAATTTGAGTACATTATTTATTATCTCACTACAATATGATATTGGTTAGTAGCTTCAAATGTACAATATGCAAGGAAAAAATAAATATGTTGAGTCTATCAAATTCATCAAACTAATATTAAAAAAACAGAAATTTTTGTGATTTCATTTCAAATAATATCAAGTCAATTATTAATTTCCAAAAAATTGATATTTTTGAATATAAAAAATTATTAGAAATGTCGTATTGTGAAATATACTCATTAATAAACTGATTGTGAGTAGAAAATTGTCTTCAATAGCCTTCAAGTTAAACAGGCAGACTAAAGTTAAAACTCCTCTAATAAATACGTATAATTTTCAGTATAATATTGAGGGAAAGATTTGATAATACGGTATTCATGACTAGACTTTAAACAAGTTACCAAAGTTGAGTAAATTCCAAAGACTGTGGACTCCGGCAGATCTTGAAACACATTAAAATATCACGATTAAATAGAATCATCAACAAGCAATACGTCTATACGTTAATTTTGTGCTCCTGAACGACTTGGCAAATGGATTAGGTCAATTAGTTAAATAGATGTTAACATCATTCATGATGATATGGATTTGATTCTGGAAGAAGCTAATATAATTTAAATATCAGCTTAGCTGTGAGTTTCAAGCTTACTGTTGAATCAGTCGACTATGTTTTGTCATGGCGTCGTGAATGTTTGAGTTCAACATCTACTTAAACTGTCAAATGTTTTACAATAATTGGCATGATTTTGAACCAAATATCAAATTATTTACGAAGTATAATGAATTCACTGAAATAGACGGGCAATTTCAGAATATTGTGATGTGAAATATATTTCAATTTTTAAATCTTTCAAATTTCTCTATCAAAGCAATTAAAGAAGTTGACTTTGATGATCTTTAAAAAGCTAGAACAAAAATGCGTTTCTAACAGCGATGCATGAGATAGGCTGTTTATTTTCGTTTATGCAATAATACTTATAAGTTGTATCACATAACTGCCCAGCTTTTTCATTACCTTTATACAAATTATGAATGTACGGGAACATGATTGTATAATAGACAGGCTAGTAAAACAAGCAGCTCTACGAACATAGTGTAGAATGCGATGATTCAATTCAGAAATTGTCACAAGGGTTTGTCAATTGTCAATTTGATTTGGTAATGTTGTCACAAGGGTAATCGTTGATACGAATTGATTCAACTCAAGTGGTTAGAACATTTGATCTAAACTTTAGATGTGTGATAGAGGTAATGACTAAAAAGCTAAAATTCGTAAATAAGGTGAAATAAGTCGAGGCTGTGGTGGTGTCGGGTTAATTCAAAGTATATGTCTGACAACTTACTTTGACCACTGCCCGCTATAAATGTGCTCCTTAAAGGGACTGACTGGTAAGATCTTCCCGGTATATGCACAGACTCCGAACGCCACTTGTCACAAACCTCGCAAATATCTTCATCACACCCGAGTGCCAAACTGCTATCCACTCGTGATCCTCCGGGTTGACATTCTGCACCTTTCCCGGCCTCGCTACACATCACAGTGACATTGTGCGCGTCCGGAAAGAACATACCGATCTGTACAAGTTGCAGACAACGACCGCAACAATATCGAAGACAAGCAAACGAACAAGACTGAAGCTCCTCGAGTTCTTTTCGGAATCCGGGTCCCACGTTTCGGGAGAAGCACGTTTGAGCGCGCCTGCTGGGCAAAGATGTCGCCTGTCGTCGACGCATCTTCCATCAACAAATGTGGATTTCCCCACATTTGGTGAACCAGAATTGGGCTTCGGCATAAGTTATACCGAAGCGGTGGGATGGGCTGTTTTGGCAGGTTATACCCATCCCACCGGTCTCGGAAATTTGGCTCGGTCCTGGTTTCCCCTCCACGTAGTTCACTGCCCAAATTGGTAATTCTCCATCATCGCAGACGTATTTTCTGCACGACTAAAGAACAAGAATTCATTCCCAATCGAACAGTCCAAGCTGCTCGGAACCTGAAAACGGCATGTCCAAATTTCTTGCTGCCTCAAAACGGTCGACTCAACCGGACTTCCCTTGTTAAAACAGTAAAAGTTCCTGAAGTTCCTGTCCCAATAACACATCGCACATCGGTCCAGGAAGTCCGCCCACGGTGGAGACCTTGGAGTCCATCGCGCTGCTTGTCCCTTATCCTGCCCTTCCTACGTTGGCTCGACCTGCCCCACTGGCCCTGGCACATGCTCAGGAAGTCGCACTCCGCTCTCGGTCCAGACCGAGTCCCAAGCATGCGTACACGTATCTGAGTTCCACAATCCCGGAATTGGCAAGGCAGACGACGAAACGAAGCCTTCTTTCCGTCCATCTCTCTCCCACACATGGTGCAAACATCAGGGTACGTGCGGGTAACATAAAGTATGTGGCGTAGTACATATTTCTCATGTAGATATTGTTGGAGCTACCCCATCCTATCCGTTCGACGTCTACTTTGTACAACTGATCGGTCTTCCAATCCTCTTGGGTACAGTACATGATATCTTACATACGGTGTATCAGCGGAGATATTCGCGTACAGTACGGCAGGAAGAGATCAGAGGTCTTTCACCGGAAGAAAGTTGTCCCGTTTAAAATATAATAAAATCCGAGACGGACGGGGAGGAGGAGCGTGCTCGCTGCTCGCCACATCCTGACGTGGCCAAAGGACCTGAAAAGTGTTCACTCTCGGCCAAGTCAGCAGTCGACACGTCATTGAGCGGACCGACCATGTCTGCGCATCTAGAAGAACTGGGAGATGGAGCAGGAGCAAGGCCAATGGGAAGGCCTGAGGAAAAGGAAAAGGGAAGGCGCCACAGGCCACGAGGTCGGAGTGGGGTAAACAGCGGACGACGGATGTGGTAAACGTCGGGGCGGCCTTTACACTATGTTCTTCACTCTAGGACCAAATGGTGGGTCGAGACGTAAACGAACGAGCAAGACCTGCTGCTGCCCGTGGTGCAAGTCACTGGGTGGTGGTGTTGGTGTGTCTCGCTATTTGGCTTCCACCTGTAATGGCCCTTGCCTACACGGCGGGTTCACGGTTTCTTCTCCAGCCCTAAAGTTAGGCCCTCCCGCACCGCTCTGCTCAGTTTAACCACTCGGTCGGTCCATCGCTATTCGGTAGTCAAAATAGCAGGTAAACTCTGCAAGTCGGCAACGCTCGAGCGGACCGAGTATAAATGCACGCATATATTCCTCTCCCGTCCTCCATTCCAGGCCAAGCAAGCTGATGAAGATTGTGTTCTGACGACCGGAGAAGTGTTCTGCGTGACATGCCGCGCTCTGCCTTCGATCTCGTAAACAATTTTGGGCGTGATATTGGAGGAACTGTGAGAAGAGATTGGGTGTCATCGTGAGTGGTTATCACGACGACGTCGCGCTGCTCGTCTTCTATTCTGCAACATTTGCCTCGTCGCTGTGGAGTTCATGAGCGAGGTAAGAATGAGGATTATGCTTGTACAAAAGTTGTTTTTGTCGCTTGCTTTCGTTGAGAGCTTGAGAGAGTGAGCCAATTCGTGGAGTAGGTACAACAGCGTTTGATGCTGTATGGAAGTTGGTAGGTGTAATGGTTTTCCAGAGGAGAAGCAAACTATGGCGATGTACGTTCGTACATCGCCATAGTTTGCTACTCTGGAGAACCGTTGTTGACCCCGCTGCGCTGGATGACGCGCGTTAAGCGTCGATTCTCTGAAATAATGCCGTCAGGCCGTTCGATACCCGTTGATGGAGGAGGTCTTTCGGTTGATTAGTGAACGTTTGGTCATATATCGTGTGTTGCCATCGGCAGCAGTACCGACTAGATTGATCTCTTGTTGTGTGCCTGTCCTTTTAGATTAAGGGAAAGAAAGAAATGGATCCTGCACAGATGATTGCTCCTGTGTTTGGAATCGCTGCCGCTGCGGCAATTACGTTCTATGCCGTGAGCTTCATGGAGATGAGCGAGGTACTTTCTTTCTCTCCCTGTAGTCGTACACTGTTGATGTCAGGTCATGACTGCAGCAGATGTTATGAACTTTTATGAAGTAGGATATCTTCATAGACTTTCATAATTCACACGTAGTATCTTAGAACATTTAGTTCTCAAAAAAGAAAACTGCTGTGAGAACTTACGGCTGATGTTATTGCAGGTAAAATTATTAGTTTATTCATGATTCTCTAAATGTATTTGCTGTACGTTTACATATCTTCTTCCGTACTAGTGTGTCCCTGAACTATCTGCCAATCGATTTTTAACCAGTTCGTATTTGTAATGCTTCTCTTTGCTTGCAGAAATCTTTTGAAAACCTTGGGGACAAAGATCTTGATCAGGTGAAACTGCGGTCTTCACAATCTGCGAGAGAGAAAAGACGAGGGAAAGACACAGTGAAACAGCAATCAAAGGATTAGGACATACTATATCGTTGTAGTGAAAAGGATTGTCAATTTCAGGGACTGTAACATAGAAAAGAGGACAGTTTGCAGAGAGAAGATATGTAAATGCGGCCATTGCATGCATGTTTTATTGTCGGACAACATCAATGTTAGGTTCAAAATAGTTCTACGGTTACCTGTTTACTTTTTGTAGAGTAGAAACGAGCATATATGGTTTCATATCAAGGTTGATGGTTTATTAAGGGATGACGAAGGTTGGCTATTGTGCCCATTCATTGAGTTTGTGATGGAATCAAAGATTCTTTCAAAACATTTGTAGTCAACCGAATTTTCTGTTTTGGCCGGTCGCTTGCATTTGCCCTTAACCATTCGTTGATACCATGCACTGCAGGCGTTTTCATGCTGTTATCCAGTTCATCACACTGCTGATTTGTCAAACCAAGCACGAAAAGAGAGTACATAGTTGACGAAATATGTTTTGCACAGCACTGGTGATCGTGTCAATGTGAAAACCCAAGGAACGTATGTTAATTCTTATTTTGTTTGTAATGTCCTTTCTTCGGGTCCTGTCCATATTGTAAGCGAAGGAAATGTGCGCTTTTCGTTTTGTCATAACGTTTAATTATGTGATTGTCAGATGTGTAAAAAACTATGTGATGTTTTCTGTTCTTTTCCCATGTTGCCTCTGTGCTCTACTGTGGGAAGTGGAAATTGGGCGGATTTGGCGTCTTGGTATATGCACTTACTTCTAGTCTCTGTTAAGGTATCGAGAAAAGTCGTCCTTCCCTTTTTGTCTTGATCGTAAAAGAAAACCTCGAACATGAGAACTTCGTGGCTAGTAAGCGTGTTACCTTGTTAATGTGTTCACCAATATGATATGAATATAGTCTCGGTAGAAGTGAACAGTTATACTGTAGTCTCGATGATTGGTTTGACGCAAGTCGATGATTTGTTATCGTGTTTTTGTCCATACGTTCCCATGTGTGTGTCTGCTTCATTCAAATGCCTTAGTAGACATATCCACTGCCAAAATAAAGTCGTGGGGAAAGAGAAGAGTTGTTACAAGTTCCTTTCTCCGGAAGAAGGGAATTTCGATCTCTCTGTTGAGCTTTCTTGCTGAACGGTAGATAATTGTCTGGGAGGGACATAGCTTGGATTATTCTTAACCTGCATTGGTTGTCTTTATCCACTACATCTTGCTGGTCACCATCACCAAGATATTATTGCATGTTTAACAACGCTCGCATATTTTACAACGCACGATTGGCTGCTGCTATGAAAATGAAATATCAACTGAGCGTGCAGCGTTGCAATGATGTCTGACATACTATTTCGTCTGTGAAATAAAATTGTAGGCACATAGAATAGGTAGTAAGCAGAAGATTATAAAATAGCTAATACTCAGAAGGGAAGTATGGAAATGTGAACATGAATTTTCACTATAAGATGCTGAACATGAAAAATACTTTTTAAATTGTATGTTCAATCATCTTCACAATGAAGAAGCCTGAAAAATTGCGGGTTGAAAAAAGTGCACGGTAAAGAAGAAAACTCAAGTAAAGTCGATGTTTAAAATTTGGATATGTGCGTCACGTATGACAGTATGGATTTTGTGAGATGAATTAGTTAACTCATTTTAAGTACATTTCAACTCATTCCAACTCGTCTTAGGTGATTACTTGCACGGAGAGAGAAATTTAATGTCGTACAAAGAAATAAAAGTACTTTGATAATGCGGCAGGAAGAGAGGATTTATCGTTGCAGGCTGGTGTACCTGGTACTGTAAGTTCTCAGTCATTTGACTGCTATGAGTCTGCGACTGCCCTTCTCTTAAAATCAGAATACCAACAACAACAAAAGAACATTTGTCCAAGAAATTATTTTAATTTACAGATTCGCTTACAGATTGCAGTCCCTCACCAATCTTATTTGCCATCTTCCCTCCTCATCCCTCCTCAGAGGTTGTACAGTATAACAAATAGACTGCACCAGAATCCTGCGCACCGTGCGATGCTGCTCTGTAAAATTGGGGTGCACTTTTCCTGATGATGTGCTTTTTTTCCTTGTCATTTGTCAGTTCTGATCGTTTCGATAACGCCCTAGGTCTTTCCCCAATTATCGGCAAATTACAATAATCGGGTTATCTTTACAATGTACGCATGTCGTCTCGGATATGTTCGTAACGCTGGAGAGAGTTTTCATGGAATTGAAGGTACGGGCGCTTGAAACGCGTTTCCTGATAGATTGAGGTAAGTTAACTGGGTCAAGGCGCTAAGATCTGGAACCTTACCGACCAGCTTGTTGCTTGAAAGATCTACGTGGAAAAGCCTAATAAGCTGATTTATGTTGGACGGTAGAGGTCCTTCTAGCCCATTCCTGGACATGTCCAAGTACATAAGGTTGGGAAAACTTGGGAAGAACTTCGCTGGAACGGAACCAACAAGCTGAACATTGTGCAGGTCCAGAAAGGTGATGGAAGACTGGAATGATCCTGTCGGCAGTCGAGCACGGAGCCGGTTGTCGGCAGCTTTGAAGGTGTCGAGGTTCTTCAGTGCCAGCAGCTGAGCAGGAATTCCACCGGCGTTGAACCTATTGTTAGAGATGTCCAAGTACGTGAGAGACGTCACAGACGAGAGCCAAGAAGGAATCGCTCCTGGCAAGAGGTTGAAACTCAGGTCGAGGATCTGGAGACTAGGGTTTCGAGGAAGTGTCCCGACCTGCGCTCCGCTGTCCAGCAAATTGTGCGACAAATCCACATTATAGCCACTCACGCACAATGACAGTGGAAATCCGCCCGTGAATCGGTTGTAGCTGGCTGAAAGCGTGCCGACGTTCGACAGCGTGTTCGGAAGAGGACCGGACAAGCTATTATGGTCGATGTAAAGGCCGACCGTGCCCGTGGTGGCGGACACTTGCAGGTCGCCGATTTCAGCCGGAAGAGACCCCGACAGACGATTGTACGAGAGACCCAAGAACGTCAGCGACTGGAAATCGCCGATATGCCGAGGGATCGGACCGGAAAGGCGGTTGTGGTTGCAGCTCAAAGAGGCCAAGTTTCGGAGCATCGTCAGCGAGTAAGGAATGCTGCCAGTGATCTGATTGTCGTCCAAGTTGATCTCCATCAGCGAGGCAGCGTCGCCGAGCGCCGGCGGAATGAAACCCGACAGACGGTTGTCGTTCAACCGAAGCGTTTGGAGCTTGGACAGGCGGCCCAGGGTCGCGGGAATGGATTGGGAGTAGAGATTATTATTGAGCCCCAGGTACTCGAGCGATCCGACGCTTCCGAGCGCCGAGGGGATGGAGCCCGCCAGGCGATTGTTGGCCAAGCTCAGAGTGCGGAGTCTGGTGAGCTTGGGGAGGCACGAGGGGAGCTCGCCCGAGAGCTGCTGAGACTCGATCTCCAGGCGCTGCAGGAGCGCGAGCTGGCAGACGGCGGCAGGCAACGGGCCCTCGAGTTGGCCGACGTAGAGGAGCAGCTCGTTGAGGCTCTTGAGCTGGCCGATTTCGGCGGGGATGGCGCCCGTGAAGTTGCCCAGCGAGACGTACAGCGTGCTCAGGCTCGACAGCGCCTTCCAGGCGCGCGGGATCGGACCAAAGAACCTAACGCCGATCAGCGTCAAGCTCTGTAACGCCTCGAGCCTGCCCAGTGACGCGCCCACCCGCCCCGCGCTGTTGGGGTTCGGGAACACGCCGATGCGATCCGCCACGATGACGATGGCCGTCACGCGCCCGGCCGCGTTGCACGTTACGAAGGAACAGCAGTCCGCGCCCGCTTGCCACGCCGCGAAGACCCCGTTCTCCAAGAAGTCGGCTTTGAAATCCTGCAGCGCTGCCGCGTCCGCGGCATTGCAAGCGGCCTGCTGAGCCGTCGCAGAGCCGAGCAGCATCGCCACGGCCGTCAGTGTCCATGCCCACGCCCATGCCTCCCTCCCTGACCTCATATTCGCCTGGCGACTCTCGGACGCTGCATCGCCACGGACGTCATCATGTTAGGAATGGCCTCAGAATGGCGCAGAACTCTTCGCATCGGAGTCTCGGGAGTTGAAATGCCGGCAGCTTCCAGAGCTTTGCTCATATAATGTGCAGCTTGGTATTCGAGCATAAAATCGATGAGGAGTCGATTCATCAGAGCAAGTGAAGACATCGAATGGCACGTCGAATGCAGGTGAGCTGCGGGATGGGATGCATCTCGTCGGATCTTGGCGCGGTATCTCACGAACAGGCAGTTCACAACTTCACAACAACTTCACACAAGCCGCTTTTCGAAAATGCAGATAGCTTGTGGGGGAATTCGTCTTCTCTCTTCCATGCAATGAAAAGAAGATCATTCTGAAACGACTGGAGTTGTAGAAAGGAAGTACCTCGATGCGAATTTCGATTGAACCGATCGCTGTTGATTTTCCTGCAGGCCTCACCGCCAGAAGTAGAACGCAATTTGTACCTCAGCCTGACATCTGTGACCGGTCTTCTCACCCAATTCTCCACCCTTCTACCATCCGGATCTGATCGGAGTGCTGCAAGTACTTATAGAAGCACTCCGGGTCAACGCACTCAAAACGTAATCAAGTTTGCGGCTTGATCTTGTTCGTAGCTCGTATCATGCTTGACCATCCAAGTAAGCAGTTGACCTTCACTTGGCCTTCGATAGATGTCAACAGCTGCCTACGTTGACAATGATCGCACCCGTAGCTCCCGGGACGTGTAGGGCAAACCGAAAGCTGATGAAAGTTAAATGAATACCTGGCTTACAGCTTTCCTTTAATTCGTTCGATGAAACCATAACGAACTGTGTTTGGAACTGCTGTTGCGTGAACAGATTCAGAAGCTTTGGCCACGCGACACAAGATACTCGTTCTCTCCCAACAAGTGTTTGGATTACGGACATGTGTCCGTCGGGTCAAAAGATCAAGTCGTCGATGCTTTTGGGCTCTTGACTAGCTCGCAATGAGAATTCTACTACGTCAAACTTCAATGCATTTCTAGACAGTTTAAATCTCTGTTAAAATCAAAATCCCGGCGAAACTTTTCTTCCATCTGAAACATCCTAATAGTAAATCTCTGTTACGGAGTATCAATCGTGGAGAAGCTTATCCAATAACCTTGGTACCTTCATGGCTTACATGGTCTCAAAGATGTGGACAGCTCACGCATGTGGGACCTCCATCTTCCAAAGCAATTACAAGTAAAGTGCACTACTCCATACTTGCACCATTATTCAGATTTTCTCCATTCCTCATAAGGTATTGTGGTAGGGAAGAGGTCGGTCTTTTGTGGCCAAGAAAAATACAACATGAATGGTATATGTGCAATAGGTTTTAGTCTAGGCTATATTTCACATAAGAAGACCATGAAGTAAAGTACAGAGTTATGAGTGAATTTCCGGTGTTGTGGTTGATATTTACTCAAGAATTTACAATTTGATAGTATTTGATAGATTGGCAAATGAAATATTATACGAGTTAGTACAAGTTTTGCGTCTCTCAGTTCACAATAATATTTAGGTTGCAAATAGAGGGATTTTGAGTAAGATAATGAGATGCTAAACTTTGGAATTTTTTGTAGAAATTTTAACTACGGAAAATGTCATGTAGGACACTCAAATGAGATTCAATCAAATGATATCTCCAATTTAACCTGATTGTGATCGTTTGAATATTATAAAAGGGTGAGAAGTATATCAACGTTGCTTGAAAGACTATTTTCTTCATAATCATTTTTTTTCATTTATGTGGGAAAAATTTTCATTAAAGGTTTGGAGTTTAGATATATAATCAATACATCATGTTTTGAAAAATCGCTGATTGCTCATTCTCCATACGCATTCATACGCATATTAACAGTGGTATTCTTAAGTGCAATGTATGAAAAATCTTTAATATCATGGCTTTAATCTGATATTTTCACTGATTTTTCTGAGTCTCATCAGTGGTATTCTTAAGTAAAATATAAGAGAAATTTTAAGATCATTTTTAAGTATCTGATATCTTCACTGATTTCTCAAACTATCATCAATGGTATTCTTAAGTATAATTTATGAGAATCTTTAAATCATTTTCCAGCAAATGATATCTTCACTGATTTCTCAAATTATCATCAGTAATATTCTTAAGTATAATTTATGAGAATCTTTAAATCATTTTCCAGAAAATGATATCTTCACTGATTTCTCAAACTATCATCAGTGGTATTCTTAAGTATAATTTATGAGAATCTTTAAATCATTTCCAGAAAATTATATCTTCACTGATTTCTCAAACTATCATCAGTGGTATTCTTAAGTAAAATTTATGAGAATTTTTTAAATCATTTTCAAGCGAATGATATCTACATTATTTTTAAAATTTTCATACAGATTTTATGTTGAATCAACTGCGAGAGTATATGATTTTCATTCTGTTAGCTAGATATTACGTGATTATACACTTGTAGATGTATTGTTATCAAGATATTTTATCTCAACTTATAGGTCAAAATGTGTGTGATTGTGGAATATTGTTCACACTTCAAACATATCTTAATCCACAAAACTTTTACATAATCATTTCAACATATTTTGAGACAATATAGATATCATTGAACATCTAATCATTATTGTATATTCTTTCAGATTAGGTTGTCTTGCATGCACATCTTGAGAAAGCTGAGCAAGATGTGACTTCTACATCCATTCGTAGTACGACTGTAATATTTTCAACCAATTTTTAAATGTACATTCCTCTTCGTTATTTTTCTAAGAAGTCATGCTAAAACGATATACACCGTTTCTAGTTCTCGATAAGACATGCTTGGGAGTTCTTTGTTTACCAAAGCTTATTATAAAATTATTATGTCCATTTTATTGCCTATGGTACTCTTTCTCGTATGATTCATACATCAAGAGATATGTATATAACATTGGACAAATATTATAGGTGACCATTCCTGTAACTTTTTGGGCTAGATAATTTGATTTTCTTAGCACATATGCAGCAGTACATGTTCACCAATGGGATGATATTGAGACCCAGTCAATGTTAACCGGTTTCTTCCTCTTGGGCTTGATAGGCTTTCCCATCTTCTTTGCTACATTTCTTGGTCATACTGGTCATATCCATATTTCCACTGATACCTATCGACCTTGAAAGTATGGTGGACTCCAGTGCTCTCGGAGTGACATACCTTTTTCGAATAATTATCAGGTTCACTCTGTAGCACTATTATTTTTTAATTAGAAGGGTAGCGGAAGCAAAGTTTGAAGTAGTATGTATGCAGGAGGCGGACTATGACCGATTCAACTGCTGGTGTGGATAAGAAGGCGGGGCTCTCCCCTTTTAAAGAGTGCCAGTGGACGGCTACTATCTTCGGCCATGGGGCTGGGTACATCGACCCTCTTCTCTGTTCGAAGATTGGTAAATTCCTCTTTCGAGTGTCCGCAAGAATGCTCAGTTTGCCATTGAGCACTGAATTCTACAAGCGTGCCCTCTCCTCAACGGATTTTGCTCACTTTCAAGTAAGACAGTGTTGGATGAGCCATACATCGCGAAGTCACCAAAAGATGAAGCCCTCACCCAATTCACTGACGAATTGTGTTCGCCTCGATACTTCGTTTTCTGAAGCTGTGAAGTTCTACTTTTGTGTCCACAGCGGATGAAACCGGCTGACCGAGAAGGATGCCCGCAGGAAGTACTGAGAAATTTACGGGAGAAAGGACACCGAGACAGATTACGTACCACTGTCGTACTTCTCTCTTTGATCATGGAGAAAATTGTTGTTCATTTTCTCCTTAACCTTTTTTACTATGCAGATCCTCAGGTGGGGTCGGGTGGATGGGCTCGGATCGCTGATTTATTGAAAAAGCTATCGCGCTCCATCTGCTTGATAATGAGATCCAAGATTGTACCCGATCTAAAAACTGAATAAATTTAACATGGAATCGGACTTCGGAGCTGACCAGACAAGCGACCCCGTGTTACGGTGTCGAGGGTAGTGCACAACAAGCGGCCACTGAAGGCGCCTTTACTGGCATTGTGTTTTGCGCATTAAATGCGAAGAAAACCGAAGTATCGTTGCTCGGCTTATCTCAGAGGACGATGCCCCGCACATCGCACTGCACGCACTGATCAATTGGTGTCTCGAGAGTCAGTACACAGTGAGATTCGGCTGATCTGCAGTGCTCCCAGTTCCTAAGAGAAGTCAGCAATCAGCAATCCACAATCCACGATTGAAGCGTATCTTCGATGCTCAGATTTCTTTCCTCATCATGATGTCCACTAAGTGCTCCAGTCCCCCATTACCTCCTCGTTCCCATGCCTGAAACAGAAAGATGCGCACAGCAAACTCAGGCCTCCATCCCGTCGCTCTACTACTCGATCTCCTGTCCGATCGATGACTGCCAGGATTGGCCCTCTCGGCCCTCGCCGGGACTCACCCTCTCGAAGCCTCAGGCTCGGCGTCGGAGCCCAACCCTGGTTCTTCATCGATTGGGCCAAGATTACATGCGAATGAGACAGAAGAGCTTATCCTGCCGAGGACGTTCTATCCGATCCGGGCTTAGCCACTTGGCCGTCCGTGCTTGGTCTAATCTCAGACCTGGTTCGAGTCCAGATAAACGTCGTCAGGCGCAAGCCAACCGCGTCCGGAGGCGGGCGACAGTGCGCAGCCCCTTTCCGGTTCTTCAAGAAACGGAAAAGGAGGTCCGATCAGCCCTTACCCAACCAGGCAGTCGAAACGGGTCTACCGTGGTCAACTGACCCGACCTCAGGTGGTTCGGATCGGGAGCTCGGGGGTGAGTTTGGTATGCAGCGGGCGCGGCCGAGTGGGAGACGATTCCAGCGCCAGTCAAGAAAGAGAGAAGGAAAGCGAGCGCGCGAGGGAGAGATCGAGCCGTTCGGTGACCGTGCACGACTGGCGACGTGAGGGTGGGAAATCCGGACGAAGGCGAATTGTCGAGGATTGGAGATGGTCACCGTGGCAATGACTTCTTGGTCGCCAGCTGCAGTGCCGGCCATGGCAGCTGCGAGGCCTTGTATTTGCCGATCAGCCAGTTCATGCTCCTCGCTCCTCGGTGCAGGTGTGCAATTGAGCGCTCTGTTGGATCATACATCCAGTTCTTTTTGTTGCTTGCAAAATGATGTGCAAATTCTGCTTGAATTTCGCTTCTTGTTGTCTTTCGGGTATTTCATTTGGGACGTTCATATGTTGGAAAATGCGGTCTACTCCTGTGAGCTATATTCTCCATGTGTGTCTTCGAGAGATGTGACCTCGGAATTTCTGATTAGATTTTTCTTGCACCGCCTGCTGGCGGTTTGAGTTTATTCCTACCAAGGTTTTGAAATCACATCTCTACCATCTTGTCCATCTCATTGTTGAGGGATGGCCGAGAATCGGGGTCTAGGGTATTAGAGAGTGGTAACTTTGCCCGTTTTGCAGCAACAGTGCATCTGTATGTTATTCTTGTGTTTTTTCCAGCACTGTTTAACTGGCGAGTGTGGATTGTTCCAGAGTCTGATTGTCCCTTTGTTGTATGCAGCGGTGCATGGCTCTGCGTCGAGTCCTGCCTTTCAGCAAAATCGGGCTTCTCTCTCACTGGTTCATATTCAACCACGGCGATCGCAGAGAGGACCACGGAACTTAGCGGTCCGCGGCCTGTTTGGTTTAGGTGTACCCGAGCTTGCTGTGATTGCTGGTGTTGCTGCAATTTTGTTCGGGCCGAAGAAACTCCCTGAGATTGGGAAGAGTCTGGGGAAAACGGTGAAGAGTTTCCAGCAGGTGCGCTCCGCAGTGTCGAACATGTTTTTATCACCCTCGCTAATTGCTAGCTTTGAATGTGTGTGAATTAACGTGCATAAGTCTCGGACGGAAATTTTGCCGGAGAAATGAGATTAGCACAGCATTCACTGTCCGAGCTGGTCGCGTCTATAATACAAGCGCAGGTTTCAGCTTAGGGTAATGACACATTCGGGAATTTTTTTCCTGGATACCTTATCATTGCTGGCTTCAAGTCTGAAAACAAAGCTTGTCGCTTGTCTTCAAGTCAGCAGAACGTTTGTGATGAAAAAGCCCTCTATATGCTATGAAATCTTTGAGTTACATGCGGTACCCATCACAGCTGACGTCTCTTTAACGAAAAAAGAAGACAGATACCCCATGCCTGACAGTGAAGTCCTTACTTACCGTCGCAGGAGACTTGTGAATTCGGGTCATTTCGCGTCGGAACTAGATTCTCATGATCAGATCTCCGCAACCAGGGTTGATCGCACAAGAGTAACAGTAGTGGGCATCACTAATTATTGCAATCAATGTTTGATCATTGATAAAGTCCACTACACTTTTAGACTATTTCAGGTCATTCGGCTAGGATGAGTCTTATGACTGTTTAAAATTTTATGAAGTGGGAGGGACATGGGTTTCGCGTGTAGATTTGGCTGGATATCTCATGTCTGAAAACTGCTTAATCTCTGTTATTAGATGGAGACTGGATGTGAATCTTCCCTTAACGTCCATGATGTTGTTCTCGCTGGCAGGCTGCTAAGGAGTTTGAATCAGAAATAAAAAATCCGCAACAAGGTGAGTCATCGGACGCGGAGACTACAAACGTAGAGAAACCAACGGCTACACCCGTTTCATCACCAACCTCAAGTACAGGTTCCGACAAAGAGGTTCTCTAAGAATTCATTCAGATTTTAGACTTTTGTGATAATATTAGTAGTGCCATAGAAGTTTAAAGGTAAAAAGGTCAGAGGCCGGAGTTGTATGCTCGGCTGTTTTTCCACGTGAAGACTAAGCGAGCCTTGGCCTATTTATCGACAGTGAGAACTCACAGTGTTACTCTTATTGTGAAATAGATTTCCAAGTCCAAATTTTTTCATGTCATTACATGCACATACTTTAGGTGGTAGTTAGGGTCATGACACGGTGTACGTAGATTATCTTGAACACTGAAAGTATGCCGTGTAAGCTTTTGTACTAGACTGGTGAAGTGGTAGTAGACAATGTATCCTAGTCTCCCGATGAAACTTGCTTTCATTGATTGCTCTGTTTCGATTGAACACAGACGATCTTTCATTAGCAATCAACCTAGGTTTCTGCATCGATTCTCACCCTGCCTTTCCAGATTAGTTCTTCTTTGAAGTGACTTTTTATCGATCTTAGTTCAATGAATGCTTGTGTTGATCCACTTAGAACCATGATATAGCAGAAAAGATATGGCAATCTTATCCGATAATCAGTCACGAACAGTAGCAACATGTTTGGGGACAACCCATGAGGTTCGGAAGCTTCCTAGTTTCTCGGAAAATCCAAAAATGTCTAGGAACCTATTCATCATTTGGATCATTTCTGCACTCATTTATTGGATCACATACTCATGCATTGGATACTGCGCCAATTTCCACTTCATCTATCTACTCTGTAGTGTCTTCGTTATCAGGTTTCTATTCAATTCTTAGTAATGGTGACGAGGAAGTTGTATCATCCTCAACTACATGAATTTCAAAAAATCGAATGCATAGCAGGTTTTGTCATTCAAAGTCACCCGATAATCAAAAATAATATACGCCGGAGTAATAGAGGAATTACAAACGCATGTAAGACTCCATTTTCAGACACTAAAGTCAATTGCCAATATGTGTCCATGGGAGGGATACAGAGATGCATGAAAGTGATGAGGAAAGTCACAGTACATGTGTGGAATGTCCGAAAAGTTACTCCCTTAAAGTCCAACAGTACGTTACATTTCTGGAGGCTTCCAACTTCCCCTCAATCACCTGTACCACTTCGCTCTCTCAAGACTAGCCGACCCAATCTTACCAATCGCTCGTGCTCCCCCAGTTCACCAGAGCGAAGAGTTCACGGCTAGAAACTCTTCCAAAGATAAACCTGAACTGAAGCCCAACCTCAAGCAAACACCCGCTAAGTCCGAAACGACCTGTGAGCAACTCTTGGAAAATCTCCAAGAAGTCACTTCTTGAAACTCCAACACTTCGAAATATCAGATGAGAAGATCGTGGATTGGTTACCACATCTCCACACCAATATGATCATAAAAGAACGTGTTTCCTTCTTATTCGGAGGCGGCAGATAGACCAGACTGGAATAAGTGGAAGCAACCTATGCAAGGAGAGGTACTATCTCTCGGAAGATGCCATAAGGATGCAATTTATGAAACAGAATATGCTTGCCTTCCCGGCAGGTATTGCCGCAGCAGCACGTACGTCGGGAGGGTTACATTTACGGCTAGGTAGGCACAATCCTTCCACGATCAAGTTGCCTATTTAGGCAATTTAGAGTAACCAGTCTCCACAATCATAAAGAAGCTGCTTTGTCTAAGAAATTGAACATAGAGAAGATGTAATTTGAAGAGTTTGCATAAACTAAACGCGACACAACGCCACCAAATCTATATTGTATATTTTTACGTATGAATTGTTTACTCATTGATAAATGAATTCGTAATTTTCTTTCCTCACAAAGATAACTAGTATGCTTCCGGTTCCCAATGATAAATATTGGAGGTTCCTATAACTATTTCAATCTTCAAAGAAATATACTGACCCATACCAAACTTATGGCAGATTTCAAATTCATATATATGGATTCACACATACTTAAGCTTCAACAATGAAAATAGTTATGATATAATTAGTAAATAAGTACAAAATGCAATGATATAACTTACTGCGGTATTTACTTGGGATCCCATCGGAACCTAAACAGGTTGATGAGTCCCATTAAGTTTCGATTTACCCTATAGAACTCCACTGAAGGTACACGTCCAGCCTGATCTTGTATGAACAGACGGTGCAGTAGTTCCCTCGCGACTCTCGACGTTACACGCTTTGTTTCAACGCAATGGAGTTCTGACTCTGAATTTGTGTTGCGGTCGTTGCTGAATTCACTAGAATCAATCAATTGATGAGTGCGGGCAAGAACTCGGAATCTGCATCCGAATAGGATAATTGCTGCCCTTCTTCGAAAGCTTGAGAGAGATAAACGAGTACACTAGAACCTAGTGGAAATGACTTGACAAAAATTTGACAAGCAATCAAAGCAATGAATAATTCTCAATCACTCGCCTTTCCGACTGTGCTATACTCTTGAAGTAGGTTCCCATGGCATGTTTGTAAATGGTTTCATCAGTGATAATACTTTACTCATGTTTCTTCTCAATGAATCCGTCTATTTTGAAAATATTCTTTACCCAACTCAAGTATCTATTTTTCTGCTGGTTGCAAGTTCCGTTTCAAGTTGAACATCAATTTGATAAGTAAGAGATCATTGAAAGTGTTTGGATAATCAAATCACACTTCTTTGGAGGCTTGTGAACAACTTCTTTTCTTTGGAAGATAAATCGCCCTTCTCTAGATTCTTCCGGTGAAGTTAAACCATTCGGATTTTATTTATGCATGAAAACTTAGATCTGCCAAAATGTATGGACGCACACATTATCATTTATTTCCATATACATCTTACCTTGGCATGGGTGATTCTTCAAAAGATTATGAGTTTGGATTTAACTTGAAATATAAAACATCATATTTCTTTGTTATGAGATTCTGACACTGAGCTAAATCCTTTTGCCCATGTTCAGTTGAATCCTTTCCGAAATCTCTGTTTTCTCAATACAAGCAGCTCAATCTCCCGACTTATTCAAATTGTTTCTTGTTCGGTATAAACTAAAGGATCGCTTAGAAGAAAAGCGTTTTTGCACTTGGTGCATGAAGGCGCAGATTGAACCGTGCAATCCGTACATCCTCTTTGACTTTCCAAGGCTATTGTGATACTCTATAATATTGTGGTTTGAGTTCTGGATGCTTGATGTGCTAAGGCCACTGTTTGCAATTGTAATTTGACACGGCAAGCGGACACAACTAAACATGCATCCTAAACTAGTACATTAGCAGAGAACGTGAGAGCTGTGATAGAGTATTCACATACATTTTATTGTTTGTTTTATCATCACTTTTGCATTTGATACTGTATGCGTAATGCTGGATCAAACAATTAGTAAAAAGCTTATTATCTTGTTCTGTATGTACCAAAATCCGATGTGGATTGAGCTCAAATTGCTCATCGGCACGCTATTGACGTCAGTTGTTAGCGGTACAATATTGCCTTAATTCTCATCAATTATTAGTACACATTTCATGTTAGAGTAAAACTACTAAGTGCGATAGTATGATTGGTCAATGCCAATTTAATTTAGTTGCAGTATTTGTTTCATCTCATCTTCTAAAATTTGGTTGCTTTTCACGCCATCTTTTTGTTCTTTGTATTTACTATTTGAGAGTGTTTTTTGCTCTTAACTATGAATTTCCACTTCAACGGTTTTGATTAGCTCAATGGCTTCATTCAAACACTTATATCACAAGTTTTGTGCTATAAACATTCTATAATGTTAGATCATGGAGTTTTTCATCTCTGTAGTTCACAACCTTACTTTATGAGAGTTGATATAGTCAAGTGTTTTTACATTTCTTCATTGGATAACGTGGTCGAATGATTGATCGATTCTTGATTGTCCTGCAGACAGTCGAGAAGTGTTGGCTTGTCGACTGTCTAGTGAGTTTTGTATGAGACATAAAAAGTTCAAAGGTAAGTTGTGATTTTCAATCCATGTTGATCTATTGAATGCTAAATTCAGTCAAATAGTAAAAGGCAAGGATTGTTTCAAGTCTCACCGACCACTATGATAACGGATGTTATCATAGGATGCATAGATTGGCTTCACCGTATGCAAATCATATGAATGACAGTGAATGAGGGAGTGAGTGAATGCTTCAGCATCTGAACAAAGATCTAGTATCATCACTACCTTGATCACATACTTTCACTAGCAGGAGAAAAGTAGCATGGTATGTCCATGTGTGGAGCTCAAAAGAGAATCCCGATAGCTATAGTTCTCATTGGACATGTCAACAAGATCAAGTATTCTAGCTTCACTAAGATAGCTCTATGGTGAACATAGAAGCATCAATACTGCGAGCTTGTTGCACGTATGGAAAGCTATCTTCAATGAGAGTTCAATTTATCAACACTTTCATTGTTGGAGATCGAATAATTCTTGGATAAAACTGTTGCTGACTTCCATGAGACACTCATCCGTGATATCAAATCATTAGCATCAAGTTCGGTCTGTCATGGACTCAAACCTTCGTCACTGTTCTCACACAAAGCAAATGTTGGTAGCTATGTGAGAGGCATCTAAGGCCTTAGGAAGTGTGTTGTGATTATTGAAATCATCACATCTGAGCAGGCATCAGTTCATTTAACCTTTGAGATTTTGCAGTCGTTAAGCTTGGCCAGTTATTAGGTACTCTTTTACTCTTCATAGGCTTTTGTCATAGGTACCCGCAGCTCATCCACGTCTCCTCGTGCAGACAAAGAAATGATCTTCAATGCCAAACTAATGTCGGATAATCTCAGCAAAGAACACACCAATAGTGCAGGTATTTCAGCACTACCGCAATACTTGCACGGCTTTTTAATAGCTCAAGCAATTTGTTTTTAATTCTTATGTCAGTCATGGGAGTGATGATTTCAAGGGCATGAGAAAGTAACTGAGTAGAAATGGTGATGAAACTCCAATAAGAATTATTGGAAATAAGTTTTTTGATTTCATTTGAAATTTGGAACTTATGTTGTGAAGAGTTTTCAAGTTGAAGATTATGGACAAGTTTGTGTACTCTTTGCATGCATATTATCACAAAGGACTTGTAGTTATTGAGATTTCCAATTCACATTGTATACTTCTTCCATCTTTTCAATAATTTTTCAACGTTAATATTCTCACACGAAGATAGTTGGAAAGCAAATAAGTAAGATTGTTGATTTGGCTTGAAAACGTTTGGAAAAAGTCCAAACAGAAACCCAACTTATAAGATTAAAAGAGCACTTTGACAATTTTGAATAGTTTTATAGATGTTTTTATTCTTGGAGTGTGATAGAAAGCTTAACATATTATAAGTTCATGATCAAATTTAATCAAATTTAAATTATTCATTTGTGTTTGTTGATATGCTTAAATAAGGCAAAAGTTTTTGTTTAGAAACAAACTAAATGTATTAATTGAGTTTTTAAATTGACGAGTTTCTAAACTTTTTTGTGTATTATATTGGTACTACAATTATTAAAATCATCAGTTTCGTACATAATCTCTCTTCGTTTTTGTTTATAAAGATGAGCATATCATCATATTAACATGTTGATCAATGCTCTCACGTGCATTGGAGATGAAACGGTCCATATATCTTTCAGAATTCATCCATGAATTCTAGTGTAATCTTTGTAACTATCTACTCACATTCGGATACTAACCTACACCTCTGCAACGGGTTGGCTAATTATACTTCACGTTACAAAACTCGCCTAGTTATTCTAATTATCTTTCACTTTGTTCGGAGAAAAACAAAAATGATAATCTTCCGGTCGTCAATTTCATAGAGGTGACGTCGTGTGCATGCACTCTGCTCATTGCGCTGCGGCTCCCAATCTCCTCCTTCAACTGCAGCACTCACCAAAACACTCGCTCGCTCAATTCGCCGGTTCGAAGCAAGCAGGACGCTGGACACGAAGGAATTTGCATGTGCGCTCTCGTAGTTGGATCCAGCCGGATGAGGAGAATGATCTGATCGACAAAAGAATCTTCAGGGTGTTGTGGACGTTGAACAACAGCTGAAAGGGCGGAATTGGATGCAGCCGAATTTTGCCTCCTTGTAGTTCTGATGGACTCAGATGAGTCAATCAGCAAAGCGCACGAGCGAGAGGCGTGGGTGAGCTCGAGCTGGAAATTTTGCCCGAGCCTGAAATCTAGAATCCGTCGAGTTGAGGGGCTGAGATGGCACTGTCAAATGAGAATTGAGGTTCAAGACTCGGATAGTTGGAATCGCCAGGCACGAAACCAAAGAGGAAGGACGTCGAGGGCAGAGCTCCGAGGCCCGAGGAGAATCCCGCCCGCGTCTCGCATTGGCGTTGCACTTGGCCACTTGGAATTGCGGGGACGGCAGTGAGAGCTGTGATGCGCGAAGGATGCACGGCACTGATGGGCTCACGGTGCATGGAACGAATGGGTTGGATTTTTGAACGAAGTCTCATTCCAGCACTAGGACATGCCGAAGATCCAATGCCTAGACCAGCACATGCTGTTTCTATACCTTGTCGCGGATTGACGCTAATCTTTCGGTCCAAAACTATTATGGTTACTAATAGTAGTTCTCTATATTGTAAAGTATAATGCGGTGAGGGACAATTAAACTCTCACTTTTTATGTGAGAGTATGATATCAATTTCTTATTTCCAGTACTATGAATGGTACTTTACAATAAAAATTCATGAGATAATTACCAACAAAGACATTGCAAAACGTAAATCGATTCAATTTTTTGAGATAATATGATTTAGAGATTATGATCATATGATACATCTTAGTATTGGTGATGATAATGGATATCACAGTGTAAATTTTACATTATCATTATGTGATATCCATTATCATCACCAATACTAGAAAGGTATTTTATAACACAAGTTCAAAATATAACTAATAGGAAAGACATTGCAGAACTTGCAAAAATTCAATCTTTTTAAGATCACGTGAATGAGAAGATTCTATTTAATTATAATCACCAATACAGTAGAAATTGTATTAATTAATATTGTCTAACTTAATAACCTGTGATAATTAGTATATGCAGTACAGTCTCAAATTCAGACCCTTGTAATTATCTATAAACCTCCAGAAGTTAATAATTGATATTCCACATGCAGTCCCAAATCTTTTTTACATTAATAACCATTACAAAGAAATAAACGGTGGAGAAAAATGACATGAGTTGCGAGGGGCGGAGACCGCAGCTGAGGTGGATGGATACGAAGTACATATACCACGTAATTTCTGACCTGATTGTCCCGACTCGGATTCTTTTCTCACAGCCTTGCCAAGAACAACAGAACATCGAAGTGCATTTGTTCACTTGAGTGTTCTCTCTTCTTCACTTACTCTGGTTTTGGCTGCTATCCAGGGTGAACGCAACTGTTAAAAATGAAGCAACTCTTAAGTATAAGTGATTGACGTCTTGATTTTTTTTCTTCAAGAGTGCAACTTACTAGTTTTACGATAGCGCTATAACGCTACTAAGCTCAATACAATTCAATATCAAAACATGTCTCGTTACATCGAGATTTAAGCTTTTCATTCAAAACTAATGACTCTAGTCAATGTGCAAATAACTTACACATCACAAATGACGTGAACAAAAATACTCTCTTTATTGATAATCTGTCTAAATTAATAGGTCACGGCAGTATTAATTTATACAGGTTCTACTGTATGAGTAATTTCATTTGTGATTTATTTCATTTCAATTTAATTTCATTACATGACTAAAAGTAGTTGAACGACCTGATATCAAATTATCAGTGTTATGTGCGTGTCCATGTGAAACTTCCATACAATAATGACAATTTTCAAAATGTTCAGTACGCTGCTCCTATGAATCACATCAGTTCAATATCTCATATACAAAGCTAGGAGATGTTGAAAGAGGTTAAGTATAACTCAATAGAGAATGGTATCATGATAATGTTATCATTTAATTGGAGTATAGTTAACATCCTTCTGATACGCCACATTGGAAGATGTGGGAGCAACATATGAAAGGAGAAAAATTATCTATCAAAACTAATCTTGTGAATCACATAAGGGAGATTGTAGATATTGCATCTGAAAGAAAGATTATTGGGTGTTTCAAAGTAAAGAGTGAAGCTACCGGAGAGACTTTATAATACAAACATACTTTGTGGTGACCAAACTAGGTATAGGGTTCAGGTCAGAAGTCAGAAGGTACAGGTACTCTGTACACCCTTCTAACGCGATCTGGTGTGCAAGCTTAATACGACATCTTCGATCTATTAAATTTGGAAGAAAATTAGCCACGGGCCTGGTTCAAACTATTCATTGTCCTCACAGCTAAACATAGGTAGTATGTAACTAGGTTACAATAGTCGTACCAGTACTTAGTTTCAAAAGATTACGTTAAATTTGCTTGTATTCATAATAATCATAATACTATATTGGACATTTTTCTCTAAGGATACACCTTTGGGACAATCAAGGGGATATATATTTCAGAGGAAATTTTTGAGCTGATTTGAAGACCATACCCTTACACATTACTCGAACATGAAATATTTTAATAAGCCTCATGATATCTCTTGATCACTTGCAAACACATTAAAACAGCTTGCAGGTACCCCAAGGATTTAAGGAACTAGGATGATTGGCTAGGTTCATACTCATTCATTAGGTTCGATGTCGATCAGGGGTTTAAAGACTAAACCCCAAAACCCTTTAAAAACTGGCCTTACTAACATAAAACTGTACCATGTGGATTACACATGGTTGAATATTCTGTGATTAGACCGGTAAAATTTGTCGATCTGTAATTTGTTGTGTTTACCTTCCATTCATAGACGAATACTCTTCCTTTCTTTTCCTTGTGTGTATGCGGCACAATAGGACGTTTATCAGTAATTTACGAGTCGCGGTCACATAATTAAATTCTGCGTTCATCACTCGGCGAGATAGCGAGGTACGCAAGAAAAGAGACAAGAATATAATGAAGTGCATCAGTGGAAGGTAGAGAGTACCTATTAGTTATTATAGTGGTGACTTCGTTTATAAATTTAGAGACGGGAAACTACTACAGACAAAATTTGCAATATGAATGTCGATACAATGGGTTGTGTGAACAGGCCTCGGAAAAAAAAGTCCTGAATCCAAAACTCTGTTAAATCGGATGGAGAGCTAGTTACAAAATGGGGCGACTTTTACAAACATGCCGTGAGGTCCGTCCAATTTCCTTGAACAGCAGTGATAAATACGAAAGGCTACAAAAAATGATAGCAGCCAAAAGGAGCTCACACGAAGTATGAGAGCGAGTATCTGTCTCGGTAGAGGGAGGAAACCACCTAAGAAGTTCTGCCTACAAGCTGACTACACTAGCTAACTCCCTGGTGCCAGATGCTGGATCCTTAGCATCAACTGCAAAGAGGAATCTAACTAAACCACGCCTTCCTTATTTGTCACAATACATTCAGGGAAAGGAACATGAACCCTCTCAAATGGTTTCCAGGACAAGATCTTCGATTCCGGGGTCAAGCGAAGTTGGGATCGGCTCAACAATAAAACATTACCTTTTTTACATTTTCCTTCAACGGTGGTAGCGGACGAACGGCACCGCCTCCAGGAGCCCTCGTACTTCGAGCACCAGAACTTCCTGTGGTGATTGTCCTGCCGGTGGGACCAATACCACTGGTCAAGGAGCCACTATCTGAGGCCTCTGGCTCCATATAAAACCGGGCTCTGAAGGCAGCTAAATGTGCATAATAAGCTGGGGGAACTGCATGCGGACAATACGAGGGGTTAACATCAGAAGCACCTTGAAACGACTTTCCAATGAAAAGAACTTGCTAAAATACTGGTATTATCAGCTGAAACGCGATGTATATTATAATGTTCAACAAAGATACATACCAATAGAGACAGATCGTGTGCACCGCGCATACCTGGAACACAATCCCTTGTTAATCACAACATGCTCCAGCATATTGAAGTCACGAGACTCTACGGAGGGGAACGACGACACAATGGGAAAACCAATGAATCACCTACTTAAGTTGGTCAAATCTCACACTACCGCGGCGAGCGTTAGTTGGACAAAAAGTCACTTACGTGTAGCATAAATTATTCGTTAAAGACTGAAGTTCATCGGCCTTGAAGTTATTTTCGTCCCATAGAACATGATAGTGGGCAGGCCTGCTAGTACCCTGTCAAAAGGAAGTAAGAACTGCGTAAATCCTCTATTACGGAAACAGCGAGACAATTGATGATATAATCCCATAATGATATCCAGGATGGATGCGATCGGAACATGATGGACACGTAGAAGAACGCACTCAAAGTGTAATTGACTTCTCTAAACTAGTAATAGAAAAGGAAAGAATTCCCATCATGGTCCTATAGGTCAGAAAGGAACATAATAAATGGACCAAAAAATCTGTTGACTAATTGGGGGAAACAAAGAAAACCGGTATCGACACGAAGAAGCCAATACTGTGAACGAGAACCCTGCGAAGGGAATCTGCATATCCTAACTCGGCGAGATCAGTAGAAACACACACAGCAATTGCCGGTCAGAACCTGCGCAACTTGTATTACTTTGCTCGGCATATTCGCAAACTTTACGCAACCATTTCAAGCTATATACAATGATCATCGACAAAAACTGATGCAAGTCTAGCATACTGTTTGGAAAATTAACATGGTAGTCACCTGGATGCCAGCATGACTGCATAAATAAAAGTCGAACTCTGTAGGATGACAAATCTTGGAGTCGACAACAGTTCCTGCATGATGGGCGAAAGATCAATAGAACCCTGACGAGTCCCGGTAAAGACCAGCATGAAACTACTGAATCCAGAAGTTTACAGGACTAAGAATTATACCTGGGAGGATATTTCCACTCCGGTCGGTCATGTTTCTATCGCTGTGGCTACTCGCGAAAAGCCGTGTGTGATGACGCTTTTGCACAACAACAAAAGTCACAGGAGGTTGATAGTTTGCCTCCAACGAAGCACAGGCCTGGACGAGACAACAACATTAAACAAAAGTGTTATACAGGCATTAAACATTAACATTAAACAACATTAAACAGGCGTTCCTCAAATCAGACGCATCTGCAAGGGAACAGACGTTAGATGTACCTTCCGAATAGCATCAAGCTCGTGAAGCAGGACCTGATAAAACTGGCCTTCACTGACACCATCCCTGAGCACAATCAAGATTTTCTGGAGCTTAGTAACATTCAAGGAGATAATCGCCTTTAAAAAATGCTACATAAAAATCCCCCCAATTCAGTACCATGTGGAAACCCTAATTACGGCGCAGAACTTCCATTCCTCGAAGAGTGCTACATACACAGACAAAAAACTACAACTGTGAACTTCTTAAGATCTTCTGAGGATATTCTCAAAACGAATGTAGATTGGTCTACTTTGATGACACTTACAGTAACTACATTACATAGGTACCAGAATACAGGCAACCTGATTTTCTCTGATTAAAGTGAAAGTAAAAAATCTCGAATTCATGACAAATGCAGGGACATGACGTCTTGCATCACAAACTTCGGTACAAAGTAAAACAAATCTACTTGACTTTTCTAGCAGACGTCTGATTATCTTAAGACCATAGGGACCATGAGTAATTCTGCAATATGAATAATGCGCATGGGCGACTATCTACTTGACTTTTCTAGCAGACGTCTGATTATCTTAAGACCATAGGGACCATGAGTAATTCTGCAATATGAATAATGCACATGGGCGATTAGCGTTGCAGTCACGATAATCATCACCGTCGACATTAAACATCGCAAGATCTATAAATTGAACATATATATATTTACCGCGTCAATAAAACAACTGGAATGTACCAGTGGTATAATACACCAAGAAGACATAAAACAAATTAACGGAAAAGAGTAATGCAGAAAACTGAAAAAAGCAAAATGCAAGTAGTATACTCACAAACCTAAAAACCATACCTATAGAATATAATGCGCTGTGGTTTTTGACCAGTTGCTCTTCGAAAAGACATCAAATGTTCCCTGGAATGCAAAAACACTATCACGATCCAGACTACAAGTTTTTGGTTACAAACCTATAGAATATTATGCGGAGCGGCTTTTTGCCAGTGGCTCTCCGAAAAGATACAAGAAGTTCCCTGGATTTGTACAGAAGAAGCTTGGTCAAAGCTTAACAGATCTACTTACATCTGTTAGCGTGAACACGTGAAGTACCCCAACAACACAGATCGGGCAAGTACGACCAACAAAACTACCAGATAACCTGGGGAACACATCTGGATAGAGGCTATTCACGATGGGTATCCCTGATAGGTAACAAAAGAAAGAGGAAGATCCCATGGTGTCCGTTGTCAAGAAAATTGTCAATAGCGTTGATTCAACCTCGCACTACGTGAACATAAGCGGAAAGACAAAGAATTCTTCAAATTGAAGCAGAGGACTCAGGTAAGTACTTGATCATGCCCCCTGACATCGGACCTCGCTGGGGATCAACCCAGGACTTATAAAGGTCCTGAATTAGTTCTTGCCGATGTGCCTGTGCACAAACCAGCCCTGCATATTTGGTCACCTCCGGCCAATCTTGGGAAGCGACCACCTGCCCAGATGTCACAAGATGAAAAAAAGCATAATCAGAACGAAGATGCATTCATTTGAGTCTGATTCCACGGCATATAGGTAATATAGAGTGATCCTACATGAAGTCAAAAGGTAAAAGAGATGGGTATACCGCAGCGATCGAAGGACTGGTATCTTCCCCAGGATGAGGATGTGTGACATCTGCACCAAATATTATGGTGGGAACGTCACTAACCAGAGGAATCTTTCTGGTTAAAGCGTCAACCAACACGGTATTTCTTCCACCGACCTGTATTCATAGACAAGTTTTTCTACATTTAGACGATAGAGAACCCTACAATCTTTAACCATAAGACATCCTACGGACCTCTTATTCGATTAGAAATACATCTAATTAGAAAAAGGACTAACCCTGGAAGTGTAACCGCAAATCCAAGAAGAGTCTAAACCCGGATATTTCCAGGCCGAAACTCGCAGAACTTGATCCTTACTTTAACGTTGATCTTCAATGCAACATTAGCAAGATACTGCTTGCTCATCTTATAAACATGCTTTGTGAGGCAGCACTGCGACACAACTCCCAAATCCGTTTCACATATACGCTTGAGATCACCTGAATTCAATGTACAAAGGATAGCTCTCTTCATGAAACTTGCAATGGTTGAAGTCATGGACGAAACAAAATGGGAATTGCAGGAATTACTGTAGAAAGTAACATAGGTGTCTTTCGCGGGACAGTTGGCGCAATGCGAGCATCAGTATTGGTATGATATCGAACTAACCGTAGAGAGCACCATTGTTATCAGGGAGGATAACCACGAGTAACTCCAGATCCTTTCCCTTTGTACGCGTCTGAGCTTCTCTAAATACTTGCTTCAGTGCCCGATCAACTTGGTCTGAACGTGCATTGTGAATTGGCATCACAGGTTCTTGGTTGAAATGCTGCAAGTTCAACACGAAATGCAAGCCTCAGATGATGGATCTGAGCCACCTTCTCAATGTCAAAGAGTCAAATCTCCTAGTCCCACAAGATGTACAGCGGATGTGATGGAGGAAGTAATCCAACTTTACCATTCCAGATGTTAGACACATCTGAGCGAGCTCCATACAAAACGCCTTCGCGACGGTCTCCAACACGCCGCGCGAGAAATTAATACACGCCCAATTATTTACGATACCTCCGTTGACCATTTTCTGACAGGTTGGAAACATAAGAAACATAATAGGGTGAAACTCCGTACACAGATGAAACAAGTGAAAACTCTACAGCAACTGCGACTGAAAGATTTCGAGATTACCTTATTCATCATATTCCACTGGCCAACTTGGGGTAAGCAATCTTTCTCCCTGCCTGTATCATGATACTTGAGCTGCTCAAAACACAAGTCGAAACCGTAGGGAGGTTACACGGTGAATTACAGGAAAAGAAGAAGACCGCCAACAACCACCGGCAGAGCAGATGGTCCCATCATACACGGAGTGATGGAACTCCACATTTTAAAAGTGGGTGAATAAACGTCAAATTGACAAACGCCAGATAGACTAAATAAGTGATATGACCGCACTAACCCGCGGTGCTGGTAATATTCGGGCCTCGACCTGGGCCAACCTATTGCTGATACGAATCCCAAACTCTTGAGCATAAGGATCCTGGGCGTATGCATTGTGATACACAGTCTGCAAGATCGTAGCGCTTGGTTGAGACCAAAATAACACTGAAGTAGATGTGATAGACGACAAACATGGAAACTACCCAAATCTAGAATTCAAATCACCCCTTCCATCTAAAACTTCTACGTAGACTGGAAATTTAATAGAAGACTATGGGCTTTCACAGTTGCAAATGCCACAACCTGCAAGTCAATCAGAGTGAAAACAAGAAAGTACTTATGACACCAACAGCAAACTTACAACTCAATACAAAGAGCACGAACCTGGAGAATATCTGCCTCACGGTCTTTCGGCCGTTGACATGTCACCTTCAGTAGAGCCGTAATCTGCCTCTCATTCAGACGTTTTGAATATCGTTGTCCTTCCACTATTTTACAGACCTGCAGAAGGGGCTCGGGTGAATATCGACAAACTCGTTCAGTTTGTTCAAATGAGAAATGACTATTGCATTGAGAATAACCGTACCTCCATAGGTAAATAGTTCGGTCGGTCTCGATTTCCCACTTGAAGGCAAGGGAGTGTTGGGTTTCGAATGGTGTACTGATACGTCTCGCGGAAGTATTCAGTAACAGTTTTCAACGTTCCCCTTTCATCCACAGGGAAGCTGTACCAAACGCAGTCAAACGAGTGTTAACCGAAATCAACTTCACAACTCTACCACAAGCGAAGCAGTCAATCGAGTTTTCATTAAAATCAACTTCACACGAATCAACTTCACACGAAGTTCTACGAGACCATATAGTTGATTTCTACTTCCCGCATCAAACCATAAATTTTAGAGAGGTTTCGTCTCAATAACTCAAAAAGCCAACTAGGTTTGAGAAGGTGATAAACGTACGACAACTCTTGGGTCGGCTGTGAAGTGAGCCCAGATATGCGGTACTTCCTCCGCATAGTACCACGGTGAGTTACTTCAACCTTTACTCCTCGCAGCGCCTTCTTGATCTAGTGACACAGATTATAGAAAGTGTGGGTACAAAGCGAAATTGATGACGTAATCAAATGCGCTATGTGTAGCATTCACATTTTACGTTATCAGTTGTGCACTCCTTGTAGTTATCCCTTCATCTCAACCACAAAACTACAATAATCTTGATAGTAACTTTGAGAGGATGTAATTCCTTTATTATCACCAATATGAATGGTATTTTATGAAACCCCTAATGACAAAGACACTGACAAACTTGCTGAAGATCATGTGATTCACACCATGATATCTATTTATCATAGTAAAAGGGATGGTTAAAGTCAATAAAACTCCTCATAACAGAGGGATTGCAAACCCTGCATTACTACAATTACTTGAAGATTGAGACTAAGATATCTATTCATCATCACCAATACCAGGAATCGTATTCTATAGAAAAAGTTCAAAAAATCCGATTAAGAAAGACACTGCAGACCTTAGAAAGACGACAGCAGAAAGACAACGGTAGAACTAAACTATTTCCTCGATAAGAACACGTAATTGAGACGATGACATCCAAGTATCATCACCATAACAACAAATCGTATTTTGCAGTAGAAGTTCACAAAATCTCTGATAAAGACACTCGAAAGTATATAAATGAATTTGAAGGTAGTTTAACTGGCTGATATCAAATTGGCAAAGTGTCCCCTACATGTGTAAGTGAAAATAACAGACAACCATGTGAACTTAGAAATTACAACACTTCAAAATCTCATGTAAGAAACTCGTGGATTGTAAAAGAGGTTGTAAATATCTCGATAGAGGCTGGTATTGTCATAGTATTATCATTGATTTTGGAGCATAGTTAACAATCTTCTGATATTGGAGCGGGAGATAGACCGAATTGGAAGAAGTCGGAGCAACCTAAAAAGAGAGAAAGTATTTCTCGGAAATAATCCCCAGAATCACATATCGGAGATGGTAGATTTGCATTTGAAAGAAAGACTAATGGGAGAAAAATTATTGGATGAAGGTGGAATTCAAAATTAAAGAGAGTAGTCGACGGAGAGGTTCTATCTTACAAACATAGATGGTGGTGACAAACATTAGGTTGAAGACCGCAAGCTATAGTCAGGAAAAATTCTGAAGTACAAAGATAGATAGTAAAATATTTAATCAACACAGTGTGTAGTCAGAAGATAGTATCTTCTCACGTGAAAAACATAAGTTACGTCGATATACCAGCAATCAAGAGATGTGGAAACCATAAGCCACGTCAGCAGATCAACACATCAAAAGATGTGAGAAAAACAAATCACCATAAACTGATCTCACCTTGATACGATCCGCGTCAGATAGTTGTCTATTGATATCCTTGTTGAGGAGTTGGGACACGAACTCTGTGACCGGGAGTGGCTCGATGAAAGCAGTGGAAGACATGTCTGTACAAACGTAAAACTTAACATGTCAAAGAAATTTAGCATGAAACTAAATTGTATCATTGGATATAATCGTCTACATGAAGTCTCGGTCATAGAAAAAGCCATTATGACATATTCTCCGTACTCTGATGATGACTCACCATCCTGTCATCACATGCAAGCATACAAAGTTTAACCATTAACATTAGGGAGAGAAATGGAAAGATAAATTACCTATATTCAACGACAGACCCATCTGAGTTGGGCGTATACTTTGGTAAAACCCTCTCCAACTTTCGAGCCCATCACCCAGAGATTGGCGATTCCCGAGATCGGGTGAGTAGAAAGAACGCCCTACGGGACAGTACCTGAAATTGAAACAAAGTGACGTCAGATTGATCTACAGCATAAGGTGTTACTTATCATTAACATCTACTTACGACATCGAGTACACGTCAGTTCTAAAGTCAGTTCTAAAGTTATACAGCATACGTCAGCCACTAAACTGAATTGGTGTCTAACAGCTTTTCTATGCTATCTACTTGACCGTAACCTTCAAGCACTAATTCAATGATTTGAGGAGATGACAGAACACATCACCCAACCACCGATAAAAGTACGAAAGACAACACTCACATACACAAATATTCATGTCTAGCTAATCCTCACATTCTTTATTATCTGGATGAGTTGAGATTCCATTTAGAGCGATGTCCAATTTATCCCGCTGCTAAGTTGCTATATTAAATTGTTTTCACTTATAGACAAGACAAGAGAAGAACAGTGATGTCGAGTGAAGAAGGGTTTAACCTAGCTACACCACTCGAGGTAACCACAGTTACCTTGAGTGGTGTAGCTTCATGTACATGTAAATTTGGTTACATGTACTCACTAAAGAAGAAGCCACTCACTAAAGATGTCCAGACAAAACCCTTCAAAAAAATAAATGCAATAAAGAATGAAGTGTGTGAAATGAGAAACAAACCTGTGAGTAGGAAGTTCCCTCAGAACAATATCAAGAACTTGCAAAGCTTCCTGAGGAGCGTCAGCTTGACGTCCTTGAAGAAACTGGCCTAGGTGATGCAAGTCAGCTCGTGCAGCGAACTTGATTACCACCTTAAATGATCTCTCCCGTCTGCAAGACAGCCAGATAAAAGATTCGCTGATGATATATATGTGTGACATGTAGGATTTGCGGGAGAAAAGTACATAGATAATATGAACAACTCAGTGTGAATGCATAGCATATATGTAGGATTTGCGGGAGAAAAGTACATAGATAATATGAACAACTCAGTGTGAATGCATAGCATATATGTACGAGGCGTCAAATATAATGTCATAGGGCAATTACGACATTCACCAAGACTATATACTAGCCATTCACCTTCTGCACATTATATATAGAATACATCAATATCTCTCACGAAGTGAAGCAATCCGCGTGCCACATTTACGTAATTTTTATGAAACATTAGTAAGACTTTTCAAGAAAGAAAGCTTCTGCCAATTATTCCAGTATTTCTTTCGCACTTAAGTCGTTAACCTCTTTTATCCTTCCCCACTTGCACAAAAGAAAAATATCTGACCAAGACCGGTTAGAAGGCCATGAGGCAAAACAAACCTAGGAGTGCTGCTGCCATCTTCTTCATCCAAGAGGTTGATTTGGAATTCTTTAGACTGGAAAGGTAACGGGCCAGCCGTGTACAGACTTTTTCGACCATCGTAGGCTGGTAACCTGCGACCAAGCTCGCTGTCGCGGTAAAGTCTAACTAATTGTTCCATCACAGCTCTGTTTACACCTCGAGACGTGACTTCCGGAGATATTGCCACCTGTAAAATATAATGCAAACCGTCATATAGGGAATAGAAGACAGCAGAGAGCAGGAAATAGCGTAAAAATACAATAAAGTGGGAATATGGGGCGAATACAATTGGCAGAGGCTTATCTTACAACAATACGCACCAACTAGCCCTAGACGTCCGCCATACATAAAACTTTACAAGATTGCAACATCACATGGAAAACTCACATCATACTGGTGAAGATCTTTGTCAGGAAGCTCCGCAAAAAAGTGGTTAGCCTTGACAATGCACTTTGTTCCAGATAGGCCCCTCCCTGGGCGAAGTGGAAACCTTAATGCTCGACTAGACACTGGAGGACCCTGTCGTACAGGTGATGACGGTCCGACTTCTTCAACAGGTGAAGCGGGCTCCGGAATGTGCAACTGACGAAAAGTCTCCAATAGTTGGGTAGGGGCCATTGTAGCTGATGAAGGTTGTGTGCCGAAAGATACTTGAGGTAGGTGAGAGGATGGGACTGGAGCTGGTGCGCGTCCTAATTGTGGATACTGATCGGCAGGACCTAGAGGAGGAAACCCAGGTGGCATGGCTGCTTGAAATGGAACGCCACCCATTGGCTTGTCTCGCCCGACTGGGATTCTAGTGTGTTGGCCTCCAGACGACTCAGCTGGATATTGTCCTTGTCCACCATAATTTCCACCTCTACCACCTTCCCTAGCTGGACCCGAGTGGCCAGGCCACGATCGGTCTGGATCGCCACCCCGAAGTTTTCCATCTGGTCTGGGGCGACCTCTCCCTCTGCCTTGACCACCAGATTGAGTACCAGGTGGAACTACTCCCTGAGACCCGGCAGTCGCCGCAGGTCTGCCTTGGCTCGTCGCTTCATCGCGGATCTGGGGAGCAGGCTCCTGGACTACAGGAGTAGCTGTCGGTGGTGGCGCAGGAGCCGGTGTTGGGGTCGCCGCAGGGGCGGGAGCTGCCTGAGAAGAAGAAGCTTGAGAAGCCTCTTCAAGCTCCTTCGGAGTTTTCCGCCGTCTCGGCATTTTGAAAATTCAGTGAGGGCCTGCAAAAATGTAGAAACGCCGACGGTCAAAATGCATCTGCGGAATACTCCCATCTTATGCCTAAAACAGGAGCAATGAGGGCTGAGAAGAGATTTCAAGCATTCTCTACAAATCATGCACACAATATCCGGCTATACTCATCATGTTATAACTCGCGTCGTAGTAAAGGCTAATTACTTCAACTCACGAATTTCAGAGACAAACAGTTGCATTCCACTCAGAGAGACTAAACAAAGTTGATGTGATACATTCTTGATCATCTCTACTTATGAAATTTGTAGGGTAGATTATTTCTAACGAGGCCAATATAGAAAATTTGATTTCACGTTCGGAAACAAATTGTTTGGAGACGGACTGTGCTAAAGAAACGACAATATATTGTAAAACTGAAAAGTGAGTCTTCAATTCACCGTCTATCACTGCCATAACAGACCACGCGGGTGTAAGCAATAAATAAGCAGACAGTCACATCGGCGACGCCACACTCAGCTTACTAAGCGTGGAAGATTAAGGTATGTGTGTGAATAAAGAAAGCATCACCAGGGAGAACATACAGACGAAGAGAAGGGAGTCGCTGGTAGCGTCAAGATGGTAGAAAGCCTTAAACAGCTAGGGAGTGACGGTTATAGAAGTATATCGATTGAGGAGAAAGCTGTGTAACTAAGGAATTCACATCAAACATGTCCAGTAGCAATTGTCACCTTTCAGATCCATATGCCCCTTGTTGGAACTCCAGATAGTTAAGGAAAAGCCAGGAAACTGAAGGTGTGATGAAATAATGGCACATTGAGTGGACTTAAGCGCAGGCACTCGAATGGAACGTACGGGAGAGTGGAGGTGGAGAGCAGAAGCACGCTCCGCCACTGCTTAGAAAGGGAGTACTAAGGTTTACTAACTTCCTTGGAGTCAGTTCAAGAACTCCGGGTCCTTACTTCACAAACAGAAGTTTTAAACAAATGCGAGCAATCATCGAATTTGCCTGCTCATCGAGCTCCGCTGCATGTCAAAGGAAAACCCCGGCTTCTTCTAGAGAAGGCATTACGTCAGTCCAACCTGAGAAAACGCCCAATGCCCGAAAATGGTCGGTAATGACGGAAAGGTAGTGGTGGATCTGCGAGAAGAGCATGGTCTGGGCAAGCTAGCTCGCTCCTACGTTTGCTAAGCTGTTAAACGGAACGTTGTTCTGAGAGGTAAGTGTTGCCTAGACGCACTTTGGAAGTGGAGGATGAGGTCGAGTAGAGAGTCGATGTCATTTGTTTCAGCGTAGTCCGAACTTGTAGAAAACTTGGAAGAACTAGAAGGTCTGTCCTGCTAGACAGGAAAATTGAACTGCACCAGTCAGAGGTAAGTTTCAGTGGAAGGTCGCCCTAATATAGGAAAAGGCATGATAGCCTCAAGCTGTACGACCCTCTTCTCTATCAAGGCATGTGGAATTGGTGCGGGCGGGAAGACGGAATATTGAAAGTAACTCACTTTGCAAACCGTGTAGCGAACAGAACCGCAACAACGGTGTGCAAGAGATAGAAAAGAGTAAAATTGAAGGACTGGTAACGGCATGCAGAACACGAATGCAATGACACACGCCAGCAACTACTGATGACGAGACGCCCAAGGAGAACTGCCAATGTCCGAGAAAAGGAGAACACACACCAAGACCTGTCTCCTGAACTATCCTATCCTTTCCACGGATGAATATTTCCTATGTGCTTACCGCTCCGATAACCTGTTTGCCGTAAGGTTTCTCCTCGTCCTCTTCTCCACCTGCCTACCTTACTACTCTCTTCTTGCCACTACGCCGTCGCGACCCCCCCTGCACACCTTCCTCTCCGCTCTCGCTCTGTCCCTCATTCGCTATGCCTGTCTCCTGCGTCTGTCACCTTTGCTCTGTACGCGGTCGCTCTCTCGAGTGAAGGGTCGGTGTGCGCGTGGCTTGGAGGATGGGAACCGATACACCGAGCCGAAACAACAACGGCCTAAGCAGCAGCGCTTAAGGCTCGCTCTTTTGCACGTCTGCTCGCTCTGCGCTTCCCTCCAAGTTTTTCCCTCCCCCCCACCCCCCCTCCTCTCCTCTCCTCTCCTCTCTCTCCCTCTCTCTTTCAGTCTCGGTCTCTCTCTCGCTCTCAATCTCGCTCAGCCCAACCCTCCCTCTACTGCCTGGCCTCGCTTCCTTGCCACTGTCCCTCCTCTCTTCCCTCCTTCAGTTCCTGTCTGGCTGCCTGCCTCCCTCCCTACCTCCCTCCTCGCTAGCAGTCAGGAGTCGAGCGAGCGGAGTCGAGTCTCGCGAGCTTCCGGCATAATCGGCTTCCTCATGCCTGGAAGCAGCAAATGTCTTGAAGCCCGACCCGGCGTCGTCGACCAGTGACAGCAGTCCCACCTCCTTCGCGCAGCATCACCGGCAGCACCCAGCAGCGAGGAGCAGCGCAACGATACGGAACAAACGCCAGCCAGCAGCGGCACCGATAGGCCAAGTTGCAAGTCGAGAAAGCAACACTGTTGACTAGCACCTCCGCTTGCTCGCGCTTCCGCTTCTGCTGCTGCCCATCTAAGCCAAGGCAGGCCGAGCCCGAGTCTCACTCGCCATCTCGCTTGTCTGGTCTGCGGCGCCACTGCGCTGCTCTGCACTGAACAGCACTCCTGTTTCCTCTGGCATGGCCTTGGCTGCCCCCTCCTGCACTGCCCGCTTAAAGCTTTCACGATGGCTGCTTGCTCGCTCGCTTCTGCTGGAGTCTGGACCCGTAGAGCCTGTAGAGCCCCTGCTGCTGCTGCTGCTGCATTGCCTGCCTGCCTGCCTCTGCCCGCGCCTGCCCCCGCCTGCTCGCTGCTGCGAACAGCGCTCTCTCGCGCAGTCGTCTGCCTGCCGCTGCTGAATCCGCTGATCGTTAGAGCTTCCGTTATTCACTCGTCCAAACGAGGAGGAGCGTCCAAACGCCCGTTGGACTTCAATTAATATGCAACAACGCATTTGAAGGCCATTTAGACCTCATTTCGGCTGGCCTTTAACGCCGCCTCCTTTGCCTAGAGGCCGCGTGGAGTTCCCACTTCCCTTTCAATGCATTCCCCACTTACTGCCCCACTAAAATAACTGACGCTCCCCGGCTAGGCTGGCCTGGCCGCCTGTACTCTCGTCGTCCTCGCGCTCGCCCTCCCTCGCCAGAATAGCATCGCTCGAACGGAAAGATGGGACTGCCCAGCACCGTGGGATGCGAGGGCCAAGGCACACCGCCTGGACGCTCCTGTGGCCCAGTCCACCCCGCGCGGATCGAGTACAGTACAGCAGCGAGCCGGGACCAGTACCAGTGCCAGTACCGGGACGACCATCGGGAGCAGCAGCGTAGCCTACCACGTTTCCTCCCGCTGCGCAGTTAGGGTTAGGGCTCATCGCAGTATGGTGAATAGTGACGACCCCCCCACGTGCACCGAGCCATGTATGGATGCAACATGGTCATCCCCTGGATCGCTCGATGGTCCGGCCACCTCACCGGTGACTCCCGTTCCTGAGCCGGTTCGACGCCGCGGCACCGTGAACCCGGCTGAGAAGAAACCGGTACGGTTCCGCCATCCACCGACCGACGCAAGGTCTACCTCCGTGGTGAATTACAACACCGGCACGGCCACTGCGCTGGAATCTGCAGCCCTAAAGAGTTCCCGAGCAAGGGTGCCGTCGACCCAGATGCTCTTGCGGCCGCCGAGCCGCCGGGCGCCGCAAAAGTGACACTGCCGACTTATTTTACAGTAAAGAGCCCCGCCCCTTCCCGTCATATCGCATCCCACTTCCCGTCTCGTCCTTCTGCGCCCCATGCAAAACCCTCTGCGCCAGAAAGGAAGAAAGGGCCCCGGCAGTTACTCTTTGCATTTCTTATTTCTTCCTTCATTACGAACGTGCGGGAATTAGAATTACTCTCGGGGTTAAACCAGATTTCTCCATGCTCTAAGAGCATTAACTATTACTTATTCTTCTTCTTTAACTGTTACTTATTCCTGTGAAATGTACGAAGACTGTTATGAAGCACTGCTGAGAAGTAAGTTATACCAGATAATGACCATCTAACCCAGCCATGACTCGTTCGATGACATCCGGCAGCAGGGAGATTGAAACGTGTCGATTTTGAACAAAGGTTGGAAAATTTTGTTCTGTTGGGAACTTTAGGATAAATGGCTCAATAATGTAGGAGGTTATACGATACCGTGACCTAAGTACCGAGTGAGTACTGTAACAAGTGAGCATGCAAAAGGTTCGGGTGCCTTAACCCGTTATCCTCGCAGGCTGGAATGCATCCCGATATTCGAATGGATTGATAGAATCTACCATTTTTAAAAACATAACAAAATATTTTTCACGTAACTCGTGGAAAAATTTTCGAGAAATTAAGATAATATTCAAGAGAAATATCATTCAAGTTTATGTGCTTCTTCGATTACATTCATATTAGATAGTTTATACATAATCACTTCTACAGAAAACAAATTGGTATAAAAGATAAATACTCAATAGGTTTTTTTAAAGAAAAATCTTTAAGATTTTTTTATTATCCTGTAGTTGCTTACACACAAATTCTGCATCAGGTGAAAATTTTTTTTGTAAATTACTATATTCATTAATTTCTCGAAAAGGTTTCTTTACAAGAGGTTAATGTGATATGCGAACCTGTCAATTAAATCTGGTCTTCAAACTCCAGCGTTCATTACAGAAGTCTACATTTGGATCTTTGGATCATTTTTCTAATCATTGAAGGCATGAAAGTGAAAATCAAGTTAACCAGATAAGGTATCTCCATCGAACAACTTGTCATATCCATCCTTTTTAAGTAAAATCAAGTTACATGAACGTTTAGTAGATTATCTCATGTAACATCACGCTATTCTGAACAAATATACAAATGTTGATATGATATTGGGATGTATCATCTAGTTTGACGGTTCCTAAGCTTCTATCTTGAAAATCTTTTGCTTCATGTGAGAAAAATGAGATAGGGAAAAATTTAATCTGCGTGTTTGCCTTTGGAGATAAGGTATCTCCATCGAATAACTTTTCAAATCCATCCTTTTAAAGTAAAATCAAGTTACATGAACGTTTAGTAGACTATCTCATGTAACATCACGCTATTCTGAACAAATATAGAAATGTTGATATGATATTGGAATGTATCATCTAGTTTGACGGCTCTTAAGCTTCTATCTTGAAAATCTTTTGCTTCATGTGAGAAAAATGAGATGTAAAAGAATTTGATCTGCATGTTTAACTACTAAACCTCTCTGTATTCGTTTATAGTTCTTGAAATGAGACTAAACTGATAGCATGTTTAAATCATGTAGGAATAAGATTATTTTTTTTATACTCAAGAAAGAATATAATCGAATAATGCTTTACGAGGAAAACAAAACAGAGTTGATAGATATAACTCGACCTATTCTAGTGATATGATAACGCATATGATCATAGGAGACTTCAAGATTTTCCCATTATTATTCATGGCAGTCAATAATTCTATTATAAAAGCAAAGAGAAAAGACTTTTACGAGATCCTGAAATATCACCTGTACATTTCAATGGCAATTGTCCACTCGGAAAGATTTCTTGGCGATTTCTATCACATCTTGTATCTCGATGTTTCTGGAATATTTGTATATGTTTCAAAAAAGTGTATATTTCTCTCAGGGAAAGAGAAATATTTTTCTAATGTAATTCATTGATAGATAATTTTCACAATCTATACAAGTCATGATCAGTTTAACATTGATTAGTCATTTCCACTGAGACTAATTAAAATAAAAAACGTATTTATGGTTCTACGATGACTAAAAGCAACAAGAACAAGTTTCCTATTTAATACGTTGGGAAACCTTTTCGAGGTTCAAGACGATACGTATCAAGAACCAAAGTAAATCTTTGACTTGTGAGACGTAGATCTGGTGCTCAACGAAGACGAAGTCATAAGTTCTAAAGAACGAGGAGAAGAACAAACTTTGACTCGAGTCAGATCCTCGTGCTCTGGATGTTCGAGGTTGTAGATGAGCACGCCCGCGAGTAATAAGATCTTCCCTGATTCAACAGTGATGCAACTTTGACGGAAAGTCCAGTCCCGCAGATACTATCACTCCGACTGTCCAAGAGGTATGACTCATACCGTATGAGTCATACGGTATGAACAGGCATGGTTATAATGGTTACTATTTTAAATTACCTGAACAACGTTAATTTAGTATAATTTAGTCTATTAAAAGATTAATTTAATTCAATTTAACCTCTAAACATTTTAAAATTTTTGTCTTCTAAAATTTTAATTTTTAAATATATTATTAAAAAAATTTTTTTTTACAAAATTTTCATTTATTTAGAAAAAATTAATTAAAAAATTCGTAAAATTTTCACAAGAATACTCTCCCCATTGGTTGCAACATGTAGACACCAAATCACACCCACCCTAATTTAGGCACCTAATCACCAAATAGTTTGGATAATTTAGATGACCTTATATATGGTCGCTTAACATGCCATGACTGGTATGAGTTATATCTCTTTCACTCGTACCGTATGAGTAAAAGAGATGGAATTCCAATAAAATACTCTTCAGATACAAGAGGAAATTTGGAAATCTTGAGCCTTCCAAAATGTTTTCATTACTTTATAGTGTTGAATTCATCCCTTTCCTTTCTCATGCATGCTTCTATAGAATGCTCTCTTTTATTTCATGAAATCTGAATGAAATAGTGCTGATTTTGTTGGTGTTGCCGGTCTCGCTTATATAGCTAATTGTAAAGCCAATTATGAGTTATAACAGACACTTCATAACCATCAAGATAATAGAGAGAAATCGCTTCTACTTCAGAATATGCTTTTTGATAAAATTTAAAAAACTCATTAATATCTAAACCCTCAATGATTTACCCCATGTGAAGAAAAAGCTCGTTTTCTCATATTTATTTTTGAATTCTCCCCAATAAAGAGTTTACAAGCAGTACATGATACTGTATAATTGAAATATAATGTGATATGAAATCATACAGGACTGTATCCATTCCTCTCCGGGTCACGTCGCATACAAGTCTTCTTTCCCAGCTATTTCTGCTGACCTTGTCGGCCATATACATGCCAACAGATAGAGTCCTGCTACCCTCCCGAGCCAAAAAAGCAAATGGTTGTTAGACATATAAAATCCATTTATTTCTCGGATTACAACAACGAATTCACTGTTCTTTGACTTTTCAAAGTTAAAATAAACATTGTTAACCCCCATATAGCACATGTACAATTGACCACGTTCCAAACTGAAAGATACAGGTCGGTATCCGAGTTCATGTCACCAATCACATATATTGCGGTTCACACTTTATGTGAAGATCAGCTTTTGTGGGAGAATATATCAGACATGTCTTATGTCTTGGATCTGGAGTCCCTCCACCGAATGTTCAAACCTTCCTGATGAACTTTCAATCCAGCGAGTTTGATTCCTTAATACCTCGAACAAGTTCATTCGTAATGATGACAAGGATGAATACCGGTGATGTTACTACGTTTGGAGCATATGATCATGGTAACATAGACCAATGATGTTACCATGTACATGCGCACGTCAAGGTTCTCGTTTATGTACATCCGCGCACCAGTAGTGAGGCCCCATGTAGAATCAAAAATTGGGAATTTACTCAAACACGAAGTTGCATATAGCCACAAAGGTGACGTTGTTTTGACTTTCAACGTGAAAATCCTGACATGATTCGATGGAAATAAAATGGAGAAGCGATTACTCAACATAAGGACATTTGATTTCGAGCTGGGTTGGGGTAGAATCTCCGTTTAAGATATTAATTCCACAACCAACAACTAGTGTGGCCCCCGATGTGAAGATACACAACCCGCCCTTATTAAGACATTCGTCATCTAGCTGAAGATGCATAGGCCAATACATAATCAGAATCTATAGAATCACATAATATATTGATTGCAAATTCATCCGTTGGACTATGAAATTTGACAAGGAAAAAGTATTTGAAAACTCACCTTTATAACGAATTTGTGTGTTAATTTACATCGCAACTGACTAGGGGTAGCGCATTAATACTTGGTTAGGGAGCATCAGATTAACATTGTATATACTTTAGTTACAACATTTCCACATTACTCTTCTTTGTATGGATGAATTTACCTGCTCTAGATATGAGATCAATGTAAGGAATAACCCAGGTGTTAAAGTAACTATGAAGATATTTTACAGTTCATTTATTTAATTAACTTTAGGGTTTTATACGTTCGGATTTGGATTTGAACGTATGAGAGAGAAACTTTCCTTATCTTCTGAACATCGTATAATCTATAAGAAAGTTTAACTTAACATAGAGCGATAGAGACATATTATTTCAATTAGGTTGTAAATTTCCTGATCCCTATATGTATCAATGTACATAGAGCGAGAGATACATTGTGCAATCCATAGGCAACCACTCATGGTAGGTGATAGTTTTTCATGGTAAAACGTCCTCAGTATATGGGAAGTTTTACACAGATATAGAATAACATTGTTCTGATCGTGATCATCTTATCACTTTGGTTTCATAACTCTATTACTTGATGGGGTCTTCCCACATTTTTTGCGATTCTACTTGGTTCTCCATTCTGTCCATGTGCACGCATCTAGCAAACGTAGAGGCGCTTTGTCACAACGTGGAAATGTATTGAAACCATCTGCTAGTATTCTTAAAAGCTCGTGAAAATTTTGCACGTACACGGGATGAAAAAATCCTTAACGTCTCCAACTGACTTCGTTGCTAACGTGTACCAAACTTGATTATGCACTGAAGTAACTTATATTCTGGTGGGAGATGGAAAAAGGGTTTTTGTGTAAGCACCCGTCCTCATTAAATTCACGACGCGGGTCTTAAAATGGCCTGCAAGAGTCCTAACACAGTGGAGAGAAGGTGGTTTGGAGTTGGAGCGATGGAAAGTCTCCAGTCCACAAAGGAAGTTATGGGAGCTAGTTTCATCGGTCATGCATGGATGTGTATACAGAGAGCAGGAAGGGAATAGTCAGTGATAGTCAGAAGCTTCCAGGATAGGGGAATTTGTTCACCTACGATGATTTACTGAAATCTTCTTCTTCGTTTTGGAGACATGCAGCACACACACCTTGTTCGCGTGAGGTTTTCGCGGGACTCCCCTCCACGGAAAGTCAATGGGGTGAATAAACTCCGCAGACCACAAAGGTCGACGTCCTTTGCATCGCATGGATGTACAATGGGATGGTCAATTTTCTCACGGACGGTTCGGGCAGGACAGAGTTATTGGTCTCAGAGAAGCATACACTTGCAATATATGTCTGCATGCAATAATCGCACTCTCTCCCATCCTACATACGTATTCTACTCAGTACATATCGTACATCTTCATATTACGGTGCCTCAGAACGGCATATCTCACATTTTGTGGACATGAATTCCTAAATAGGATTCGGCGTGCAGATGCATCCATTCTTCACGTAAAAATTCTCACGGCCTGAAAGAAGCATCAAAAGATGATCAATCACTGAACTTTCGGAATTCTTGGTTAGCGTAACGCCAATTAGCCTAAAACAAGGTGAAAAAACACGAATTTCATTCACGGAGGCGGAGGGCAATGTGGACTGTGGACCGATGGGTTGCACCTGAGGTGGCCATACAACTCATTAATTTGACCACGCGGTCTTCAGACGGGCAGTGAAGACTCTGGAGGGAGTGGGAAGATGGTGACCGGAGCGCCGGGAAGCGCTCCCGTCCAAAGGAGAAATCAATGCGCGCGAGGCCCATCCATCATGCATGAATGGATGTTCGGATGGCGAGCAGTAACGGAAAGGTCAGTAAATACCACCACAATCACGTTGAGCCTCCGAAAGGTGTGTTGTGCACTCACCGCACACCACCGTGAACTCGGTAGGTCATAGGTCATAGGCCCTAGGGCGGCTTAGGTGGCCAGAGCCTTCTGTCAACCTATGCAGCATGTATGTATGACAAAGGACAGAATTTCCTGAAGTCGAGGGGGCTTGATGTGGTTAACTTGTCCTACATCAAGATTCCTGGAAATTTATGAGCGATCCTTTCTGGTTGAATCGGTGTAATCTTCCACATATTTACGCAGATTCTGACTCGAGGGTGGCTGAATTAGGCGCCGAACCGTATGTGCTCGACATTCTAACTGTTTTCTATTTGTATTATTGTGCATCTGGGAGTGTAAAATCCCTGCTGGGCGTAAATCCGTCGCGGTAACTTCTCTCTCGGAAGCCATAACGTTTTTGTCATGCATAAACATGTGATGTTGATATCTTTCATGGTAAAGAAGGTTTGCTTGTGCCTCGTCGGTTGTTTATAATATATTTACTGTTATTGACATCGATCATGATAAACACGATCTCTTCTAGCTGGTATAAATGAAAAGTGATGGCCACAGTTTTCCAGATAAACATACTGTTGCGTTATTATGTATAAAATTGTGGTAGGGCATTTTCTTGGTTTACTGACTTTTATCATCATTCGTGTATTTTATTTCCGAAAATAAATAAAAATGAGTCATAGTGGCCTATTTGGCTGGACGCGTATAATGTTTTTCTAGCTGTATGTTTGGGAAGGTTTGGTGTGTTTACTATTTTGACGGCCAACGCTATGTAAGTTTTATATTCGCGGCGTATCTCACACCATGCCATGATGGGCACTGTCATGAGCTGTGACATTTCCCACTCATCTGTGAACCCAATATTTGGAAAATCCTGCTATCATTTGCAATGATATGTGGACGGGGAGTTCACTTGCGAAATGTCATTTCTCTTTCCGCGAGGTGGCCACTCTTCAGCTCGCTCGACTCGTGCGAAGCACCGAGACCTAATTCGTCTTGCAAGTTGCAAGTTGGACGGCAACTCACGCACAGTTGTGTCTTTTCTTTTCTTTCCGTTTCTTGGGGTTTAGTTTGGGCTCGTTTGGATTCTATTTTCTGGGGTGCATGATGGAAAATTCCGTGACCGTTCGAGGAGGCAGAGGAGTGACAACTATGGCCGGGGAATCCGGTCGCCAATGTATCACACATAGGTCATGTGGAATAATAACGCTTTGATAAACATTTCCTTCTCTTGTGGGATCAAGCAAGTGTCATCGAGGGTTGGAGCACATAAGGCAGTGTTAGTTGGAAATGGCAGCATGGAGTGTCAACAACCCATGGAAACGCGTTGGCGTGGACAAAGGAACTAGTGCCTCAAGAAAGGGAGGAGTCGACCAGGGCGTGCATAAACCAACATCTCTTCTTGATTGTTCCATGATAATGACGCGGACGCTTGATTTTGGAACGGATTAAATAGGAGAAAGATATCCATAAAGGAGAATCTGCGTTTCTTGACCAGCATGCTTCTACATCGGTTGACTATAATTGGCCTGTACTTTCATGAATTCCGACGTTTTATGATCCTCAATCTGACGTGAAAGTGGTGCAATCAGGTTTGTGATCACGAAGTCTTCTTCTTCCGTGAGATGGCGGATGCTCCCAAACTCTTAAAGCTCTCACGATGTAGACTTCGAATCCAAGCTGCAGGTCACAAGAAGCCGCGAAAGATGGAACTTTAAATGTCATTGCTTTTGTTGTTTGGACAGTAAGGCAGGTAAGTCCCCATCTAGATTGAACAAGAAGTTGTTGGACGTGAGACGGGTGGAGCGCATTTCCACCCGCATGATGCTGAAAGGGCAGTGTAGCGGATATGACTTCTTGACCACGGAAGTGGGGGCTCCGGACTGCGGAGGTCCGAGGTCCGACTTGTGGGAGACTCGCAGATGTTTAATGTCATTCAGTGGGCAGAACCCTCATGCATTGTCACCAGGCCTTCTCCTTGTGAGCATGGGGCATCCTCATGCTTGATGACACACCCGGTATCGCCGTTGTCATGTTTACTCTCGGGTTGGCCTTGATTCCTAGTGGCTTCGCTGCGTTTTGAGGCGTTGCCCTTTCATCCTCTTGTGGAGTGGTTGGATGTGCTTCTTTTGCATTCAACCGCTATCCAGTAGAAACTGGATCATCCAAAAGTGACACGAGAACCGAAGCGCAACACTACCTTGTACCAAGAGCTGTGTACAAGAATCTATTCTCTGCCTGACAGTGCCTACAAAAATATATATTATATTTAAGCGGGACATCCAGTTTCAGCAGTGCGTATAGATATTGGCCCAACTCGGTCACGAAGTCTAAATATGTCTACCACTGCCGAGCGCTTGTTGTGCGACGGAACGACATTTAAAAAGTCCACGAATATTCAAGGAAGGCCAGGTCCAGGGGACAAAGAATGAATAGATAATACGCCGACGAAGCTCCGGAGGAGAGGGGCCCCACAAGGGGTGTAAACAGACACGAACACTAACCGTCTCTGATCTAGTTGGCAAATGGTAGGCAGCGTGACATTTTCCTCGAGAGTTGCTTTCAATGTACAAGACCGTACACTGCAGAGCATAAAAACTTCAACACAGAAGTACACAACTCTTCAAAAAGCATTTCTCTACTGGAAAGATACTTCGTTGAGATTGCGATTTGTCAAATCCGGTCCACCGAGTATGATTCTCCTGGCTCCTCCACATTCACTCTCGTCTCAAGAATATACAAGTCAATGAACACGTGAAGAACACTTCCGGAAGTATTTTAAAGAAACATTTGAATTAGGGTTCATAGTGCACAGGTCGTGCCCTTTAATATTGAAAACAAAATTGTACACATTGCTGGATCGCGGTTACATTAGCCCGAGTCATCTAATCCCCTTGCTTGTACGAACAACAAAGGCTGCAACTCTCCAGACATCGCAAAGCTGTCGATTTTTTTAACCACTTCGCTGTAAACGACTTGCCAGACAACTCTTAAAGTTTGTCTAAATGAGGAGCCCACTAACAAGCCTACTGCATATCTCGAAGAATACCAGAAAACTGTCACAACCCTCGTGTCATTTACTTCCTTTCTTGGTCCACCAAACAGTAAAGGTCTCCTCTTCTTTGAGTGTCGAGGGGCATGTTTAGCCTGCAGCGATGGGCATTGCAACTAGATCAGCCGAGAAGTATATCTGCCACATTACAGGCCACATATAGCCTGATACAACTACGTCGTGAATGACGGAAACGGTAATCCAAAGCTGACAACATTGTAGAAGCCTTCAACTGACTATTTTTCTACACACATATCGTTTCCTCAAGGCAAACGGAAGTCCGCCGAATTAAGATCTCTAGTACCATCATCAGTGCAGATCAGACCCTTCACTGTAAGGGTCTGGAGATAAACTCTAACAGAAGTGATGTGATTACCTGATTTGATTGATCCGCGAGTAGTCAATCTCTCCAAACACGGTTTTCTCTTCATGCTCTGTCGTTGCAACAATTTCTCCAAACTATATTCGATAACCGCCACAACAATACAGTCGAAATAAACTTAGAAGGCTAATCCAAGCTATGGAAAAGAAAATGAAGTGACGTGAACTTTGGTCTTTGTTCTTGAACGCTGGTGACAAGTTCAGAAGGAGGTCAAGGTAGACTTCAAAGCGGTAAACAGATCATACTGGGGCTATTGACGTAGATTCCATCCTACGACTCTGCTGCAATCAACGACGGCATTCGTCTAGACGTTGAGTGACATTGCAGGTCTAGGAAATATAAAAAGCGCAAGTATGATAACATGTACCATCGTAGCAAAAGGAGATCACAGAAGACAATGATCACACTCTTTGAGTTGAGGACGGTAAGAGTATGGAACGTAACAATGAGTCAACGCAAGCTATGCTTCTTCACTATCAAGCCAGTTACGACCTAGAAGGTTTCGAAGCCAAATTTAGCATCCACTTCCGTACATCTAGAAGCAAAGTGAAACCAATGACAGAGCGTGCTTCAACGTAACAAAACGCCTTACAGACAAGATCAAAGATGTTGCAGAGTACTCACTGGACCAACCACGGTTGAGTGACCCCAGGCGACGTACCCAGCTCCAGAGTCGCGAGCAGGTGAACAAGTTACAACGTACAGCTGCACACGTCCATGCTCCATCATGCTACCGTTGGATACAACATCGCAGTAGATTTTGAGATCAACGACATGATTCACCTCAGGCGATATATTGAGAGGAAACTTTTGAGGTGAAATGGTACCTGATTATCAACAGCCCTGATTGCGGTACATTGTTGTGGAAGATCGCGGTCGGATGAAGCCAGAAACGAGACGTTTGTCAGTTATACATCAACTCAAAGAAAGTCGCGGATTGCAAGGTCTTGAAACCTGATCGAATGATCTACTCCAAGTCCACACAGCTCAACTGGATCAAAACGAAATCGGACTTAAATGACCTTCATTGAGCTCCTGTGTACAGATGTAGGAGACTAGTCAGATATAATTGTCCAGTCATAATCAGACTCTCTTGTCAAGACTAAATCACATTGATAACACTTTCCTTCATGGACCCTTAGAACTTTAATTCACCATTCCAGACAACGAACTATCTTGAAGGCTTCTTATACCGATGATATTGCGCTGGAGTCCAAAACTTAATCCAGTACTGGTCCTTTGCAATATAGCACTCAAATCGACAGAGAGTGAGTGCATCGATGGTGCAGAAATACAAGATAGTGGCGTGATATACCAGAAACTCAAGATAAGCACCTAAACAGGCGCAGACGAGCTCGACAAAACGCAATAGCTAACTACGAGCAACAAAACGAACAACAACCAAAGGATTTCTTCTTGACCAAAGCTCAGATGTGAACTCTTCCAGAACTCCTAACATCTTGCCTTATTAGCAAGACCTAGAAGATGGTGACCAAATTGCCTGTAGTCACGTTGGGAATTTTTAGCGAAAGCGCAATGTCTTTGATTCCATACAGATGAAATGGACATTTTAGGATATACAAATCTGTGCGTGGTCTCTTCAGCGTGGGTTATAACACCCCGCAGGAGTACAACTTAAGTTAGCAAGGTTGAATCAAACACGGCAGTTACATGTTAGGATAGTTCTATGTACATACGGGATCATGGTCATCAGAACGGGAATGCCCAGAATGAATTGTACTGGAAACTCATAGTTGAACATGAAGCAGATTGTACACCGATCAACGGCAAAAATATACTACAGAGTTTCATGAAGTTTCATCTGTCACATTTATGAATTCCTCCCTTTCTTGAAAAACGTCGTAACAGATGGAAGGCTGTGCACATGTTGGTTTTCGACAAAAAGGTTCATATAAGGCCAATCCTTGTAGTCATCCTTACATACAAATACATCTCACAGTGTAGTTCCCAACAGGTTCTAAGTTTGCAAATGGTAACCTCAATACAATAGTCACTCCACGCTAAGTGCTCTTTTCCATAAACTGATTGCCCCTCTTAAGCCTCCTTTACGTTTGATAAATCTAGTCTGAAAATTTACGAAAGTCCAGCGAAATCCCCTCATAATTAAAAACACATGAAAACACACCAATCATTGGTGTTGCTTGGTAATAAAGAAAGGAAAGGAAGAAACGAGGTAAGCTTACCTTGCTTTCGCAAGAAGCTCCCAGTGCAAAGGTCCGGTAGTCATGTTGAATGCACCTGGATAGCATATCATATGTACACCTGCCACGATATTCAAGCGATGCGTTTGCATGCTGTCAGACATGATCAAGCAATTAATCAATATAAAGAAAATTTGTAGATCAAATATATACCTCCTTCGTTCACGTAAACAGTGATGGCTTATCATATCTCTAGACTGACTTGAACATCATTTAACTCTCAGTAATATGGACAGGGCCAAGGGACCTTGCGCAGCATACAACATGGCCATCTCTGGAAATCTGATGTCATAGCAGATACCGACACCAATACGTCCCACATCTGGCACACAGACCACAACGATTTCAATTGCTCAGCACTACCTTCTAGAAGATCATCAGCTAGTGCATTTTAGACCAAAATAGCGTTCTGAATTCAAGCACAACACTAGATACTCCGCAGCTCAATGGAGATATAGGTATTCAGCAAAACCGAGTACAGAGTACGGTGCTACCGGTAGTGGCCAGGACGGATATTACAAGGCATGCTCAGACAACAATATGTCATCTAAACAAGTTAAACGCGATACGTTGTGATAAGCTTCACAACGTAGATAGTGATAATACATACATGCAGCAAGTGGAGCAGCGGAAGCAATCCAATTAGTCGCTTACGTAGGTCAACAGAACTACCTTCTAAAAGATCCTCGGATGGTGCTTCTAGACCAATATATCGTTCTGAGTTTCAAGCACAACACTAGATACTCCGCAGCTCAATGGATATATAGGAATTCAGCAAAACCGAGTACAGAGTACGGTGCGACCGGTAGTGGCTAGGACGGATATTACAAGGCATGCTCAGACAACAATGTGTCATCTAAACAAGTTAAACGTGATACGTTGTGATAAGCTTCACAACGTAGATAGTGATAATACATGCTTGCAGCAAGTGGAGCAGCGGAAGCAATCCAATTAGTCGCTTACGTAGGTCAACAGAACTACCTTCTAAAAGATCATCGGATGGTACTTCTAGACCAATATAACGTTCTGGATTTCAAGCACAACTGTAGATACACCGCAGCTCCGTAAAGATATAGGTGTTCAGCAAAACCGAGTACAGAGTACGGTGCGACCGGTAGTGGCTAGGACGGAAATTACAAGGCATGCTCAGACAACAATGTGTCATCTGCACAAGTTAAACGTGATACGTTGTGAAAGCTTCACAACGTAGATAGTGATAATACATGCATGCAGCAAGTGGAGCAGCGGAAGCAATCCAATTAGTCGCTTACGTAGGTTAACAGAAGTAAACGACGAATAGGAAAAATTGTAAATGAAACCGAAAACGGTAACCAGAAGCTCCGTGAAGATATGCACTGGATTATGTGTGATTAGAATGTATAGGCCTCCTCAGAAGTGTTCCGGTCAAATGTACCAGTTCTGCTGCTTCCCCTACAGCAGTGTGCCTAACCCATGTATGTCTGGGATTCGTCAGGCACTGATACTCACCTGTTTCGACAACGGTCAACTCTCCACCAGGCGTAAGAGTATCCGACTCCTTGAATGTGATCTTCCCGGGGATGTCAATATCAAAGAGGTGAGTCTGCAATATGAAGGAAGAATTTGAGTGCACACAAGTCAAAACTCGTTATAACCAAATGAATTCTATGTTAATCTGACACACAAGTATCAGCTTATGAGATCAATCTGGGGTTATTAACATCCAACCGTGAGAAGTCTGGAAACAAACCTTCCTATGTTTTCCTTTTAACTCTCCATTCTTCCCGAAGATGTAGCACGTATTGTACAAACGCCCTTCACTCCGCTCAGGTATTGAGCCACCTACGATGGTCACCCCCTTCTTACGTGCAACATCTGACAGCATTGTTGAGGAGGGGATATCAGCGCCCTGCTTATCAGTCTCTTCCGCATAAAGTGGAAAACTGTCGTTTGAATAAGGACAATTCCACATTTCCTGAACATTCGTTATAACTTTGTCAAAATCCATCTAACTTGACGAAGGGTGGATTCGTTATATGCAACACGCAGCATCAAAAAGGTAGTTGAAAGGGTAAAGGCTCGTATTTTTATCAAGCGATACTTAATCTTAACAAATTGTGGAAAGGCAACCTCTTCGGAACTTAGCTGGAAATTTCCTGAAAAAGATGGTAGCAATTTGCCAGCCTCCACAGTACAATGTTCCGAGGTAGCACTGAGACTTACCGGAAGCACAATCAACTGGGCACCTTCATCTGCAGCTGCTTCGATGGCCTGTCGAGCGTGCGCTATATTGACCACCTTGTCCTTGGTGACGGACAACTGGCAAAGCGCAATCTTGTACTGCACAGAGCGAAGGACATGAGGATGAAAATGCCATCCTGATCGTCACCATCTAAACTAGGAACAGCATTCGATGTAGGAAGCAAACAAGCTTCAAGCCTGAAACCACCCAGTAGCCCCTGGTATTGGCGAAAGAAACAACGCCGCTCGCCAATTGATCAAAGTCATAACTACGATCACAATTCTTCTTTTCAAAATCGGCATCGTTTACTAACACTAGCAAGGTGGAAAGGGTCTGGCGAGCAAAACCATCAAAATTCAACCCAAATTTCATATTTAATTTTGCTCGAGACGATTCTTAAGAACGGAAACACATGTCAAAGAAATACACAAATTTCTACACTCCCAAACCGCACGTTGAAGTACTTCATCAAGACACAAAATCCCAGAAAATGGAGTACGCCCTTCACCTTGCCATCCCCGGGAGTAGGACACAAGGGAACCGTGGACGGTAGCCGGGCTCCGGAGCTGGTCATGGCTCGAATGACACTACCCGGTCTGAAATGCAAGGACGTGCGCCCCGATCGGAATGCCGCAACGCGCCTCGAAGAAGGCACGGAAGAAAGCAAGTTGAGCGCGTGAGGAGGTCGAAATCTCGTCAAGGCGAGACAGGTTGACCGGTAGAGAATCGTTCTGACGACTTTCATCTCTGTCCTTCACGAGCCAGAACAAGAGCTCAGCTTCGATGCTCCCTGATGCACACCTAGCGCTTTCACCGTACAAATCATCGTCGCAACTTGCTGGGCTCAGATCTGGGCCCAGCTCTGGCGCGGAGGCTCGGTTCGGGTCGAGTCGGGTTCGGCCCTTAGGAAGACCGACCGGGTGGCGGTCGCGTAGTCAAACCGACGTGTCATCCGCGCAGAGTAAGCAGGACGAGCTACGAGCTGGGCTACTCCTGTAGGCGCCGTAGTCGTAGCACCCGCTTTGTTCGGGATGCGAATCACTACATACCCTCCTCCGTCGGATCGAGAAGTTACGAATGCGAAAACAGATCGGAGATTATTTGTGTTTCTGCCGTGCGATACTTGCGATCGGAGATTTGATCGAGGATCTTCCGGATAAACTTTATTTGGAATCTTCAGATCCGTGCTTTTGTTTGGTTGCAACATCACCAACTGCTGCTCGTTGTCCGCTTTCGATCTCCTTCTCTAACTCGTTTTGGGAGATGGAGTTTGGATAACGTGATGTAAATGAGGCTAGGATAGCCCTTAATATAGCATCTGTTCAGACTTCGCAGTTAGAAAATTGTGTCCGAACCATGAAATAATGATGGTTCTCTCCTGCTAAATTTATGACGCTTTTTGGGACTTTGACAAATCGACATTTTGTTTCCAGTGGGAATATAATAAAGTCGGTGGAAATTGCAACGTAGCGAATTTGGATATTTCAAGCATGTTGCTCAAAACAAAAATATTGTTGGGTTCAACAAATAAAGACAACCATTCGACAAATTATAGAAGTAACTCAGTTACCAACTCCACATATATCATGTACATTCAGTTATGGACATTATTGATGATTGATTTCTCATAAACAAATTTAATTTTTTCCAATAAAAATTCCAACGAAAAAAAATTTCAATAGAGAAAGAGAAATTTCATAAGTATGTCGATTATCAGTATATAAGAATTTTTAAATAACATTTTGAACAAAAAAGAGCATAATTTTGGAAAAGGATTCAAAATGTTTCCTTGCAATGGAAAGCATGATGAACATCAAGAGTATGTTTATCATGTTTGAGTGAAGAGATTACACTTTTATAAAGTTATAATATAATAAAAAATCGTCTTATTTAATGAAACTTTGATATAACTTGTTTAAAAAGTTTGTCAAGAAGTATCTGTTCTTTTTTCAAAAATATGTTCATTCATTTGAATGCTTTCAAGTTGAAAATTATTTTCAACATTCATTTTAATATATATTTATAAATTTCAATAAATTATTATTGATAAATACAGGAATATTCCCCAAAAATTCAGTAGTAGATTCTTTAAACTAATCAAGTTTTTATATTGAAATATCGTCTTCCTTCTATTAAGGCTTTTCTACAGAAAGAATGTTGACTTTACATGAAGACATCTTGTACACTTCCAGATAATTTTTGAAACATGAATCTTCAGTAAAACACACAAGAATTAGATCAAGATATCACTTTGAATAGAATTCTGTAAAAAAATTATAGCATGTTCTCTAGAACATGCTATGATGTATTTACATATTTAGATATAGAATATTATATTATATATACTAACTGCCCAAAATTATTAAAATATTGAAATTGGTTATAACATAAGCTTTCATATTGCTTTGAAATCTTTGTATCACGTGTTTATTTATCTACTCATTATGAAATTATATGTTTAAGGTAATCAAACTCAAGTTAAATATTAAAAAATGCATGTTGAAAACTGAACATGTTGTGTAAATTTCTCTATGTCTTAAAAAGATACAATTCAAATATCTGAAAGTATTTTTCTTCATTTGAAGCCTTTTGATTTAGTCATATAAGTAATATACTGAAATTTTATTTTTTTGAGATCTATGAGCAAAAACTTAGGACTTCACATCCACTTCAAATTTATAATCAGTTATTTATCTCTATATAAAAAATCTCCAAGATTTTATTTGTATTTTGTCTTAATATTTTTTTCAGAATATATATATATATATATATACTGTAAAAATGACCTAATTTTTTTATTTATATTTAATAGATTTGCATACGTACAAACAAAATTTCCTAGTATTACTCTCAATATACATTGAAAATTAAACTTACAAGTTTAAAAATAAACTATTTAGTGTACATGCTTGATCTATTTACTCTATTTTAAGACTTTGTTTGAATTTTTATTTATTCATAAACATATGACATGTCAAAATGGTTTTGAAATAAAAATTTGGCGAATATAAAAGTGAACGACAATAAAGAGAAAATTACTTGATGGGATCTGGGGAACTCCAAACACTCGATAGAACCCTATTTTACCCTATGGACCCCATCCACGGCCTGCAGCCCATCGTCACTGATGTTCCAATAGTTCGGGCTTTTTCAAGTAGGAAGATGAAGTCACAACGAGACCATATAGGGAGTACTTCAGACTCATGGTGCCCGTCGTTTTCTCAAACATGGCTGCGAGCGAGTCGCCAAAATACTCTAGTCCAACCGTGTCAAACACTTCCCACACGATAGAGGAAATTATCAAGTTATAAAAACTTTTATTGGAATATGGCTGACAGTGTAGTGCACGGGGTACCATCAGATAAGTTTAAATCTGTTGGGTCACTTCAAGAATGTTGAGTTTCCGGGTGTCCATCAAGTAATTTACTCGACAATAAATGTTCATGTGAATGGTAAGCCTTCATAACCCTGAAAATTTATTCTGTCTTATCATTTGATTAAATATTGAAGTAATGAAAAAGTTCAATCCTCAGCGTGCTGAAAGTTTTCGTCGAACGTAAACAATTTCCGAAAGTAAAAAATACATCATTCTTGACCATAAAATCATTCTACGTCTACGTTGGAGTCTAGGCGATGAGCACGAGCTCATCACCTGGCGTACAACATGATGATAATGTAGCCAATTACATGTTATCCTCCGATAAGTTTCTCGTGACGGGTTACTGCTTAGAAAATATTGTTCAACACTCTGCCATTGCGTATGTGAATCATGTGACTTTCTCCGAATTATTGCACAGTGGGTGTAGTTTTAGTTTCAGAGGAGACGAATCGTCAACGTATCGATTGCTTTACATCGCAAGTTCAACCAGAGTTAGCTTGAGCCTGAACACAGCTGTAATACTGCAGTACAACAGAGGTTTGACTTTGCACTACCCATTGTACTGCATAGACATATTGACGGCTACTGCAGCTTTTGAACTTACTGTGGTTACGACCTTACTCACAACTGTCATATCTCATGATGCCACAGTCATGGTCTCGGACTCCTTAGATAGATGGATGATTGCCGGAATTTTGGATGTTCCTGTTGAGGATCTCCTCTAGGTTTGCTTATACGCTGCCTTCTGGTGGAAACAACATCGATGAGGTCGTATGATAATCACTCAACGATTTGACGGTTCCAAAAAAACGAAAGGTCGCAGATTGCTAAATACTTTACTGTATATGTAACAGCAAGTATGCAATTAATTGGTAAAAGATATAAACACTTGAGACAACTGGAAGCACTTTCAAAGATTCTGTGCTCAAATGATTGTTTCGGAATATACTCGAGCTTCCCTTGCGAAACATCCGATGTTGCACAAAAGTCTTCTCCTAGGTTACCGTTTGAAGAGTCTTTCCATCATATTTTTCTACTCATTTATCCCCTGGATTGACAGGCATTTACTAATAGAATTAGAAATGGTAGGTAAAATACATATTGAATTTCAAGCACACTATCAAAATCCAAAAACGTAGTTATTGTTGGAGAATTTTCTTCAGTATTGAGAAAAGAAAATAGTTGCAAGTTTCTACTAAAGTAAATGGTATGTACATGGACACATAACATTGACACTCTTATACTATGCAAGTCGGAAATGCATTTTGATCTTGTAAGTACTATAATGTCTTTCAAGAGCTTTGTTTTAGGTAAAACACTTTCTATGGAATTCTGATTTATGAGGGGTTTGAGTTTCAATCTTGTATTGACCTTAACTCCAGTTAAGGAGTAACTTTGGGTTTTAGCTATTTATAGTTAGGACGGTCTTCTGGACTAGGGATAAATACCTCCGGGTTCATCTTGTACAAAAGAATCTTTCTGTCAAGACCTGGAGTAAGTGTTGAGAGTTCTGGGTGTACGTAGTACTCTAGCTGAATGTGAACCACGTTATTTATGTGTTAGTGTAATTCTTGAGCTTTACCGTAACATCTTGTACATTATTATGTGACAATTTTGCATTCGTTCATATAATATGTGGCAATGACTAAATTATGAGTAGTAATGTGGTTATAACAATACATATGATCAGTTCTACATATTGTTTTTTATACTCATTCAGCTCATTTTTCAATAAAATGTCATTGAAAAAATGATCACATTGTGCATTAAATGCTTGCATAAAATTTGAGCATTTTTTTTGAATCTATGATAATATCCAAAGATTATATGGACTGATTTTTTTTAAAAAAGTTCATATAATTTTGAATTGATTCAATTGATTTTTTATGCGTATTCATTTTTGTTAAAATCGTTTGAAATAACTTAACATATAGATAACATTCATTGTGAAATTGAATAAAAAATTTGAGTTTTTTTAGCAGATGTGATATTCTTCATATTATCGGTGAGTATTTATCAAAAGTATATTCTTCTTGGAATCTTTCATTACTTAGAATTTAAAAAGTGTAGAAGGTTTGATGTGATTGACATTAGGCAGTTTGTACATGTGAAGCTATGCCCTTATATTTCACATATGCTGATTTTTCGTTTTTCGAAGATTGAATCAGTATTCTCTTGTTTGTAATCGTATAACATCTCATGTTTTCAATGAGAATGAATTAGTAGATATTGAAAAGTGTATTCAAGCAAATGGGGGCATAGTGCAAAATTTTTTGATGTATTATAAAAGTCATACCAATATCAGCTATTTTATTCTGTTGGTTTATACAAGAATTACTTTGAGAATGCTCAGTAGAAATGCAAAGTTTTCGAAGCATCTGAAAAGTCTACAACGGGTATCTGACTCTAATAGTAGAAATTCCTTCATTGGGTTCCGTCTATCACACGGGAGCCATGAACGCAGGAAGTCCACCTACCTCCACATACGAGCTTTTCTTTATGAGCTAAGGAAAAGTTACATGAGGCTCTTGTTGCTTGTCCTACACAAGTCAAGTCTAGTCTATTGACATGGTCACAGCTCTTTTTTGGCTTTATGAAATTTTAAATACCAAACACATGCAACCTATCTTCAACACCGAGCATACTTCATGCAAGCATACCTGATTCTATCGCCTTGCAAGAGAGTTTCATATACTTTTTCCTTTTATTTAAAATATAGACGGATAATAAAACATGAAACAGACAAAGTAACATATTCCATCTTTCAGCACCCGCTTAGTTGTTCCTCTCATTTATTATCATTAGTGAAGTTGAAGATCGGCAGAGATAGATTTTCCATTTGTTGCCCATTTTTATATTGACACGTGGTGACGGTAAACAGTACCCCAATTGTGCCATAAATTTAAATTACTGACTGGTTAAATGGTCGGGGGGCGTTGCTATGTGTAGTAGTGCTGTCAAAGACGTTGTCAAAGTTATATGTATCTAATGCATCACACAAGAAAGAATAACGTATAGAGTTTTGAGATCTGGATCCTTAATTGTTTCTTGTCTGGACCCAAAAGGATCACACTAGATACTTGTTCGATGTACTTTCTTACAATCTTAACAGTTGTTTCGTCATTTGCGAACAAATCAGGAGAAGCAAAGGTGTTGGATGAAGAAATACGAAAAAATCCACGAATGAGCTCATACTGACCACAGTACCCCAACATACTTTATTAAAGTGAAATCACACATAACGTAATCAAGATTATGTTGAAAGGGTTAACGTTCCTATCATCAAAATCACATATGTTTATGTTACCAAAGGCATATGACTCTAGTTTTTAGAAGTTGAATACACAACTTCATGGATGGATAACATGTGGTGTTTACAATAACAAAAGTATCCATATACAAGTTCTCTCTTTCTCACTCTAGCTTCAGAGTTAACTTCAAATGAGCTAGGAACACAGTAGATGCATAGCTGTATTATCCTCTTCAGCATTGTAATCAATATATATTCATTGAGCAGAGCAACCCAAACGAAAGAACTTGTTCAGGACTAGTTAAAGATTCTTTCGATGTTCTTGTAATACGCAGACAATTTAATATAACTATGCGGGATATCTTGGATATAATAGTGCATATCGAGCATTGTGACGCTCGTGTCACCCACCCGAGTTTTCACCATTAGGGTCCACCCGGGTAACATTTGACGGTGTCTTCCTGTCCTCACTGCTAAATTACTCGGTACATCTTTAGGATCGGGGACGGTATGATATGCCAGCCCAGGTCTTACACACAACGTTTAAAAGAAGCTAACATAAGCTGGCGGCAGACGCATGAGAATGAGAGAGGGCGAGAGGGAGAGAGAGAGCGCGCAGGAGGAGCATAGAGCCTGGGCGCTGTGCGAGGGAGGGACGGACGGAGCGGTACACTGGACTGGACCGGACTGGTGGTCTGCGGGGTCGCCGACTCGTGGAGCGCTCGAGGCGCGTGGATCATATACCACCCACTCGATGCAACACTCTCACGAGTGAGAATCGGCGCATATTCTTGTCGTACTGAATACTGGCCCGCCACGTCCGAGTCGCGCGAGTGCAGTGCCAGACTTCTTTCATTCTTGCTCGTCGCTCCTTCTCCAGCCATTCCGCTCGTAGTTGCTCCTCCGCGGCCAGTCAGCCAACCAGCCCGCCCGCCCGCCCGCCCGCCCAGCCCAGCCATACCCACGGAGCCAAAGCGGCACGCACATTCCGTATGTGTTCGAGATTTCCAGCGATAGGAGGAGGAGAGGGTGTGCATACACTTGTTTGAGTAAGCCGAGCCGGTCACGGACGGAGGGCCTGGCGCACGGTCGTCTTGTTTCATGGAAAGAGTGGCTTAATTTGGATTGCTGATTATGAATGTTATAAATTTTGCGCTCGCGAGGCTTTGACTTGAACGACAGTGCGTCGGCTGGGCTTGGCGTTCGTCGTCGGTCCGGTCCGCGAGTCTTCGTTCTTCCTTCCACGAGCAGTTTTTGGGTGCCAATCGGTGAGTGAGTTAGTGGGTGAGTGATGATGCAGGTGGTGTTCGAGTGATGGGTTTTAAGGGCACTGCTTTGTGAGGAGTGGAGGATGTGGGCCTGAAGGACGGCGGGAAGGCAGGTTGGAGGTTGAAACTGCAGGGAGGGGTTTCCGATGAGATTTGTTGAAAACAGGCGTTTAGTGAGTTCTCGCTGCAGGATTTGATCGAAATTTGGTGAAACAGTGACAGCGCTGAAGAAGCGTCGTGGATCCGACGACTAGTTGGCAAAATTCGAGTCCCTCGTCGACTATCTGCGATCTGCTGAACTTGGACAATTCCTGAAGATGACTCTTTCTTCTGAACTTTGTTGGGGGCGTCAATGACATACAGATCCTGAGGGGGCTTGGATTCAACACTGTTTTTAGATTATGTAGTCACTTGAAAAGGTCAAGCGACGGAGTTTTGAAGTTTTGAAGTTTTGAGCGATGATGACTCTTAATTCGAAAACAGCAGAAAATTCTACAGCGATAGAAATTGTTCGCACCAGGTCTTCAAGATAGTGTACTCAAGTGACAAGCTTCAAATCTGGTCCTGGACGTATCTTGGATCGAGACGCGGCCCTCCTATAAGTCCACGGAATTCAACATTATGGCTCTTGAACAGGTCTAGGGTTGGAATTTCATCTGTTTCCATTTGTGGTGTGTTCTCATGGACCGAAGTCATCCAGCTGTGCATCCGGTAGCAGTGCCGCCACTGTTTCATCTTCCGCCGGCACACTTAAGGATGAAGGATTTGCCAGGATCACCAGGTACCCTTGGAGGTCTGGCCCTCCGAGTGGGTCAGTTCGGGTTTGCAATCATTGCCTTCGGTGTCATGGTAGCTATGACGGACTTCTCTACCGTGACGGCTTTCTGGTAATTCTTTTCGCACCTTGTTTCTCTATATGTGACTGTCTTGAATGGTGAATTTCATGCTTGTGTCATAGCTGCTGTGAATCGCTAGTTATTAACAAACCTCGGAGGTTTGTTAATATCCTGAAGTTGCTTGTAACGTGTGTTTTGTGTGGATTCTCATCCTTTAAAGCGTTAAACTGAGAAAAGTACATACCATGCCAGTTCTTCACCTAAACTGGAAGTACTGAGATCAACAAAGCTTCTTTGTTATCTCAGATGTAATTATCGAATTCAAATTTGCATGGGTTCACTTTAGAATACTTCGAAACATATCTATCATCTCTGGTGCCTTCATATGGATATGTAAAAGCTGAAAACAGCACCTTGCTCATATCACTGTTGTGATTCACAAAGTGCAGTTGAAACGAAGAAGGTCTAATCACGATAAAGAACAAAAATTTAGTCAAGCACACTAACTACTGACAATCTTTGTAGTAGCGGAATGCTTGAAGTTGTTAATTTTTGCAGAAATGACAGGTGATTTGATGTTGAAGTTTTTGTCTTATAGTTGTTTTAGCATTTGGATCGTCTTGTTGCTTGGATCTCGCTAGCTGGATGGCTACAGCACGCAGAAGATGTTCGAGCCAGATTTTTACATCTGCCTCTTTCAGAGACATCAGAATAAATTCTAGTCTCGACTTAAGAGCGACTTACTTGTTTTTTTGCCAAGTCCAAACGATATTTCGACCACCTTGAGGTACAGATATAAGTCCAGGTTTCAGAATAGAGGAATGGGACGTGTATACATGCAACACGAATGAATGCAAAGACTGTCTTACGAGAAACACCTACTTAATCTAAAGTCCACGTTGGATAGGAATATACTGCCGAGATGTTTTGAAGGGTCGATGTTGAAGACCTTACTCTCAGCTCAGTTAAGTCCTCACATCTGAGCTTATCATAAGCCATATATATATATATACTCAACTTGTTCTATGGACATGTTTATAGATACTTCTAATGGTGCTCACTGTAGTACCTAACTCAGTTCACACATGCGGGCATTTTCTCTTGCATGCATACAATTCTTCTTATGAGCTTGACTTCGAGCTATGTACTATCCTTAACAAGAATGGGGTAAGCGGATGCCGGTTGAGGCCTGCAGACCAAGCCAATGTCAATCAAGTCATTTCTCAAGATAATGCATGTGAACGTATGGTTTCTTGGTTTACCCGCAGGTCAGCAGTTGTAGTGATATACGTGCACTAAACTGCAATTTAGTGGGTGGCCTACCATATTGTAGATTGATGATCCCAATTCGATTTTCAGGTTTGTCGAAAGCCTCTCCTTTTGTGAATGCCACCTGTGCATAGATATATATTCATAGTATTTATTCTGAACCTAATCACGGCATCTTATGTGGTTACAGCAGACCTCATTAAAAGTGGCATTTTATTAAAAAATGCCACGTTTGCCACAAATAAAATTGGGCCGATGCCACAATTAAGCTTTTTTCTATAGTTACTCTTCGGTTACAATTGAGCTTTATGGCATAAACTTTTTTGAGTTTGCAAGCATTGCCTAAAATCACGAAGTGCGCGGTTGACAATGTAAGAATGTTATTATCCCAATCAAGCAAGCATTACCCCGCATTGCCGTCAGTAAGTGACTAGAAAGAGAATCCCTGTATCTGTGTTTTTTGAGCCGATTGTGGACACATATTGAAGTAACCCATGATCACCTGATGGATGTATTTTCGGAATTAAAGAGCATTCCATACACCGCGAAAGTTTTCTAAAACTCTAATGCCAGAATATTCTGGTCATGAAATCAAGTTTCTCTCCAATCCTAGGATTGAAGACAGGTGATGTTACTCATCTTCACCTGAGGTTTTGAAGAGTAATACAATTCTAGTCTCTTGGATTTTGGAAGTTGTCATTATTCAGTTGAAGTTTAATATCCTCATTGTTTGGATCAAGAACCTTGAACTCATTTCTTCTCAAAGTATTAGCTCTCTCTGCTTTGACTATCCTCACGGTGAATAATCATGCGTCTTGTTTATGGACTCTTCTAAATCCTCGTTAGCTTTCGATGGTTTTGGGGTCCCTTGAACATAATATGAGGGCGGAACCTGACTTAGCCACAACGAAGAAACAACCCTACCTAACGTTCTCGTGAGTTAAGCTCAATCTGTCTGGTTTCAACATCGTAACATAAATTTTTCAATACAAATGCCACTTTTAAAAAGTTTTGGGTGCCACAATTAACGAAAAGGTGGCAAAAGTGGCAAATGCCACTTTTAATTAGGTCTGGGTTACGGGGTCGTTGATTGATTGAAGTCAATACGTGTAAGTAGCATTCACACTTCACAGCGAAACATAAGTCTCTTTTTCAAGCCAGATACACAGACTCATGACGTCAATGGTCTACGTTAAATGTGTAAAGTTGGCAATCCTCGTCCATACTTATGAAACGCTTCATGGTTAAGATAAGGAATGAGAAATTTGGTAAGCAGAGCTGTTACTTTTTTCTGTTCTTCTGTCATTCTTTTCCACATTGTACATCATTCGCTCCTAGCTTTCTTGGTCGATGTATCTCCGAGGTGTAAGCTTACTGTATTTGGTACCTCTTATCACTGTATCCGTGTCCTGTTGATCATTGCACATTCATTTTGGTCGATGTTAAGATCATCGTACGCATGTCCGTATCCTAATCTGTTGCACACCGTCACATCCAGTCAAACTGTGTTGAAGTAGAGGTAGCAGAGGTGGTATATGGGAGATAACAAGGTTGATGCAAATACTAGTGATATTTTTCTCATCATCCTTTATAACAGTCTTCTGTTTATCGTTGCAGTTACTTGGTAGCAGCTATGGTTCTACAGTGTCTATGGAGTATTTCATTGGCTATAATTGATTTATATGCACTTCTAACGAGGAGGAGCCTTCGGAATTCTCTTCTGGTCGGTGTCTTTGTCGTTGGTGACGGGGTAAGAAAATTCTTCAAAGTAGTTTTTATCCTTCTTGCTGTTTCATAGGGACGTGCATACTTGAACTGTTTGCTAGTATTTAGAGCATAATAGCTTTCGATGAATATGTTGTCGTTGGACGTCATGCAGCTTACGTTTGGTGAATGAGTACAACAAATTGTTGTCAAAGTTCTTACCGCATGAATTTCTTGTGAATATTCTTAAGGTCACGTCAACTTTGACGCTAGCAGCCGCATGTGCAACAGCGGGGATTACAGTATTCATTGATAATGACCTGGGTGATTGTGGGCCCGGTCATTGTGCTAAGTTTGAAGCTGCTGCTGCCATGGCATTCCTTAGTTGGATCCTGATACAACTTTCCTTCTTATTCTCCTTCTATCTTCTGGCTACAAGGTAGCCCTGCAAATAAGATATCAGCCACGTTCTTCCGACGTTTGTTCTTGTCATGCTTTTGATCCTGTGCAGATGCCTTAATCTCCTGTGCCTAAAAACCCAGAGTCTCCGTTCTATAGATTGTAATTTTACTAGGTCTACATACTAATTCTTTGAGAGTTGTGGTGTACATTGTCTCAATGTACATTGAGTTGCTAGGTTGAGCTGGGAGGATCTTTCCTGGCGGCTTGGTCTGTAATCTATGGAGTACAAATAGTAGTCAGTCAATCATCTTGCTCTCTGTCAGACATCCAAAATTCATGGTTTGTTCTGATGACATCTTAATTTTTGGTCCTTCAGTAGATGCTAGAAAGTCTGAGTCACTTGAAAAGCATTATTTCGATGTGCGTCAATTTGCTGTCTGTCATTCATGTGACAGCGTAGCTAGTCGTCCTTCTACAAGTTGTTAAGCAGTAGACTGTGATTTCGACCTCTCTTCTTTTGCATGCCAGAGGAGCATAAGGTTCCATTTCAAATATTAATATGAGGGCATTCTTGTGTCCTCTCGTTTCAGCTCGTCTTGAAGCTATGTGTTCGACCCAAAAATTTAAGATAAATTGCATACACTGAAGTGGCTCGCTGCTGAACTCACAGTTGGAACCAGTTAATTGCCAGTAGCGAAGGTCGGAATTGTGACTAGGTGACTTCTGTTTTACCTCTCGCTCATATTCACAAAGATTTGTCCATGATGTGGAATTTCCTCTGACCTTAGGATTCTAAAATGAACAATTCTAGCATTCGGGTCGAGATCTCGTGTTTCAGGCTCTTAGTAGCCATGGGTAGTAGCAAAGGTGATCGAGTTCTTAGTGGAAAGCGAACCACAGTCTATCTTCGCCTTTAAAGGCAATTCTTGTCAACCTTGCAACTAAGTTCTTGTGACTTTTGTGGACCATGCCGAACGGCTGTAGTTTCAGTGCAAATCACAGTGCCATGATTTGCAATGTGAATCAAGGAAACAAACATTTGGGTAAAGAGGATGCCATCTGTTTCTTACCGAATGTTTTTAGTCAGTAGAGATACACTTGTTCATTGCGTCCTCACGTGACTCCTCTATCTGCAGTCTAAAAGTGGACTAATCAGTTTTTGAATATTAGCGAAGCCTAAACTCTAGAATGCTTGCAAGAACTCGCGGCTGAAAACTCGTAGAGCGCCTGAAAAGTTCCTGAAACTTGATCTCACATTCCGGGCCTCCTTGTAATTCAAACTTTTATTGACATACACCACCCTCCGTGTTAAGCTTACACACAATATGTATTTGAAACTTCCAAAATATCAAAACAAATATTTTTACATTTATAACATAATAAATAAACAATTCTTAAAAGCAATTCAGTAATTCTACTATATTATATGTAAAACTAACCTCATATTGATGACTTTAGATCATGAATAATAAATCAACTTTCTTTAAAAAATAAGTTCATCGTTCAATTCAATTCTTCACATTATTCATGATTCGAATACTTGATGTTAGATAAATTTATTGTCTTAAATACTAATCTATCTAAACAGTATGTTACATATACTTGACCAATCAAAAAATTACAAATTTTTTCTCAATAATACATAATATTAAAAAAAATAAAATTTGAAATTAATGATAGATTCTATCATTTATTACGATTATTATTTTTTAAACACTAAATGATAACTCGTAACAATTTTATTAGAGTATATTGATGCATATTGCAACATTAACTTGTAAAATATATAACTTTTTAAATTAAACTCTATCGTAAATTTTAATTGATCATTCAAATTTTTACCTCATTAACATGATTTTGTAAATTTAATATACAATTTTCAAAACACTAGTTTAGTTTAACACATGAGAAAAGATAAATTGTCTTTTTTTCTTATTGCTACAAATACACATACCTTACATAAGCATAAGTATTATAATTTGATATCAGATAATGTAAAATTATATCATAGAATATTTTATCGTGCCCTTTGGGCCAGCAGGTTCGGGAGAGATTCAATTTAGAACAAGATGCATTACGTACAGTCTCTGGGGATCCTCCAAAAGCCCTGGCCGTACAAATCAAAGAAGAGGTCTCTACCTTCCTCCAAGAAGAACTAAGTGCCAAGATGTATTACGTACAGTCTCTGGGGATCCTCCAAAAGCCCTGGCCGTACAAATCAAAGAAGAGATCTCTACCTTCCTCCAAGAAGAACTAAGTGCCACGAGGCTCGCATCAAGGTCTCAGGCAGAAAGCGAGGTACTTATTTCGCTTGTAAAACCAATTCTTTCGTAAAGCCAACTAACGAAAATCGTCAAGCTATTTCCGCGCACTATTTTTAAATTATTTCAAATTTATATAAGTCTATATGGTTTTCAATTAATTTTACACATTGTTTACAAGCACGTTTATCTCTTTATTTTCGAATTTCAAATCAATCATTCCATTCATTTATATAGATCGTTCAATTCAATAAAGTGAAAAATTTCAATTGTAACTCTAGAATGATCATAGTTTATTTCATTTGGATTACTTGCATACTAAATCAGCATCTACTATATTATTGATCATATTGAACAAAATTCAAACAAAAAATTTCTAAAGATTTAAAATTTTTTCAAACATAAATTGGAAATATGTTTAATTAATTTCTCATAAAATTAAACCAATTAATAATATGGTGACAAACCTGATTCAATTGCAAAATCAAAAGATCTATTCAAAAATTTAAAAATTTAAATGAATTAGATGAGTTATATGTCCTCAAATTTAAAAATATTTAGTTAAAAATTGACATTTTAACAAGTTTAAACTTACATAGTTTTATTTAAAATCTCAGAATTTATCTTATTTTTTTTATTTTTTTTCTTAAAAGTGATAATAGTATTAATATTTAAATAAATTAAAATTCAATTTTTAATTTTTATTTTTAATTAATAATTAGTTCCAAATCACTTATCTAAAAATACAATTTAGATTACAATATTTGAAATATTTATAAATAATTTAACCTTAATGATATTATTTAGATTTACATATGCATAGCTTGTCTGCATATAGACTTCATAAATTAAATTTTGGTTCAATTTAATATAATATGATAATAAAATTATACATAAATAAAAAATGTAAAATAAAATTTAAATCAGATTTATGACGAAAAGAAAATATTTCTAAATAATTTTCATTAAAGATGATTATTTTATATTTTGAATTACATTCATAAATTTATATGGCTGTCAATTTTATGTCTTAAAATTTTCAAATTATAGAATTTCTTAATACAACTAATGCATGAGTAATAATGATTAATGCTTACATATACATTAATATATATTTTATCTACATATAAAATTCCAAATGGGTATATTTTGATATTATAAAGTATAATAGGAATAGATTTCTAGGAAAAAACAGTACAAACTTATTGATTTTGGAAATTTGCTTAACACAGAACAATTGTAGGACTTTTAGGATCTCATGGAAATAAGTAAAACTACAAATTATATAATATTAAGGTATTAATTTTCTTGTTTTATTTTTTAATTTCATTTTTTTATGAATTTTCAATGAATAAAATAATCTCAGTCATTAAATTATGATTTTTTTGGGCACCAAGCTATGTTTACATAGTGGAAGATCTTTTAAGCATACATATAATGAAATTAATACTCAGATTTAGATTTAGATTTGATAATATAATAATTATATAATATAATATAAAATTATATAATAATTTTAGATTTGAACTCATAAACATAGTTTAAAAATATATCTTTACTTGAAGTTTGCTAAAGATAATCATCTCAAAAGTGAATCTCATAGCAAAGTAAATAAGCTTACTTGAAAACATAACAAATCATATCACATATATGATTTGTTATGACAAAAGATAATTGATAAAGACTATGTTCAATGATGCAAACTGTATGATCTTTGCATTTCATCTTTAAAATTAAACATAAAGTAATCTGGGCATTTGTAAATCATATATGTTTCAAAAAATGTATTTTATTTCACTATTTTAAAAATTAAAAAATACGATATGTTTTAAAAATTGAATGTGTAGATGTTGTGAAAATTCAAAAATATGTAGATTTTTTGCGTACATTGACAAATTTCAGTTTTATATTCAGTTCCTATATTTTCCTGATATGTACATTACATATAATATCAACGGAAAAGTATTAATAGTCTGATTCAAGTGGTGATGAAGAAATTTATTAAAAAAGACAATATAATGTTTACATGCTAGAAACCAATACTGATTTGGACAAAGTGCTCGTCCCTCAGTGAAATAAAAAGACTAATTGATGTTCAACATCAGGTCAGATTTGTAAAAATACTATGTAAAAATTTTAAAATCTCTATTTATATATTGAAGTCTCACTGATTTGAAAAACTTGAATATTGTGTGGTAAAAAAAGATCATGAACAGGTTTTGACACTGAAGCTTACAATCTTACAGCAAGTATGATTGCAAACATCATTATATACAAGATCATCACATATATACTAAAATTTGCAAAATTATTCATATGTGTTCATTAAAAATTAATTGATTATTGAGTGTTTTTATTTTTTAAGCATTAAAAGTTTGAGATCTTTGCCACTTTAAGAAGTAAAAAGTCAACCTTTGAACTCAAACACGCAAAAATCGAAAGTTCATATTAAGTGATAAGGATAATATTGCACTTTTGAAATGATTTGACATATAAAATTAACATAAAGCAATTAATTTGACACCTCATTGCATTATACACTTAAAAAAAATCATCTAATGAGCAATCCAATAAAACTCGATTGAAGTACATGAAAGTATGTTAAATCAATCAAGTTCAGCACAAAATTTTTAAAATAAAGTTCTAAACACATGTGAAAAAAACGTATTCATCAAGTGCAACTAAGTTTATGACATCATTTGACTTAATAAACAAATAGTCATCAGATGAAAAAAATTTGATACTTTTTTTGTATCCAAACCATATTAACTATAAGAACTAAATTGAAACTAAGTTATAGGGTATTTTCTTTTCTCTGATTTTGAATGAAGTATTACAAGTTGTGAGACTCAATTATTTGTTTTTATTGTTGGTTGAAATGTTTGATTCACTGGGTTCAAATCATCAAAAAAAGAGGAGATAATTCAATCATCATATTAATAAGAACAAAAATTTGTTACATATAACTGTGAAAAAACTTTATTCATTCTTTTATGACAATCCACAAAATATGCTCTTTAAAATAGCAAATTTTGTGAGTTGAAATAGTACAAGAAAGTAGTATCATGACAAAACTGAATATAAGTCAGTGAATAAAGATTAAGCAAAACCATCAACAATATAACTTCCTAGATGATTCATTTATATTTCTGAATAACGTGAAAAATCAATTAATTCAGTCTAATTTTAATTGGATGATATATTGTTTGGTGATGATGATAATCTGGCTTTGATTTTAGAAAAATATGAAACAAATCTATAAGATGAAGCTCACCTCTTTGTTTGATTGACTTGAAAAATTTGTAGCAATGAAATGATAGAAATAATTTTGATTTACAAAAAACTTGAAAATTAGAATTTACGATTGATGAACAGTAAAAAATTATCAAAATAGTCAAGTTGTTGGTCATACAATCATATTTAAAAAAATTGAATAGACATTGAGGTGTATATACTCAGTTTTTAATCATGCTACTCTTTGTTTGTTGCATGTATATTTCTTATCTTGTTTGATTTTATCTGATATTTTACGAATTTTTTCGCTTCCTTTATGACAATCAGATGGAATAATTTTCAAGAATCAATTAACAAATTTCACAAAAAACAAAAAATACATGGTAAGTAAGTTGATCATTGTATGCATTAAAGAAGATCTTGTACATAAAACAAACCATTTGATGATATCATGATATTACAAATAAATTTAGTTGAAGTGTATTTGCACTTTATGTACAAATAAAAAAGCCAAATATTGAAGTTTTTGTTCA